CTTCAGCTCCTTTTCCGATAGCTGATATATTGGTCCGAACGGTGGACTCTTGTCTTTCTCCAAAGGTATCTCGTGATCCCATGGTTGGTGCTTAGGAAGCGCCTCGTTCTTAGGGCCTTCCTGGAATAATTGCTCGTATTCCTTGTACTCCACCGGTATACTCGTCGGTGAGGATGCCTGGGCTAGGTCATCGAGCTCGGAGGTTGCACATAACTCCTTCCGGCCCTGGGAGGGTTTCTCCCGTTGTCGTGTGTCCGTCCGTTGTTCACACGCGCACTGGCTCATCACAACTTTCTCGTTCCACCAGTCGATCTGGGGGTTGTGTTTCTTGAGCCATGGCATACCAAGGATGCACGCATGGTTGTCCATGTGCACGATGTCAAACTGAATCGTTTCCTTGTGCCCGTGTAGCATGACCATTTCCAATGGGACCGTTTCGTGGGTCACCATTCCTTCATTAGTCGAGATGAGCTCTCCATCTACGACCATTAACGGGTATGGTTCGGTTTTCAATTGCGTCTTGAAACCTTGCGTGTCTGCTACTTTCTTTGTCATAAAGTTGCCCGTCGCTCCTGAGTCAATCATTGCTCGGAGGTGTCGCTGTTGTATCTTAGCGACCACATATAGTTGCATGCTGCCCGTCGTGGCGCATAGCTGGTCTGTACTAGGCCTCTTCGTGTCGCTCGCCGGTGGCCTACCGTCGAGGACTCCTAGTTTTTTGACTCGTCCGAGGAAGGATAGTATTCATTCGCTTCCAATGGTGGTCCTTGGGGAGATCGTTTCCCCCGCTCTTCTGCTTCGTCTAGCAGATGTGGGTATTTCTTGTATACCTGTTCGCTTTTGATAGGCAAGTCTCCTTCAGACTGGCTTCGCCTGAGGGCGTGAACTTGCTCTGCGTCTCTGAAGTGTATCCTGGGCGAGGATCGGGGAAACAACTGATTCTGGTGTTTCTTTTTCCAGTGGAGCTTGCAGTCATCTTCGCTGCAATACTCCCAGTAGACATACGCGTGCCAGGGATGATCAGTCTCTGTTGCGTCTGTCATTGATAGTTCCCGCTGTCCTCTCACCCATGCACTATCTTCCCTCGGAGGCGTGGAGAACGTGTCTAGTTGCTCCATGGCTCTCCTTTCGATGCGTGGAGTGGGTCTCGCATTTTCCCGTCGGAGCATATCTCTGGCTTTCTCGTCGTACTTCTTCAGGGCTCTCCTGCGGTCCTGGTAGTAAATTTCGACGCTTTTCATATACTTCAGTTTAGCCATATGCTCGACATCCTTCTCCAGTTCTTCCGCTTCTTGGGCTTCCAACTTAGCTACGTCTTGGGACGTGCCAAGCAGCCTGCGGGTATTCGTTAGTTGGTCGTAGTATCTCCAGAGGTCATCCTTGCAGTCGTCCACCTTGCATTTTAACGGAAGTTCCTGTAACAGGTTCCCGTAGAGGTCTTTAAGCATGGGGATTTTCCTCTGGCCATTGGGCTTGTCTCGTTCGGCCCTAATCTTCGCGTGGGCGTGTTTTGCCATGCGTCTTACTACGTTCTTGCACCGTGGACTCATTGGTTCCGTAGGTGCGAGTTCATTGAAGGTCTCCTGTTCCGAGACGGTGAATGATTCCGCCTCCGACCCTTCATCTGAGCTCTCGTCTTCTGGGGTGCTTTCGCCGTTTATTCCCCAGTCCTGTTTGCTCACAAACGTTGCGTTCAACTGTCCTGTCCAGGTGGCATTGAGTTGTTTGCCGACTTTGCGTCCGCCGTTCCCTTTCTTTGGCTGTCTGCAGTCTCGGGCCATGTGGCCTGGCTTGTCGCAGTTAAAACAGAGTCGTTCCTTGAATTGTCTGTCTTTCTTAGGGTCACGGGGTCGTCCAGGTTTGAACGTGGCATCGAGTTCCATTGGGTCCGACCAACGGTTGTCTCGCGGGTGTTGATCCCGTCGTCTGCCCTCGTTTCCCCGGTAGGGGTAACTTTTCTTGGGCTTGTCATAGGTCCGACGTTCCTTCTGGAATTCGTATAGTCGATTGTCGATTCGGACCGTATGTTCGATTAGCGCTACCATGTCCGTTGGTTGTTGTTCCAAACGGGCAAGTTCCATACGTATATGGCTCTTCAGCCCACGTCGGTAGTGGCTGATGAGTGCGCTGGCGTCCCATCCTGTCTGATTGCCGTATCTCTGGAATTCTGTGGAGTATGTGAGGGCGCTGCCAGTCTGCTTAAGTGCAAACAGATGGTCTTCCGCGGTCTTAATCTCATCAATGTCTCCGAACATGCGTCGGATTTCCTTACAGAATCCATTCCAGCTGCCAAACATAGTCTGCGTAGTTGTCATGCTTCCATTGGTACTTTCATATTTGAAATAGTCCTTGAGGAATGGTTCGATCCATCGCAGGGCTTCCCCCCTAAGGTAGGACGCAGTCCACAGGGCATAGCTCTCCTGGGTGGGAAACTTCTCGTCATTGAAGTGCTGGTACAGTTCGACCTGTAGCAAAAACACCTCAAGTTCCTTTCGGTTGCCGGAGTAAGTGTCGGGCAACTTGACGCGTAGAGTTTCCTTGAGTTCGTTGACGGTGGGTGCATCGGGCATCTCTTCATTCTCAGGCTTAGACCTCTGAGACGAAGTTGGCGTGGTGGGGGTTTTCCCCTTCGAACTGACGACAGACATGTTGCTTTGTGTGTAAGCCGGTACCTCGTAGAAGTGGTGCTCAAAGTGTAACGCTGACTTCTAAACGATAGAAGACACAGAGGTTCTCTTGCGTAAAGGTTTACTTATCAGAGGAGGCAGGGGATCAGACACAAAGGCTTCAAGTAACACGTTACTAGTATATAACAAATACTGTATTGAGTTGAGCACGAAGCTCCTATCTAAGGAAATACTATCTACTTATATAGTGGCGTCGTGCCTAGTGGACTCTTGGGAACTCACTCGAGTCCTCGGAGTCCTGGACTCTTAGGACTCTTCTCATCATCCTGCGAGTCCATCACGTGCCTAGTGGACTCCTGGGAACTCACTTGAGTCCTCGGAGTCCTGGACTCTTAGGACTCTTCTCATCCTCCTGCGAGTCCGTCACGTGATACTTTCGGAACTACTATTCCCCGCTGCCCCTCCAGGTACCAGGGCCGGTCTCATGCGACCTCCCTCCTTCCTGTCCTGTAGTTGGCCAGCCTTCTTGTTCCGTCGTAACATTTAGCTAGCAAATTATATACTCCTTGGCCTTCTTGCAATTCCTCCTGCTTCGACTTACTTTGCATTCCCTTACTTCGAGTTGAACCACTTGGCCAACCTGTTAGTCTCATCACTTGACCCCTGTGGTATAAAGTATATGATTTGGAGCCTGAACTACTATACCTTGTCCTACTGCTTCGAGTATCGAAGTCTTCACATTATACTTCGGATACTTCTGCAGACTTGAAGGTCAGCCTCGGTTTGAACTGTCCTTACAACAAGGCTAAAAAGGAGAAGGAAACTCAAGAGCGGAAGTCAAAATTCAGAGCACGAATAGCCTTGAATAAGGTCAAAAAGGAGCTTCGTATTCGTGGTGTTGAGGCCCGCAAGGCTGAGCTTTTAAGAAAGCGGCAGGTTACCCAGTTGTTAAAAGCAAAGCAGGAGGTGCCTCCTGATTTACTTAATCCAATTCCTGATCCCGAAAAAATTGCACAGGAGTCAGAGATTCAAGAAGAAGCCAATATTCAATTGATTTCAACAATAGGGTGGTCGGGATCACAGGTAGATGGCGACGATGAGACTGGATCTATAAGATTTAGTGGTTTGGATGAGGACATATTTACAGACAGGACAGAAGAGAATTTGGATTCAGGGTTGTTTTAAAGTAAGAATAGCGTCAATTTTATTTAATAATTTAATCACTTAATTGGTTGTATAACTTAGTTGTTTAGATAGTGGTTATATTAGATTCTACATACTAATGATATCTGGCTGGCGGAATGCAATTTCGCTTTCCGGATGCACTTCGCTTTCGCCGACCACCTGTAAGGTGGTCGGTGCGAACACCGACGATTAATGCTCTCCTTAATAGTATGCCTATACGTATGGCAGCAGTAATTGCTGCGAATGGTATGCACACAGGGTACTAGGCTTATAGTATAGTTTTATATAGGGGTTTAGGTATCTACTCTACTCATTATTCTACAGAATTGATTGTCATTATTCTACAGAATTGATTGCTCTCACACTCAAGTCCTACGCAGGGGGCCCTAGCCCGACCCACTCACAAAACGTATGAACAACACCTCCGTACTACGAAGCCCTTTCCTAGCCACATTATTAGCTACATATGTAAGACAGTGTGGGTCAGTCTAAGACCCTTTTATACGATTAATCCTCTCCAATGGTCCCGAAAAAAGGGCCGGCCCCTCTAAGGTAGTCCTGGACTGCTTTGGCGAGCATCATATGGCCCACAAATCACCCATGTAAAATTAGGCCAGCACCCTATCAAAGAGTGCCACAACCGTAAATGGGCCGTCGCCCGTAAGGTATCATCTCTGGCGCTCTTGTGCGGGATTGTTCGCGCTAAGGATCTGCAGTTAGGCCCTCCCGTACCCTCGGGGTTGTCTGATTAGAACAATGCATCAAGGTGAGTCAAGGTAAGTAAAGTACGTGGTGATGTAAAGAAATCTCAAACAGAAACGCGGGCTAAAAAATCAAAGGGAGGAAAGTGCAGATACATAATTCTGTAGTATTTCTAATTCAGTAGTTTGAGTTACGTAGTCGGTCGCGCAATAGTTGAACGTTCTGATCACTCTCAACTCGCCGATGAGTTAGTTCTTGGACTTGTACCCGTAGATCATCCTGCAAAGCTTGGACTTCTGGATCAGGTTCCGAACGTAATCGGCTTGTAGGAGGCGGCTCCGTCTTTGGGATGCTGCTGCTGACGGAAGCGAGTATTGCGACTGTTAGGTACGAGAGGATTTGTTTAGGTCTTCGATGGTGAGGCATCGATTGCCAAACCTATGCAAGCATCCAATTTCCGACGTGATTCACATATATACTCTATACTCAAGACTTGAAGGATGTGCTAACAGGTTTCCGCCCATATACAAAGTGAAAAGCAATATACAAATGGTTCTTTTTGTTGCGCAAATCACTCCTAATCTTTGCCATTAGGACTTGGGTTTCTTCGTGGCTCCATTTCAAGATGCGGGTCAGGGGAGCTAGCGTGAAAGCCTCAACACTATCACACATCTGCTCGAGTTGGTACAGCCCCAATATCTTGAGCCTTCGATCCAGCGGCCAGGGCCCAATTGGAACCTGCTCCGCATCAGCACTTGTATCCAGAGGACATAGATTGGTGACTAGAGAAAGACAAACCTGGTACACATCCTCACGCACGTCCTCAAACCCAGCATTGATGAAGCGTTGCTTGATAGTGTCAGCCATGTTAAGTTTCTTGCCGAATTTAACGGTGGCCTCGTCCACAAGCTGCTGCCACTGAAGTACAGCAGGTGCATTCAGCAACTCCGGATCATCGTCCGACTTAACCCACGCCTCATACTCCTGCATTTCCAGCCACCCCCCAGGTTTCAAATGCTGATAAATCTGGCGATATAGACGGTCCCAATCTCTGATCGATCCGCAGAGGCCCCTGCCATGAATAAAGTCAAACTCTTGCCCCGGTTGATATATCCACTCGTTCTCGATGTCGTCGACGACAAATTTGCAGTTTGCCGGCACCCACGTGGGCTGGATGGGGCTGAGATCATTCCCAGTCACGAATGCGCTGGGATATTCGTCGGCGAAGTCGATGGCCCATATACCAGTTCCTGTACCTAGGTCGAGGACACGCTGCGGATTTGGTGGGATAGACGCACGGATAAGTGGACCACCGATTATGAGTCGGAATATATGGTGGTGCAGATCCAGGCGTTCCTGCTCTCGTTCATCATTAGGAAGAAGGTACTCGCCTTCGCGAAGAGCATGGTAGCGTCGGCCATTTTCGTATTGGTAGTTTCGAATTGACGATGTGATGGATGTACTGGTGGTTGAAGCATTGGCTCCCAATGCGGAGTCTGTGTCACAGAGGTCTAATGCGTCGTCATTCGGCTGTGTCCAGTTCAGCGTTGTGTTCAGTAACAGGAGTATGGGGGAAATCTCAGGTATATAGGGCTTACATCAACCTGCAACAGGGCTGTAGGATTAGGCTCTGGAAGTTGTGCGGTGCCTTCTTGCACGGTAGCCAAATGATTCACCTCACCATCAACAACAGGTGGGGTGTGTTGCGTTTCGGTCGTTTCCTGTTCCGTCATGCTTGCGGGCCATTTCTTGAGAAACGATAATTTCGTGCAGGAGCCCACTCTTTGTTCTGTGGGGAACGACGACGACACCCTCCACCACCCCGGAATCACGACGAGCGATTTTCGCCGTGCCTCAGGCCCCAACCACCCCTGTATGGCTACCACAACATGGACCGAACCTGCACGTGACAGCCCGCTAGATAACTGAAATACAGTCCACCTCGACACAGGATTGAGCCTCACCAACGTTTTCGACATACTTGGCCTTGAAAATATCCTCAAGATATTTAACTATTTTCGCCACAGCAGACGCCATGCCGCCTGTTACCAATCAGATGCTCAATTCGCGTCGAGAGTACAACTGCGTTGGCGTATCAACGGAGCGCAAATACTATAGAGTTGAACACACTTGGGTCAAACGCAGTTTACGACCGTCGGAATGGCAAATCAACCCAATCACCGGATAACAATGAAGTCGCTGTTCTATAGCTGCGCCACGAGGGCTGACCCTTCAACTCCATACTCCCCACAAAGCAGGAACAAAAGCTCCTTCTGCTGCTTCCAACCATTCTCTGCTTTTCACACTGCACTCCTGCAATCAGAACCCGCGCGGTAAAAAAAACAAAGTGTATCTTTTCCCCAGCATAAGCCTCCTTCTTGAGGCCGATCAGCAAATTGTCCAAAGCAGGCCTGTGAACCTTGAACTTCTTCCCAGCTAGGACTTTTTGGGGGGGCAGATCCTCCGCTTCCCCAGATACTGGTAGGTTTTTGAGTTTCGTCGAATAGCGCACCTGGATTGCCCCTTTAGTCCTGCCGGGGAGAGCCGCATGGATATCTTCCCATAACAGCCATCGTCATACATCTGGCGTACCTTTGTATCATCTTCGGGTGTCCTTTGTCCTAGGACAAAGCAAGACCTAGAATTGGATTCGTGGAGATTGATCGATGATCTGAACGAATCTGGAGCTTGAATTCTAGGTAGTAAGTATCTCTGTTCCAATCCTCATGCACTTAATAAAGCCCTGCAAGGGATGTTCTTGGAAGTCTGCGCCAAGAATAGGTTTGGTATCAGATAGCGAACCGGAGCAGCTAGAGAGCCCCGAGCAGTGCAGGTTTAGGATTGGGCTGCGGCGAAAGAGGGTGTACGGTGTTTCTTACGGATGAGCGTATCGAATGCGTCAGAGGGCATGCGGCGTCGCTTTCGTTGACATGAACGTTGCGTATCCTTATTCTCACCATCTAAGCGCCCTTCGCCATCCTCGTCGCATGGTCCTGCACTATGGTGGTATCCTTGCGAGATAAGGGAGTCACTCTACGGGCTTAAGCAGTCAGGCAGAGACTGGTAGGCGCCAGCAGTTGACCGGGCTAGTGATCTGGGGCGGCCGGGAGGAGGAGGGGGTGGTATTATACCCCTATCCCATGAGCATCATCGGACAACTGTCACCAAAACCGACGTTGATGTTTTTCGAACTGTACACATTGCTACCGCTGTACCACACCTCGTACGCGCCCTTCTCCGCCGCGGAGACCTGAAATGGATGATGACGCTGTTCCAAGTATCTCGCGCAGTGGAACTCACGATGACCTGCTGTGTAGGATTCCCGCAGGATGAACGATGATCGACGACCAGCTGATTGCCAGTAATAGCGAGAGTCCCGCACCAACTCGAGCAACCCCCCGGGCAGAACTGCTGGGCAATGATGGTTGACTTGTCGGTTAGAATCGAAATAGCAGATCTCGGCCCCCTTGTCGTCTCGCGTGCCGTCGCAGTTGCTCTCGTCGATATATACCTCGAGCTTGCCGGAGCCGGCGTAGACCGGCGACTCGCTCGCGGCGTGAGAGTAAGAGGGCGATTTGTGGTTGCACTCGGAGAAAGGGCCTAAAGAACCTTCGAATCCACTAGCCTTCAGCGTAGACGTGTCTGACTCGCCCTCGAATGCGGCGATGAGCGTAAGCGCTAAAAATAAGATTGAGGCTTTTAAGAGCATGATGAGAATGTAATGTTCAAGAAATAGAGAAATATAACAAGAAACAGCACCTACTTATCTACTTATTGGCACTTCGGCGAAGGTTCCGGGCATCCCTCCGCGCTGTCATAATGATAAACACGTACTCTCCATACTTCTTCTATTATGATAACAGTACGTAGAAACTTCAGTCTATATTCCGGAGGTTTGCGTTCCTGTGATACGCAAGGGTTATGAGCGGGGTACGGGGTAAGGAGCCCCAGGTTTCGTGTCGTCTGCTCCTATGATCTCCACTTGAAGCGATCGTGATGCATCTTGGGCGGAACGTGGCTCGCTCGGCAATAGTTAGTTACTTCAACTCCACGATATAATCGCACTTATAATTGGTGATTGACCGTACTAAATATGGGTAAGGAACCTCGAACTATAGTCTCAATTGGGCCAGAGGCATAACAAATCGAAGCCCCAAAATACTCGCTTGCAAATAAGGTATGGCGCTCCTTCATGCACCTGTGCCCAATGTACAGCCTCGTGTCATGCATCTATCCTTCGGTCCATTTTCTCCGCTACACTGTCAAAGTTATTCCTGGAAAGCTTGACGACAAGTGATTGATTCCGGTACTGTTGATCGCATTGGCACGATTGTGCTTGCCACTCAATACTTGAGTACCCTGTAAACAAGCTGGACTCGGACCACTCGAGATCTTACATACATGGCAGACCCAGTTGGAGCTGGCGCTGGGATAGTTGGCGTCATTGGTCTAGCTATCCAGGTCACGCAGGTTGTGGTCCAATTTAGTATGGACTGGAAAAATGCGCCAGATGATGTTAAAGCATTTATGGCTGAATTAGGGGCTCTCAAGACCGTGTTATCAGAAACAAATGCCAATATCCTCCTTAATGCAGACTTCGAAGCAGCCTTTCAGGACCAACCGTCGGTACTACTGTCTCAGTTGGGGCCTAGTTCCCCATCAACAACAGACACAAAACGCTTGCTGGAGATCTGCAAGGGAGAGCTGGAATCGTTACTTAAAGAGCTGAAAAAGAGGGGAGAAGGTCACCAATTAGGTTGGGGGAGATTCAAAAGTGCTTTTTTGGCTCAAGATACTCGAGATTCAGTTGAAAATCTATGCCGACAATGTCAACTGTTGAACAGCATGCTCTCAATCGACGCGGCCGTACTTGGAGCAACTACGTATAAAGAAGTCAAAGAGGCAAGGAAAGAGCAGCAGGAATGGCACCAAGCTGAGGAAAAGATTTCTATGGCTATAAGAGGTGGCGTAGACGAGTCTAACTGGCGACAAGAGAATCAATTACGGAAGCACCAGGAGCAGGCCATTCTCGATTGGCTTACCCCTATAGATTACGCTCCTCAACAGAGCGATTTTATCAGTCGGCGACAAACAGGGACTGGACAGTGGCTTCTCGATTCGACAGAGTTTCAGTCATGGCTTACAACAGAAAAACAGACGTTGTTCTGTCCAGGAATTCCAGGTTCAGGGAAGACAATTCTTACGTCAATTGTGATAGAAAAGCTTATCGCCCAATTTCGCAACGATAAAAACATAGGAATTGCGTACCTCTATTGCAACTTCCGGCGCCGAGATGAGCAGAAGGTTAATGACTTATTAGCAAGTCTTCTCAAACAATTAGCTCAAGGTTTAAACCCTCTGCCAGACGCTGTAAAATCTCTCTACGCTAAACATATTAATATCCGGACGCAACCAACATTGGATGAGATCTCACAGGCTCTAGAGTCGGTTGCTACTTTGTATACAAAAGTCTTTATCATTGTTGACGCCCTCGATGAATGTTTAATTACAGGTAGTCACCGATCAGATTTTCTATCGAAGACCTTTGATGTCCAAGAAAAGAGTGGATCAAACCTGTTTATGACTTCGAGACACATACCAGAAATCACAGAAATATTTCACGGGTCTATATCGTTGGAGATTCGTGCATTGGAAAGTGATGTTCGGAGGTATGTGGATGGCCACATATCAAATCTGCCATCTTTCGTTAGACGCAGTCCCGATTTACAAGAGGAAGTTAAGACTGGGATCGTGGAAGCTGTTGATGGCATGTACGTAATTCATACTCCAGTCTCTTCAAAACACTAATTTTGCATATAGGTTCTTGCTCGCCCACCTTCATCTTGATTCTTTAATTGGAAAAAGATCACCGAAGGCTGTCCGAACTGCATTGAAATCGCTGCCCTGTGGATCTAAGGCATTTGACGATGCATATAAGGATGCCATGATTCGAATTGAAGGACAACTGTTGGATCAAAAAGACCTTGCTTGGCAGGTTCTATCATGGATCACTTGTGCTAAAAGACCATTGACAATGTCTGAACTCCAGCATGCACTTGCGATAGAACTAGGCGAATCTAGCCTCGACGAAGATAACCTTCCACAAATTGAAGATATGGTCTCAGTTTGTGCTGGATTGGTTACTGTCGACGAGGAAAGCGAAATCATTCGATTAGTTCATTATACGACACAGGAGTACTTTGAGCGAACGATGGAAACATGGTTTCCAAATCTAGAGGCTGAAATTACGAAAATCTGCGTTACATACCTCTCATTTGATACGTTTGAAAGTGGAATCTGCCAGAACGACAGGGAGTTTGAAGAACGGCAAAGGTCAAACCAACTTTACAACTACGCCTCATTTAATTGGGGTCACCACGCTCGCGAAGCTTGTACATCTATCCCAGAAGTCCACAGTTTTCTTAAAAAACGTGCTCAGATTCAGGCATCTATCCAAGTACTACTAGTTAAGAAAGCAACTTACTTGGGCGAGTCACAGTATAGCCAAGTCTTTTCAAGAGAGTTGACGGGGCTGCACTTAGCAGCACATTTCGGAGTTGAGAAAACAGTACAGCACTTGCTCGGCACTAATATTCCAGATGAGCTAGATGGATATGGCCGAACGCCGCTGTCGCGGGCTGCAGAGAATGGGCATGAAGCCGTAGTCAAGCTGCTGTTAGCGAATAACGCCGACATTAACCTAAAGGATGAACTGTATGGTCAGGCGCCCCTGGCTTGGGCTGCCAATAGCGGCCAGGAAGCTATGGTTAAGTTGCTACTAGCGAACAAGGCCGATATCGAACTGAAATGTACAAGGTATGGCTGGACGCCACTACTGTGGGCCGTAGTGCATGGGCCCGAAGCTGTAGTGAAGTTTCTACTAGAGAGCGGAGCCGAGATGAACTCACAAGATAACTCTGACCGGACAGCGCTGTCATGGGCTGCAGGGTATGGGAAAGAAGCTGTCTTCAAGCTGCTCTTGGAGAAAGGCGCTGATATCGACTTAAAGGATAAGGATACCCGCACACCACTATCATATGCTGCAGAGAAAGGACACGAAGCTATATTAAAACTACTGCTAGTAGACAGTGCTGAGGTTAACTTAAAGGATACATGGATGGAAAGGACGCCGCTAGTATGGGCCGCAGCGAATGGACATGAAGCTGTCATCAAGTTACTGGTACTACACAATGCCGAGATCGACATAGAGGACACCCATGCCCGAACGGAGCTATCGCATGCTGCAGAGAATGGGCAAGAAGCTTTAGTTAAGCTACTGCTCGCCCGCAATGCCAAGGTCAATGTAGAGGACAAATGGGAACGGACGCCGCTGCTGTATGCTGTACAGGGTGATCATGAAGCTGTAGTCAAGCTGCTGTTGAAGCAACATGCTAAAATCGACTTGAAGGATACAACTCATGAGCAGACGGCGTTGTCGTTGGCGGAAATGAAAGAGGATGAGGCTGTGATAAAGCTACTACAGATACACAAGAAGGAAGAGTGCGTAGTCTGTTAATCCGACCTACAAATAATCACCAAAACTATGCCAACATTCGCTGCTTTTGCTTGTGTCAACGTTCGCTCTCCTAACACTACAAACCCCCTGCGGTGACATCCCATCAAGACCTAGTAGCCTCTCCGCATATCTGTCGGCACCACTCATTACAGCCATCGACAATCCAACGAAAGATCAGGCAACTCCTTCCAGACAAAATAATGGAACCCTCCTCTAACTCCCGAACCTCATCTATATCAATGCCATCCCTTCATAAACACACAGTATGAGTACATCGTAACCTCGAGATCATCGTGCCCGACGAAAGCCCCCAGCAAGCCATCCAACTATAAACAACGAGCAACAGAAAAGACACTCCCCACCGTCTCACCATGTAACCATCTCTTCCGAAGCCTCTGGTTTACAGACAAGACAAGCCACCCAGTTATGCGGATTCGCCTCGTCAGGAAACCAGCCAGACTCACAATTCCCACAACCCTGCACAAACGGTTGAGAAGCCCCCGCAGCAGCCGGCTGCTCCTCTCTCGATTCCACAGCCTGCATTTTCGAATTCCTCGCTGTAATCCTCGATCTCTCACACATCTTATTGCACCCGCCACCACACTTCCACCCGCTCTCCGTCTGATTCCTCTTCAAGCACTTCGAGCATCGCCACCAGCCCGCCACGACATTCCTATCCTCGAGCCACAGCGCGACATCCCGATGCGTTTTTTTCACGAGGTCTTCGCGGTGGTACTCCCGGTAGTGCTCGCGGCAGTGGTCTTTACGATCAAAGGCTTCTTTGTGCTTGCACTTTGAGTAGTCGCAGAAGTGGCGCTCGGCGTTGCCTTTGCCGTGCACGGTGGTGAAGTGGCGCTCGAGGTCGAAGGGGCGCTTGACGGGCTTGGAAGTGCATTTGGGGACGTAGCATTTGTGGACTAGCTGTCCTTTTTCGCTGCTTTGGGTTAGATGGGGATTTCGGAAATGGAGTAAGTGGGAGTATATGGGACTTACTCGTATACTTTATCTGAGAAGCGCCTCGCAGGGAAATTCTCGGATTCTAGATACCCTGGCTGAAGAGTGTGATATGCTCCGACTTTGTCGACGTGGAAGTCATAGTACATCCACCAAGAAATATTTGGATCGCCGTCTCTCTCGATATCGAACAATGGTTTAGACATGACTTGATCTTCGAAAGAGGGGAGTGGATATTTATACAGCTGTGCTGAACCAGTGACTGAGCCGACGGGAGAATAACCCTGATGAAGAGTGTAACCGCCAGACGTCGCATGCGGAGGTGTTTGAGAAGTGAAGCTCCCGTAGGATGAGAATGAGCTGTTGCTGTCAAGTGATCCGAATGTGTCGGTGGTGTTATTGCTTGAGTATGAGTTGAGGCTGGATCCAGAGTCGTCACGTTCCATATACGGCGCGAAGTGAAGTTGATTAGACTGTTGACCTTCATATACGACACTGTTACTGGCATCCGAGACTTCTATATTCCAGAACGACTTGAATTCGTCTGGAACATTGGAATCCATGTTCATAACGATCCGTCTTTGGTTTGGTGTTTGATTGGTTGTAGATGGGGGGGGGTCTGGAGGATCAACGTTGAGATGAGATCGAGTTCCGTATTTGGTCAGGAACACCAGACATATGACTAGAATCTAGCCCTTGGAGAAATGTCAAGTGGGTCAAAGAACAAGAATTTGAAACCGGGGCTGAAGAATGGACCAATATATAGGTGTTGAAATACGTAGAATGTGAGATATAAGCCATTCTATCTTTACTGAACAAAGTTCACGCTAAAAAATGTGAAAACTAGCAACAGAGGAGGTATGGAGATAGGTAGGAAGTATACACTTATGCTGCCCTGAATGGGTGATAGACAGTCGAATATGAGGATGACGACAGCCAGTGAATTTTGTGAGGCGAACGAGGCCACACCGAATAATATGAGAAGCGCTTACTACCCAATTAAGCTATAGGAATCTAGGTAGCTTGTGGCTGGGTAATAAGGGACGGAAGGCTAAGTTACTGGGATGAACCTAGTCGTGACGGCATTGGAAAAGTCTCGTGGGTGAAGGCAGAATCCAAGATGAACCGCCTCGTTGCAGCTAACGAACGGCTAAGGCTGGGTGGGGTTGAAGGCAGAGTTGCTGACGTGACGGCGAGATTCTGAAGTTCCACAAAGGACCAAAATAGCGCTATGACTAGCTCCACGAGCTTCAGGGATCGGGAGGGGCCGTGTATCGCCTCACTTTGAGCCTTAACGACGGATGTTGGACAGGGAATGCTGATCTGGCTAGGGCTTGTAGAATATTTGACGATAGTCGACGTTCCCCCAATAGTTCACCGAACCAAGAAACGTACTCCGTGCTTGGCTTCAGTTCGAAAACCCGCGTCCAGCCCGTCGCCTTCGATAACGCCGTCGAATGTATCGAGGCCTTCTCCCGCTCAAACAGCGCGATCCATCGCGATCTCTTTGTGAGACGGACCGAACAGGGTCATGGCTAGTGCCAGCCTCGCGCCAGGGGTGGGCACGGCTCATAAAGTATGCTATATCGCTCAGCCGGGCTTGGATTTCTCTCGATGCGCGATCAGCGACGCTTCAGAGGACCAACACACCGTGAATTCGACACCGCGGCCAAATCGACAATCATAGTATCGCATCTAATGATTAAAGAAACCATTAGATATACTCCCCGATATCCCGCGCGAAATGCCCCGTAAAAAGCCTGGGTCCACCGTTTGTATCGCGGGTAAAAAGCGAGGCTGTCTAGTCTGCTCTCCAACCACGAACGAGGCTCGTGGTTGGTGTGTCGTCGGTGAGCTATTTCTGGCCTTCGCTAACATGCTTGTGGGGGGCCTAATGATGTTTCCTTTCCAACAAGCCGCAAATCTTCCAGAAGGGGGAGAATTAGAGCAATTTAGCAATGTCGGGCGGAATGTGATTCTGCGAATTCGCACCGGGTTGGAGTTCCAACAGGATATATGTCGGGGCTTCATAGACATATTTCTGAATATTGTCAGAGCAATTGCAGGGAAAGATGATCCGGGGGGGGGGGTACATGACGCGAATGTTGTCGTTGCCATAGCCAATCATCACCTGAGAATCGCCTCAAATCCATCAAAACACGCCCAACCAACTGGGACCATATCCGTTTGAATACAAGAGTCCTAATTCAGTAAATATAAATCATTTCAATATCTCCTTTGCGAAAAGTAACAATAAATCATTGCTCGAGGTCAGCTAGAGAGAGTCCGGGATACCAGCGCTTTATATTTGTCCGCAACTGTCATCCGTCCCCTCCACAATATTGGGCACAACTGCATGACGCATGAAGGAAGGGAGGACCCGACTCACAAATTCCACGATAGGCAACATTGGCTGGATACAAATAGTCCTGGGTCTATAATATATGACCATCTGGTTCGTTGTCAGACGCTTTGGGGTCCAGAGGATTTCGCCGCATTCTAGTTGCCGGATCAGCACATACGTTGCCGCGTAGCCAAGTTCGCAATTGGAAGGCGAAGCGCCAGGGAACCTACCTGTTACCTCCGTTGTTTGAGTCGCTATCATTCCGCCTACAGCGGCGAGAGGCAGGCTCATAGGACTCTCTCCCGACACAATTTCCACGCCCTCGGAACGAGTCACCTCACCAGTCCCCAAGATGTCCGCCCCCGACTCCCCAGAACAAACCTTCAGCCTCTTCACCTCCCTCCGCTACGACCCCCTCCTCCTCACCTGCGCCGCCAACACCACCCTCAGCCCCACCCCATCCCCCTTCTACATGCTCTCCCACCACCGCGACCGCATCCTCGACGCAGCGCGGCACTTCAACTGGCCCGAAGCAGTCGCGCGGTTATCCGGTCCCTCCGGGCTAGATCATTTCCTCAACACCCTGGAGGACGCGGTAGATACCACTTCTACCACCCCTAGGCGAGTTCGAGCCGTGGTTGATAGACGGGGGGAGATTACTGTGGGTAGTTTTGAAATCCCATCAAGGCCGCTGAGGAACCTTTTTCCTACGCGGTTACCGCCGCCGGGGACGGCGCCGCCGAGAGTCAATCCTCTGACGGGGGGCGCGTTATCCCTAGGCGACGGTGACTCAACCGTGCAACAAGGTCCCGGCTACGGCGAGCCCTCGCGCGACGAAACCTGGTCCGTCATGCTCGACACCATAGACACCTCCCCCTCCCCCCTCACCTCCTACAAGACCACAAGCCGCGACATGTACAACTCCGCCCGAACACGGGTAGGTATAGAATCCATGTCCGACCCTAAGGAGGTGTTGATTACGAGCACGAAGGAGGGGGAGATTATGGAGGGGAGTCTGACGACGGTGCTGTTTTGGAGGGGGGGAAAGTGGGTTACGCCGCCGGTGGAGAGTGGGGGGCAGGTTGGGACGACGAGGAGGTGGGCGCTGGCCAATGGGTTGTGTGTGGAGGAGGTGGTAAGGAGGGGGGAGGTGGTGGATGGGGACGAGTGTTGGGTTAGTAATGGAGTTAGGGGGTTTATTGCTGGGGTAATAAAGCTGTAGAAGGAGTGTAAGGTTACAAACAAATAGAAATAGAAATAGAGGCAACTTAACTTATTGACAGGGCATATATCACCCCGACAGTTTCGGGCATTCCCCCGGATCACCCATGCGTCACGGGAAGAGCATAGTAGCACAAGCCGAAACCAAACGCAAGGGGTCAAAAAATCACCATTTCAGCGACCTCGTTCAATCACCAAACGGATGCCTAATGACCCTCATCCCTATGAGCATACAAAGTTCCAGTAGTTACCTGCCATAATTCACACAGCCATGTAGAAGTATATTGCCCTGCGCCCCTTCCCCGACCGACCCCCTTTCCCAAAGCAACCTTCACAGCGTACATCATACAAAGAGTCTGATGCCCTTTCTCGATATCTATACATCGTCCTCGAGGAACTTATACGCGAATTTAAAGTCTGCTTTCCGGCGGTTCATCCTAGAGGGGGTTGTTAGCTGCCGTTATTGTGGATGACGCCCGTGCGTCGTGGGTAACGATTGTGAAATGGGCCTCCGGTTTGAGAAAGGAAAGAGCTGCTTGTATCCGGGGGTTTCAAAGGGGGTTCCAAAGAGACTGTTTTGAGATATGCAGGGATCCGAAAGACACGGTAGTCGACCTTTTGTAACCATCCAGTACTAACTGGATGCCCGAAAGGCCGGTTCCCGAAGAAATTTCATTATATGCACAGGCCTCCAAGGTTCCAGCAGAGAGCATCGATTGAGGCACGCTAAACGACACACGCCTAAATAACGTTCCGCTCTCGTGCCGTTGGAAATCCCTTGTATGACCCAAAACGAGGCACCAGCAGTATACCGGATGGTTTCTGAAACTTTCCAGTGAGACACTAGTCTTCACCGTGGTATAGCCTGGTGCAGCGGATTAGGCATTATGGCGCATATCGCATGGCTCGAAGAGGATTCGCTGCTTGTTTCTCGACATGACCGTCATGCCGGGCCCGAACACTTCTACATAACAACGGCATACGCACCAGGTGCTTTCGTAATCGAAGAATCGATACGTTCCCTGCTCAAACTCCTCGGTGATTGTCTTTGGCTCTTCGTGTCGTTGGAACCAGGTTTGGTACTGCTTGTGGAAGCGCCAGCTTTGATCCTTTAACGACTTTGCCGCTAGGTATTGTTGGTAGGTCCCTTGCTTGTAGTAGAAGACGTAGAAGAGCGTATCGGGGTCAATGCGAGAGTATAACCTTGGATCATCAAATATCGGTAACGGCTCTTGAGGGTAGTATGAAGGCGTGTTGAAGCGGTATTTGGGCTTGTAGTATCGCGGTTGCTCGGCATCCAAACCGTCGGGAAACGAAGCATTGGAAGCGGCTAACATCCGTAACGATGATTGCGAGGGTGTTATCGTCGCGCGCTTTTGTGTTACCTTGAAAGACTGAATGAGGTCCTGTAGATCAGATGGAAGGTGGAATATCGACTCGTCCTGGTCTAATAGGCCAAGCACGTTAGCTGGTCCCTTTGGAAGGCCTGCCTCTGACACATCTACGGCGGCTCCCTTGTCTGCAGAGGCGCGTGATGCTTTGCCGGACTTCGCACTCTCGACCTTGTTGATGGCCGGCGTCGGTGGCATACTGCCCGCTGCTTGCGAACTGGGCGCCGGGGATTTGCTCTGCCGCGAAACAGATCGTGCCTCGTGAGCAAGTGCTGTTACGGGTATGCTTGGCCTCTGGGCGGGTGTATGAGCAGCACTCGCAGGCTGTGAAGGTGCAGCGATCGGAGATTCCTTTGCCACATGTGACGCTGGTAGAGACGCGAGGGGAGTGTTGGAGGTAGACGGTGGAGTTGCCCCCGGTGGCGGTGGTAAAGGTGCGATTCCCACAGTATTTGCCGCGGCGGCGGCTGCGGATGCATACTTTAAGGTCTCTCCCGGCAGCCTTGTAGGCACCATGGCCGGCTTCATGTTCCCGCACCCCGATCCATTTGTGAGGTTTGAAAGTGGACTATGCAATGTCGCCAAAGCAGGGAGCGGACTTCGCAATTGCGTCGACGGTCGCCTCGCAGCTGCAAGCGGAGGTTCCGACGCTGAAGGTTTTTGTTTAGAACTGGGTATGTGATCTGTCTTTGTATGCGAATCTGGCTCGTCTTGTATCGATTGTGTGTCTTGCGACGATACTCGGTCATTGTCGTTGTTCATGCCATAGATATCCTCTTCCTCTTGTAGATTAAGCTCATCGTACATCTCATCATCCTCCATAAAGTCCTCGTTCATCCCATCGGAGACGTAGTACTTGATACTCTCCTCTAGATCGGTAACCTGGTCCGTCTCTACCGCACCGTTTTCTAACGACCGTTTTATCAGTTCCAGCTTCCCTTGATGCCACTTATGTCGTTCTGTTATACGCTCTATCTCGGCCATTCGATCCGCCTTGCTGCTTTGGTTTTTTCCCTTTTTCATGGTCGCTTGTATCGATTCGCCTTCGGCCTCTAGGGTTTCTATTTGCCTCTCCAGTTCCTCGACCGTGCCACTGAGGAATTCGCAGGCTTCTAGCTTTGCCCTCTCTTTCGGGTCTAATTTCGCTGCCGCTGATAAACCCTCTTTCGAGTATGCCTTCGTCTTCATCGCCTTCTCGACCGCCTTGAACTTCTCCATTTGCTACGTGGCCGTCAGTACCCATTACGTCAATCCGCGTGATGCCCATGTCTCTCGGGCTCAACCTACGGTCTCGATAAGCTTTCTGTGATCTAACAGCGGACCCTTGTCCTTGATATCATTGCTGGCCGCCCATGTCTTGATCTGATCTCGCAGCCGTTGCAGCTTCTTGATCTCGCGCTTGAGGTTGTCCTCGAGTTTCTCCTTTTGGGCGGCGTTGGTGGACTGCTCGATCTTCTCGTATATCGACTCGAACTCAGCGACCCCTTCCGACACCTTCTTGAAGCATTTATCCACTTCCTGCTGAAGTTTGCGTGCGGCCATGGTGAGTGTCTGAGGAAGGTTGTGGCGGTGGTGACCTGTTTAGTTGCTGTCGTGATCTCGCGGCTAGCTTTATTTGCCAATCCGAGCCCATATGTGGGACAATAATGAGGGTGGTTTCGGTGCGACACGACAAGGATGCGTGTGACAAGGTGGTTTTCGAGTTGTTGCTACTTTGATGTTGTTGTTTCTTGCGGCTCTGTAATGCTGAAGTAGCTACGGAGTATAACTTACAGGACAAACGGGTCGCTTACTGTGGTAGGTGTACTTCATCCAGCCTTGTGGGGTACATGATAGACGCGATTGCCGGGATCAGAGAATTGTCGGTCTGGGGAGAAACTACAGAAGAACAATTTGTTGGATATATATTTATTTTTAAAAGCGAGTTTGGATTATTTCACGTTCATTGTTATATTAATATTTGCCCATTATTTAAAGATCTCTTTCATGAATGGCGTGTTAGAGACTGTCGACTTTATATTGAGCCAAAGTATCACCAACAACTCCTCGTCTTAGTTGAGCCTCCAGGATGAAAGGTAAAGTGCTTTCAAGGTCTCAGGATGCCCTCGCATGCTTATAATTTCTGTCAGCCATACTGCAAAGGGTAATTTCTGCCTCTGTCACTGTTGACAGGCAAGTCGTTTCTTCTATTGGAAAGGGCATACTGGTACTTGCTGCCGTTGCTCCGGGTGACACAGAGAAGGAGGTTGATGCCCTGGCTGCCAAAGTTATCAAAATGAGGCTATGGGATGACGAAGAAACGGGCGGCAGGTGGAAGCACAATGTGCAGGATATATCTGGAGATGTTCTTTGCGGTATTTTACTATCATGAGACCCTGTCGTATATCAAACTGATCTCTGAAGTCTCCCAATTTACACTCTTGGCAAATACCAAGAAGGGTTCAAAACCAGACTTCCATGGCGCGATGGGAGGGGAGCAGGCGAAAGAACTCTACCAGCGATTTGTGTTGAAGGTAGGGGAGGGATATAATCCCGAGAAGGTGAAGGACGGCGTATTTCAAGCTATGATGGAAGTGGCTCTGATCAATGATGGACCCGTGAGTAGAGTTGCTCAGACGCTGAGCATTGCTGACAGGAAATAGGTTACCTTTGAAATGTCTGTCGAGCCTAATAAACCTGCTGAGCCTAAGAAGCCTTGAGGCATACCCCGAACTCTGGATGCTCCCTGTTTGTTTCCGTAGCATGGTTTGGGGTCACGGCGTTCGTGTTGCATATAGATATTGGGCCCAGAGTGATCAATTGCACAGAGCCCCATCCAAAATAACTACAGCTGCAACAGCAATCCATCGCAGTGTTTATGATCTTTATTCAGACATCTATTCTACAGTCGCAATATAGCGCTAAACTCCGTGGCCGCCGCCTCATGCTTCCCTTTATATTCTACAGGATCAATGAAAATTCGAGTTTGCGTAGCACTCCGAGCCACGCCCTGAGCACGAAACCTCTCCATGTCTCATTTATCGACCCGTCTCGCCCGAGCCGCGGAAACGTGCTTATTTATACACATCCGTAGCAAACCTTCGTCGTCGGCCCCTTATTCGTCGCGGTACGCAGCTTCTCTGCGCTTGACCCTATCCTCCCTGGCCATCCTCCTCTTCGGACCCCAGCGCTCCTTTATAGCCTCAATCTTTGCCTTCTCGAGAGCAACCTTCTCGGCGGTTGCCTCGCAACATATGCCGATGAAAAGGGAGGTGCAGTTGAATTTTCTCGCCAGCTTCAGTCTCGTCCACGTCTCCGGATCCGAAGATCTCAACCGTCTTATCTCCGCAAAATCCTCTTGCGTAAGATGGTACCTATGGTATCCCGCGTTCTGCTTCAGGATCGCCGGGGGCAGTTTGGCCTCTTCGTCGATGCCGAGTGTCGAATTTTTCGCAACGCTGTAGAGCTGTCGGCGTTTGTCCTCTTTGGGAAGAAACTTCAAGGGAGTGTGGAGGACCGAAGGAGCGGATGATGGCGGATTGAAGATGATGTGGTCGGTAGCAGGAGAGTCTTTCGAAAGGCCAAAGGAGGCGTCGGGCTTGACGTTTAACTTCTTCTTCATCCGGCGATAGCTGGACTCATTGCGGCGACTCGATACAGTGCCAGAGAGGAGACATTGGCCTCGCCCTGCCAGGAGGTCGAATATGGGGCGGCGTAGTACCCGGAGATCCATTGTGTTGGTCTTGGATCGAGATCGTCGTCGATGTGCTCTATTTCCCTTGGAGGATTTTGGGGACCTGTCAAATAATGTGGTCACGTGGTGTGGTATTAATATACGCTAAAGCTAGATTGGGGTTGGTGGCAATTCGTCTGGTTGCCAGCTTTGCGCATTTAAGTTACTCCGATCCCGGGACTAATCTACCGAACAGAGTTAAAGACTTACTTATTATGATTAGGGTACGGACAAACCGACGACCCGAACGCACGGACCATGTCGCATCACAAGATCAGGTTTTCCTTTTTGGCTTGTGGTGGGATGAAATGCAGATTGGGTCGCATCGACCATCTTGTCCAGTTCCGAGTATTGTGCTGTGCTCTGTACATACCATCCCATACCAAGCTGTGAAACTGTTAAACCTGCCCAACACCATAAGATAGACACCAGCCAGTCCGTCTTTCGCCAGCACATCTCTTCAATATCGATTCCAAGTATGACTTCATCGACTTGTTGAGGCATCTCATCGAACACGGCGCCTCAGCTTGCTTCGCAGGTATCTATCCTACTCTCCCCCACGCCCTTACGTCGTTCCCTACCCTGTGTCATTTGGCTTGAGACCCTTTTCCCTGAATGAAGCTCTTGTCACTGACTGCGTCGCAAGGTTCGATAGAACGCATTGAGGCCTTTGTATAACTTCATGAGACCGCGATAACCACAACAGTACAATAATGGCTGGAACGGAAGTCGCGGATAAGCTGAATCGGCAAGAGACGAACACAAGCACGAATCCGGTACTCTATCTGGACGAAGCGCAGGAAATATCTCCGATTACTTCACCAGAGTCGGCCGAATCTGGCGAGGAGGGTGAAGGCACGCCGACTGGGAGTGAACCCAAGACAGCAAAGCGGCGGCTCTTTGGCTTTGGCAAGAAGAGGAAGGATGTAGCCTCGAACGAGTCAGATGCACCGAGATCTACTCCTGCGAATCTCACTTTCGTCTCCACTACGCATCCGTACATTTTGCAGTCACCACCAAACCGAAATCTACATTCGCCGTCCTCTAGAGTTGTTTCGCCGGCCGGATCTCAAATCTTCGAACGCGATGTACAAGAGGCTGCCTCACAAGTGCCTAACTCGCCAGCAATTCCCGCCCATATACAGACCGAAGATCGCATTCCTGCAGTGCTAGATGCCTCCTCGGAAGCCATTACAGACAGTGCGCTTGACCCAGACACGGTTGAAATCGTAATGCACTCGTCACACCAGCCAGCGGCAAAGAATGTAACAGGGATTGGTGGCAGCGAAGCTGCTGGCACGAACTGGTCAGAAGACTTGCTAGCACACCCTGACAAGGACGATGCCGCATCGAATTACGGTGCGCTGGATAGCGCAGATGTGAGGCGCCTGAGCTTCATCTCCTTTGCAGACGTTGTGCAATCAGAGCAAACCGAACACATGAACAACAGGGACCCGATACATATTGCAGGCCTTACCACGTTATCTTCCGGGCATCGCTCGCCCTCGCCAATTAGATCCACGGTATCTTCACAGGGGGTGGGAACTTCACCGCCAACCAGCAAGTCAGCATCTATCAAGGGCCTTGACCTATCACCCACCCGCGCCGGGAAGCCGCTGGCGAGTCCTACCTTGAGCTTCCCTTCACCAACAACAGGCTCGGATCTGAGGATTGAATCCATGAGCCAGGCGTTGAAGAAGACGGCGAGCGGCGATTTGACTGGCACACGTAGCCAGCCCAGGAGCCCTATTGGTAGTATTGAGACGCGGTTTCCATAGCTTCCTTTGCATACTTTTTGAGAGAGACACATTGGGAGTTTTTGGATATTATGCTTCGGATTGGCGAGCCGTATTTGACAATGGTAGGACGGTTTGTTGCTTATAGCTGACTTTTTTTTTGACCCTGCGGAGATATACCTGGGTGGCACTTGGACACTTGATGCATTGAGGGACATGGAGTCTGGCAAGTTCGTTTCTGGCAAATGAATGATTATGATTGTCTGGCACAACACACAGCAGCCTTGTGGGGCAGCGGTGACACGCGAAATGGTAATTGGACTAACTTATCTATAATAAATCTTTTTTGTGAAATTTCCCCGGTAAAATTATATCAGATTCCAGTCAGATCCCTGTCAGATCCCAGCTTCTTGCTCATGTCTGGCAGTGGGGCAGTGTATATCGAATGTTTCAATAATAAACAAGATGTGTCTGATTAGCACAGGGCCTTGCTCAATTACTGCGCACCCGATCCTACCTTATCCCAGACAGTATGACGATAAATAGATAGATATATGCTCGGTGAGCGCGCTTCTTTGCATGTGTAATGTAATGCACCTGTGTCCAAAATTGATTCGAGGAGCTTGAATATACTTTGAAAATCCCCAAGATGGTAATTTCATGATCTCATTAGGGTGCGATGCGATATAAATATTGGAGTCGGTGTGTCTTAGTTAGTCTTGTATATCGAACCTATCCAATGTGTCGTGCCGACGACGACAGCTCCGCACTTTGTTCCCCATTAACCGTTTTAGTCGAGTACGGTACATCAACCGCCGCAATAATACTCTACGATTCCATGAGGAGACGACGATTTACACATACTAAATCATACGCTGCAATCCTTTAACAGACCGAACAAATCTCAGGATCCATTGCAAGGCCAGGAAGCCCGTTCCTGCGCTATCTGTTGCGACTCTGATCGCGAGACGTCAGGCACCCGCTCATGCTCAGGTATGATGACGAGCTCCTCACAATTGCGACAGATCAGGGAAGACAGAAGGCACTGCTGCCACAGGGCGACTGGTTATAACGAACGATACACGCCGTCCTACTCTTGTGGTAAAACATTGGGAAAGGGTTCTTGTAAGTTACCCCAGATTACCAATTGACCCCGCGCACCGAGGTGACATCTAAACTGATCAACCACAGGCACACCGCGCAACCACAGCGCCCACGTTTCCGAGGCCATTGCCACTCCTACAATACCCACCAGGCGCACACTGCTACACCACGTACACATGAACGTCCGCTAGCCTGACCAGCTCCACCCCCCGATAAAGACTGCGCGCGCAGCGCATCCTATATCCGGCTATGGACAAGGCGGCTCAGCATGACGGCCAAGCAGCAGGTGGCGCCGTGCCACCGCCTGCGCCTGGAGACAACCTACTACAGCAAATGCAGGAGGCCGGGACCGCGTCCGCCGCTTCGGAGGCGCCGCCGCGCCGCAAAGATGACAGCATCAGGGTGGTTACGCCAGAACCGACACTTCCTCCCGGTGGTGGAACAGGGGCAGGGCCGTCTGACGTGGACGTGGCGTCACAAGCCTCGCCGCGCTCTATACTGGGATTGGAGAAGCCGTGGGAGCGTCGGCGCGGGCTCGTCTTTGAGGATGCGTTTGACACGGGCGAATCAAGCGGCCAGCAGCAGAACAAGTCGAATGAGAGCGACGTAGACGATGTGTCGAATCTGCCAAGGACGCGGCCGAGGAACCGGACAATTGATGGGGCACAGCAGCAGAGGCGCCCCTCGGGGCAGCTGCCGATGAGGCGACATCGAACAGGGTCGAACTACTCGGGATTGAGCAGCTCGGAGGAAAATATACCGAAGGAGGACCCGAAATATGTAGCTCACGCTCCGACTGCGTTCCGCTCTACACAGTCGCAACGAGCAGAGTCTGTTAAGAAGAAGCCTCTTCTTAACAGGCAGCCGAATACAAGTTCGCGGTCAGGTTCTCCGATTCCATTTCCGGCGTATGTCGATACGCTGCCTGTGCCGATCGCCACTCGCGATGCTATTAAGGTTCTCAAACTCATGAATGGTCTCAATGGGCGCATGAAGGGGGAGGTCGAATACCAGACCTCGGGACATGGTTCATGGGCTAGGGGAGTTTGTTACATTGATGATAAGGGAACTTTTCTATTTGAGGGCACTGAAGATGGGCCCAATCACCAGACCATTGTCCCAGACTTGAGGGGGTGCCGTATGAAGCCACCAATAGAAGAAAATGAGGAGAATATCCTTGACGTTAGTATCGCGTCTGGAATGCGGCTACGGCTGCGGCCACTTGATACCTCGCAGTATGAGTATTGGCTGGCAGCATTATTATCGTGGCAGCAGAATCAAGATGGGTCAAGCGCCTCTAGTTCTGAGGCAGGGGAGCTGAGATCACTTAGTCGGCGGCCCAGCTTCAGTCAGGCCAAGGACATCAATATCATCAAGGTTGGAAGGGTGTTCTTGTGGGATAAAGGCGCGTGTCAGGCAGCTGCAACAGCTGCTGGGGGGCGTCAGCGCAGCGATCGAGCGTGGCGGCTAGTCTCATGCATATTACAGGATAATGGCGAGTTGAAGCTCATGACAGAAAATGACGTCTCACTTCTGGCTACGATTCAGCTGTCACAGTTGTCAAGATGTGGCATTCAGGAGCTGGATAAGACGGTTTTAAACCAGGAATACTGCGTTGCCATTCTCCCTCAGTACACGGCGGCGGCGACCTCAATATCTATTGTATCACCAGTATTTATTTCCTTGGAATCTCGGGTCCTCTTCGAAGTGTGGTATGTCCTACTACGGACGTTTACAGTGCCGGATATGTACGGGTCTCAAATTTCCGCAGACGGCTCGGATGGTCCAGACTCCCTCGTCATCCCTACCCCGGACGACCTCTTTCGAATTGAAAAGACGCTCTCCATCCGGACAGTTGAGGCCAAGCTTCGGCCAACGGGTAAGAAAGCCGAGCAGCCCGTGGACGGACGGCGGGGACATAAATCCGAACCCGACCCGTCTGTAGGAGATTACTTTGCCGAAGTCATTCTTGACGGAGAAGTTCGCTCAAGGACGACGACAAAGTTTGGGACGAACAAGCCTTTCTGGCGCGATGAGAGCGAGTTTGGCGGGCTACCCGCTGCACTCCCGGAGATCTCGATTGCTCTCAAGAGGATGAAGTCGAAGTCTCAGCCTCAACCTCAGGTTCATGGGTCGAAATCTTCCGTTAGCGTTCAGACGCCGGAAGTTGTGTGGGAGGTCCTATGTGGCATTGTACACATCCGCATGGATCAGCTGGATCGCGGTAAGGATGTGGAGAATTGGTGGCCGGCATTGAATGAGAAGAAGGAAGTTATCGGCGAGATGCTGATACGGGTGCGCCATGATGAGCTCGTTGTGTTACTGTTGAAGGAGTACAAGGCTCTATCTGATCTCTTGCATAAGTTTACCACGGGGTTGACGCTGCAGATGTCCCAATATGTGCCATCCAAGCTCCGGTTCTTAGCGGAAACATTGCTGGATGTGTTCCAAGTCTCTGGGCAGGCTCAGCAGTGGCTGGTATCTTTGGTAGAGGACGAGATTGACGGGATCAGCAAAGAAACGCCGGTTCAGCGTCTGAGGTTCAGTCGACGCATGGGCTCGAACGATTCGTTTGATTCGGTCAGCGACAGAGAGGTACAACTCCGTGACATGAACAAGTCTCTCACAGGCGAAGCCAATCTCCTCTTTCGCGGCAACTCCCTCCTCACCCAAGCATTGGACTTCCACATGCGCCGCCTCGGAAAAGAATACCTCGAAGACCTCCTCAGCGACAAAGTCCGCGAAATCAACGCCATGAATCCCGACTGCGAAGTCGACCCCTCCCGTGTCGGAGCCAGCGAAGACCTAGACAGGAACTGGGCCACCCTCAACGCGCTCACCAGCGACATCTGGGCCCATATCTCGGCCTCGCACAACCAATGTCCCCCCGAACTACGCCAGATCCTAAAATACGTCCGCACCGTCGCCGAAGACCGCTACGGCAACTTCCTCCGAACCGCCCCCTACACCTCCGTCTCGGGCTTCCTCTTCCTCCGCTTCTTCTGCCCCTCCCTCTTGAACCCTAAACTCTTCGGCCTCCTCCGAGACCACCCCCACCCGCGCGCCCAACGCACCCTAACACTCATCGCGAAATCCCTCCAGGTCCTCGCCAACCTCTCTACCTTCGGCCAGAAGGAAGCTTGGATGGAGCCTATGAACCGTTTCCTCGCACAAAACCGTCAGAACGTAAAGGATTTCATCGACAACATCTGCTCCATCCCCGTGGACCGCCCGCGCACCCCCCCGCCAGCTTCCTACTCCACCCCCCTCGCCATCCTCAAACGCCCCCCCATGACCTCCCGCGAGGGCTTCCCCTCCCTCCCCTACCTCATAGACGAAGCGCGCGCCTACGCCGCCCTCGTCCGCTTCTGGCTCGAAGCCGTCGCCAGCGACACCGCTCGCGTGGCCGAATTCTCCGGCGACCTCCTCGCCTTCCACAACGAGTGCGTCGCGCTGCAAAAACGCGCAGACGAGTGTCTCCGCCGCGCCGAGGTGGAGGCGAAAGTCGAAGAGCCGCCGGAGCTGGAGTGGACTGATATCCTGAGGAGTTTGGAACGCAGTAGTGCGTTGGATCAGCGGACGTTTACGGAGAATGATATTGTGCCCCATGCGGCGAATTCGTATCCGCATGCTACGCCGAGAGAGGCCGCGAGGTGGAATCGCAGCGATGATAGTACTATTCCTGCTGTGCCGGGGTGGGTGGGCTCGGAGACGGGGAGTAGGGAGAGGAGAGAGCGGCAGACGTTTTGGGAGAGTACGTTTGGGAAGGAGAGTTCCCGTGCCCCACGCCCGCTGGCGGCTGATGCGTTTGGCAGCTCCCTGGATATTGGAGCGGCGGGTGCGTCGCCGCCGACGGAACGGGGGGGGAGTAGGGATGGGAAGGGCGGGAAGGGGTTTTTAAGTGGTGTGAGTGGGGTGTTGAGAAAAAAGGGAGGGGGAGAGAAGGAGAGAGAGAAAGAACGGGGAAAAGAACGCGCTAAGGCGGAGAAGGAGGCTGTTAAGGAGGAAGAGAGGGAAAAGGAGCGGGAGAAGGAGAGGGAGAGGAAGGAACGGCATATGATTACGCGCGAGAGGAACGCTCAGGGGAGTGAGGAGAAGGGGAAGGGCGCTGCTGTGTGAGTGAGTGGTGGTGGGTTAGAGAGCGATTTTGAGCATTTGTCGATTTCCTCCGTTTTGTAGGGGGGTTGAAAGGACCGGGACGAGCGAATGAAGGGACGATTGGGAGACACAAAGCAAGCATTGCACGCATACACACACTGCCGCGAAATATTAATTAGTAGTTTTTAATGGTCTGCGAAACATGGGAATGTGGTCTTTTTGTGTCTATTTTGGGGGAGTGGCACTCGTTTTTTTATTTGTGAAGAATTTTTGATGCGTGCACACATCTTTGGTGGGAGGGGGGTGACTATAGACATAGAGAGGGGTAACATCTTGTGTTTTTTGTCTATTTTTGTAGGGGAGGGAGAGGGTGGAAGACGAAGTGAATTAACGCTGGAAATATCCATTTATCTACTTCTCTTGTTTGTTTTGTGAGGCTCTGTGGTTATCTATTTCCTTCATCTACTTATTCGTGAGGCGCTCTCTTCTTGGGAGCCCTCTTTCCCAAGGAGGCATTTCAATGTCAATGCAATTTATGCCAGCCTCGTCCCCCCTGCATGCGCCTCCCGGCACGACCTCATCTCTCGTGCGGAGCGACTGCGCGCGCCTTCCTTCACTTTGCAATTTCATCGCGCTAGGCTAGGGAATCTTTGCGCGACGGAGTAGGGAGGTGTTTTATGCAACGCTTCTAACCGCAGGAGTGAGAACGGCTTTCTCACACTCGAGACGAGATGGCGGTAGCGGTAGCGGTAGCGACGATAGATTCCTCTGCTGTCAAACAGCCCGGTGATGTGGATAAAGAAGTCAAGAGGCTCTGGATCACGAAATTGAGCCTACGCTGCCTCGCGACGGTTTTCTGTCTCATCGTCATCGGGTGCTGTGCTGGGACTGTCTTTGGGAATCCTATGTTGATAGGTCCAGTAACTCATTACCCCCATCCCATAGCCTGAGCTGGAGTACTTCTTTCTAACCACCTTTACACAGGCCGGCGACGCGTTGATATAGAATATCGCCGAAGGAATCACGTTGTTTGTCCGCCGGCGCAAATACAAGGGAATCCACCCCGGTGCCTGCGTCGGCGTCGACTTAGTCCTCTGGCTTGCGCTGGGGGGGATGTCGGGGTATGAGGCGGCTATATTGTTCGATGTAGGGAATTATATCTCTGACTCGCTCAATTCGCTCTATATCATTGCTGTGGTCGTTGGGTTGGTCATAACGTATGATGCTGCTACGGAAAGATATATGGGATAGCAACTAACCTGTCTTTGATAGAGCCTTACTTATCGCCCTCTTCATCATAGCTTGCATCGAGACGCACCGCCAGCGGAAGACAAATGTGCCACATGCTCCCGCCCCTTTCAACACCTACCAGCAGCAGCCTGGCGCATACAACCCTCACCAAGCCCCTTTCTCCAACCCCCTTTCTTCAATCCAAACCAGCAACCCGGCCCCTCCAACCCAAACGCGCCCTTCAACCAGAACCAACAACCCGGCGCGTTCAACTCAAACCAACCTCCTCCAACCCCAATGCGCCCTTCAACCCAAACTAGCAGCCAACCCCCCCCCCCCCCCCCCGGGGCGCTTTTCATACCTAACCAACAACATTGACAACAAACAAACTCCCATCCCACAACCTTCCCCCCTACCTCCCCCTTCCCGGCCCATTACGCTCAGCCACAAACACAAACACCCTCTCCCCAATCCACCACCACTCAGCCGCAGCCTCAGCACCAGCCATTCGGACAAGCCACCGTGGCACCTCCTCAATGGCTCGGGACTTCGACGCCACAGGGGCAGTATGACATGTCTAGTTCTCCAGCGCCTCATCCAGCAGGAGTCTTCAACGGCGGGCCCCCTCATGCAACAGCGGGGTTCAACACCGTGCAGCAGCAGTCAGCATGAGTTATCAGGAGGAACCCCGGCGCCGGGGTTCACGCAGGTTGCTCCGCAGCAGATGTCACAGTATGCGACTCCAGCGCGGAGTCTACCACCAATGTATGAGATGTACGTGCGCCCTACTGGTGGGGAGGGGGGTGTGAATCCGCACGAGATGAGGTAGCGTGTCGGAGGGAAGGGATGAGTGTAATATTATACCCTATGTAAGAGAGAGAGAGAGCTGCGAATTTGAGATTGTTGCGAACTCTATAAATGGCGGAGAATGTGTATATTTTGCGGTAATTCCTTTTCGGGGGTGGGTATTAGGGTTTGTAGTAAAATATGTGGTATACTGGCCTTTTTTTGTTGTCTATATTGTGTCGTGAACTCTGCGGATGGCGGAGGTCTAGAGTCGTAAGGGTTCATCTGACTGAACTATTTGGACGTCGCTGCACCTGCCGACTCGTAAAATTGGAGATATCCATTCATCTATCTACCCCCATTCCTCGTTCGTGAGATGTCATAGCTATTCCTCTTGCTCCCTTCCTTCCTCCTTCGCACCCACTCTCCACCAACCATCCATCTCCCCCTTTTTTTTGAAAAAAAAAACCAAAAAAAAAAATCACCCCACGCTCAATCCCTAAATCAGACTCCCCCCATCCAACCCCATAAACATCCTTATCGATCCATCCAACCCCCCCTCCCCCATCTAATCAAAGAACTTTCCATAAGCCGCCTTCTCCTTCCTCGCCCTCTCCGCCGCCCTCGTCTTCACAGCACCCAACTCCTTCACCACCGCCGCATCGCCCGGCACCAGCGCCTTCGCAGCTTCAAGATCCTTCAACGCAGCCTCATCATCTTTCATCCCCACGCTCGCGAGCGCGCGGCGGTACAGCGCTTTGGCTTTCTCGACGTCGGTGATGGAGGGGACTTCGAGGGCGAAAGTGGCGGATTTAGCCGCGTCGGGGAAGAGGGAGAGTTTGTTGGAGAGGAGGGCGGAGTTGGAGTAGAGGGTGAATCTGAGCTGTCGGAGGGCAGCCTTGTCTGAATCGGAGGCGGAATCGAGATCCGGGTCTTCGTTCAGGTAGCGCAGTCCCTTCTGATACTTATCCAACCCCAACTGCAAGTTCCCCGCCTTGAAAGCCGTGTTGCCGTACTCTTTGAGCGCGCTGGCGATCTTCACGATCTCGGCGGCGCTGAACTCGTTATCCCCCGTCTTGGCGTCCTCGGGGAAATCCTCATACGCGTCCCCAGTAGCATCAGCCTTCTTTGAACTCCCCACCTCGTAATCCGCCGGCAACTCCCCACACGCCGTGATCGTGACATCCTTCGCCGGCTTATCCGATCCCTGGGTAGGCAGATTCTCAATCTGTCTCACGATCGACTTCCCCGCCACCACCTCACCAAAGACCACATGTTTATCATCCAAATGCGGCGTCGGGACCGTCGTAATAAAAAACTGACTCCCGTTCGTCCCCGGCCCCGCATTCGCCATGCTCAGCAAGAACGGCTTGGTATGTTTAATCTCGAAATTCTCATCCGCGAACTTCTCGCCGTAGATCGATTCACCACCCGTGCCGTTACCGGCGGTGAAGTCGCCGCCTTGGATCATGAATTGCTTGATCACGCGGTGGAAGGTGGAGCCGGCGTAGGAGAGGGGTTTGCCGGATTTGCCGACGCCCTTCTCGCCCGTGCAGAGGGAGCGGAAGTTCTCGGCGGTGAGGGGGACGATGGAGCTGTAGAGGGTGAAGATTATGCGGCCCATGGGCTTGGAGCCGATGGAGATGTCGAAGTAGACGAGGGGGCTGGGCATGGTTGCGGTTTTGGGGGGTCTGTGTGGGAAGTGAATTGAGAGGTGAGGTGAGAGGTGGATTGAGTTATTGGTGGGTTTTTTTGTTTGTTTGTTTGTGGTGGTGGTGGGGGTTTAAGAGCTTCAGCGCTTAGTTTCTTGATGTTGAGGCCCGGATTATTTATTAGCCGCGATTGCGGGGGAGGGTTGTTTGGGGCTTGGGGTGCAAGGAAACTTATATTGTGAGCATACTGGATTGTAAGATCTTACTAGAAGGTTAAATAGCTTGAGGATATGTAGCAATTGTACCTTCTGGTAGATCATTAATTTTAGTTATACCTGATTTCTCTTCTATTTCATGTTTTCATTATCATCGACGCAGCCATCCTCGACGCTATCCCACAACCTCCTACCAACGTACAAGCCATATACGACTGTACTATGCCATATCATCACTACTACAGCAGCAAACAACCAACCTAACCCCCCCCCCTTTCTAAATCCCCCATTTCTCCCTCTCCCCATCCCCCGGCACAACCTTCCAACACCACCCACACCAACTCCTCCCCCCTCCCTCTCCCTAATCATAAACCTCCCCACCCCCCTCTCATCCTCCCACTCCTCCACACACGCCCCCACCCTCGCCCTCCGAATCAGCTTTCTCTTCACCACGCCCCCAATCCCCTCAATCTCATGCCTCGCGTACCCCGCGCCTCTCCTCACACTTCTAACACTTCTAACACTTCTAACACTTCCTCCTTCACTTCCATCACTCGGCGTAGGACTAACCACGTCCCCCCTCCCCCCTTCTCGCCCATCTTCTTCACCCTCTCGCAAATCCATCGCATCGCAATCAACCTCCTCCTCCACCACCGCTGCGGCCTCACACTGCCCCGCGCGTCCACACCGTCTACTCCCCTCCGCCAGCGTGGGCGAATACTGCATCCGCCACCGCCAGATGGAGTCGTAGGTACTATCTGCGCTTTTCAAGCCGCGGCCGCAGGGTTGGCAGAGCCAGACCCCCGCGGAGGCGCAGCGGCAGACGGAGCGCGCGATGGTGGAGGTTGTTACGGGGGTGGCCGGGATGGGGACGGGGAGGGGTGGGGAGAGGAGAGAGGAGAGGGAGAGGGAGAGGCAGGTTGGACAGAGGCGGCGGTGGCGGTGGTGGAGGAGGGTTGGGGCGGGGGGTTTGGTTGCGCAGTTCTGTTTGTGTTAGTACCATAATCATAGTCCAATCTCCGACACACGATTCCTCCCTTAGGTTTAGAGAGAAGGAAGGGAGTAATGGAGAAAGAGAACAACAAGAAAATAAGCGTACCCTACAAACAACAGCCCCACACCTCCTACACCCCCTCACCAAATCCCTCGCGCACTCCCCCACCTTCCCCTCCATATTCGCCCCGTCGTCCTCCACGAAATACCAGTTCGTCGCCCGCGCCCGGTAGCGCAGGGTATGGTTCTTATTCAGCGTCACAGCATCGTTGCTACATCGCAGCGTTCGGCTGATGAGCTGGGACCGGAACTGGAGGAGGTTCTCGCGGATCTGCCGGCAGGTGCGGGCGAGGCTGTCGAGGGTGTTGAGGTCGATGTGGGAGGTTATTATCGTTGCTGCGCTGAGAGGTGTTAGTGCTGGCCTCTGTAGTAGAGTGTGGAATGGGAGGGGTGGGAGGGCCGAGGGGGGCGAACGGGTAACACGCGAAGACTTCGGTGATGGAGTTGCGATTCGCGTTGATGACCTCGACGGGCTTCTGGTCCGCGGAGATGGAGAGGGAGTTTAGTCCACCCGTCTCAAAGGCGGCGCGCGCCTGGCACTCAGCTGCATAACGCGCGTCGGCGTCTTGGGGCGCGGTGTCGTCGTCGGGGAGCTCGACGAAGACAGCCATGGCGGGGTTGATGGAGCGCGGTCTAGGCCTCGAGGAGCGCGATGGATCTACAGGGTGTAGAAACAGAGTGAGTCGATGGCGGGGAGATGAGAGAGTAATCTCCTTGGTAGACCCATTGGCCTTTTTGCCTGTCGACGGCCTGGACTTGTGGCTGGTAGTTACAGACATGGACGGAGGGAAGACTGGAGGGCGGGGGGGATGGATCAATCAATATCCGGCAGGGTACGGTACCTGATGCGGGCGGGGTCTTGGCATGGCGGGGTGGAAGGGCGGGTTCATCGCCATGGTATGGATCGTGTAGCCGCGCGGTGGCATGGATTAGGGATCCGCGGTGGGTAAGGAGCGGCTGTTTGTTGATATGATGTAATTTCGGAGGATGATAATTAGTATGGTTACTTATATTTCCTTATTTGGTAAGAGGAGGGCCGAGCTGTCTGTATACACTGAGTCAAGCGCTGGACAAATGGGTTCCCCCACTCCTACTCGGAAGTTTCATATGGGCAGGCACGCACGCGACGTGCTTGGAGAGGAACCCCCACGCCACTGGATGGGATGCGTGGAGGCGGGAGAGGGCCCATGTAAGGAGGCAGGGAGCAGGCGTACAATGTAAATTAATTTGGCTGAAGCTGATGCTAAGGCTGAGGGTGAGGAGCTGCTTAGAAGATGTTATAACTATATTTACTATAAGTTAAGGTTAGTATACATCTCACGATAGGCTGCACATTATACCACATCGACCGTCTTTTTGTCTCAAAGTGAGACCCGTTAGCAAACGCCACTGGAGTTTAATGAGTTTTATAGCTAATCTCTACGACTAATGGCTACGACTAATGGCTACGACTAATGGCTATGATAATGGCTACGACTAATAGCTACGACTAATAGCTACAACTAATAGCTACGACTAATAGCTGCCACTATAGCTACCACTAATAGCTGCCACTAATAGCTGCCACTAATAGCTACCAGTGTTCAGCCGCCAAGATGCAACATGATCACTAATCTGGTCACTGATCTGGTCACTGACTTTACCGCCGGCTTGCCACAAACTTACCATTTATACCATTTATACCACTTAACCACTTAACCACTTAACCACTTCCACTTAATCACTTAACCACTTATCCACTTATCCACTTATCCACTTAACCACTTAATAACCACTTACTAACAAGCCCGCAGTTGGTCTTCTTAGTAGAGTTAGTAGAGTTACAGTAGTCGTCCTCTTAGAGTAATACTGTAGTTGCCCTTATAGACCCACCAAGCGCGGATTTAACAACCAATGTACTCTAGCGCTACTTTATAGCGCTAGAGTACATCTAATAGCGGTTATGATTATCCAGTATGACGGTGAGAGGAAGTGACTGAGTGACCTCCAGGTGACCGTCTCTATTGCTACTTATCTGTACTGTCTTCCCTGTACTCTCCATGTACCTTGACCATAGACCCTTGCTTTTTTTTACCACCACCACTGATTGCTGTCACGCCTCCCAAAATAATATCACACCAGCCCATAACCTGCCCATAGTTTACTCACCAAAGGCTTCCCTTCTTTCTTTCTTCCTCCTCTTATCTTCTGACCACACTCCTAGATAATCTCTTTTACTCCACGCCACTCTCTTTTGCACCTTATATCACAGAGCAGAAGAGTATTTCTTCGCCCATTGCTTAATTCAACACTGCCGCCCGCCCGTCCTGCCTGTGACGTCTTCCACCCAACACCACAGCCGAGACCACCAACATCAAAAGAACGAACGACGAACGAACGCCTCCGGCATCGCCATAGTCCTCACCCAAACAACCCTCTCACGATGAGCACGACAGATGGGAATAAGCCAAACGAGTCAAACGGTAACGGTACGCCAAACGAGCCCAGACATGTGTCAATCGAGATCGGCGAATACGCCCCTGCCGACGCCTACTACGGTCTGAAGAACACCGCTCACCAGAATCCGCGGAGACAGTCGACCTTTTCTACGGTGCGTATTGTGGGATATACTGTATGATCTGGACAGTAGCTGACGGGAGATCTAGAACTACGCTGCTTCACGATTCCGCGAGGACACGCTGTCCGAACTGCCAGCTCGCCGTGGTAGCCATGGTAAGTTGCCTCTATACCGCCACCCTGACCACCTGCTCACCAACCACAGACGAGAGCACCCTCGGACAACTCAAGTTCCTGATCAACGTCGACAGCACACTAGAGAACCTGCAGAAGCAAGAAGACACCGATAACAACTTCCAAATCACCATCGAGGATAATGGCCCGAAGGTAGCTCCAACCCGCTCTATACCAGCTCCGACTGCGGAGGTTAACATTATTTTCAGGTCATCTCCCTCGGCACTGTTACTTCCAATGGCTTCCGACGCCATGATATCCGCGGCACATACATGCTCTCGAACTTGCTCCAGGAACTATCACTGGCCAAGGAGGCCGGTCGTCATATGATCGTGCTGGACGAGTCGAGGCTGAATGAGAACCCAGTGAATCGCCTGACCCGCCTCATTAAGGACACCTTCTGGGATAGGTTAACCCGGCGCATTGATGGACACGTGATCGAGATTGCTGGCAGGGACCCCAAGGACTGGACGGATGACCCGAGACCCAGGATTTATATCCCGAGAGGTGCACCTGAGCAGTTTGAGTACTACACCCAGGTGGCCAAGGACAGACCGGAAGTCCGCTTGGATGTCCAGTGGCTGCCGGAGAAGATCACCCCAGAAAGTGTCCGCGATATGAACGCAAAGCCAGGGCTTCTCGCTCTGGCAATGGAGGAGTCCCACGATCCCAGCACCCAGAAGATGACGCTGAGGGGTGTGCCTTTTGTCGTGCCTGGAGGTCGCTTCAATGAGCTGTACGGATGGGATAGCTACATGGAGTCGCTTGGTCTCATTGTTAACGGCAGAGTCGACCTTGCCAAGGCCATGGTCATCAACTTCTGCTTCTGCATCAAGCACTACGGCAAGATCCTCAACGCGAACCGCTCCTACTACCTGTGCCGCTCGCAGCCGCCCTTCCTCACCGACATGGCCTCCCGCGTCTACGACAAGATCCAGCACGAAAAGGGCTCGCGCGAGTTCCTCCGCCTCGCCACCCTCGCCGCCATCAAAGAATACCGCAGCGTCTGGACCGCCGAGCCCCGCCACGACCCCATCACCGGCCTCTCGCGCTACCGCCCCGAGGGCCTCGGCGTCCCACCCGAAACCGAAGCCTCGCACTTCATCCACATCCTCGAGCCGTACGCAAAGAAGCACAACCTCACCTTCAACGAATTCGTCGAGGCCTTCAACAACCGCGAGATCCTCGAGCCAGAACTCGACGACTACTTCATGCACGACCGCGCGGTCCGCGAGTCCGGCCACGACACGTCCTACCGCCTCGAGCGCACGTGCGCCGACCTCGCCACCATCGACCTCAACTCGCTGCTGTACAAATACGAGGTTGACATCGCGCGCATCATCCGCGTCCACTTCGACGACAAGCTCGCCGTCCCCGCCGAATTCTGCACCGGTAACATGGTAGCGGGCCAACTCGAGACGTCGGCGCTGTGGGACCGCGCGTCGCGCGCGCGCAAGAAGGCGATTAATAAGTACCTCTGGAACGAGGAGAAGGGCATGTTCTTCGACTACAACACCGTGTCGCAGCATCAGCAGACCTATGAGTCCGCCACCACCTTCTGGGCCATGTGGGCTGGTCTCGCGACGCCGAGGCAGGGCGAGCAGATGGTCGCGCAGGCTGTTCCCATCCTCGAGGCCGCTGGAGGTCTGTTATCAGGTACCCGTCACAGTCGTGGCGAGATTGGCCTCGAGAGACCGAATCGGCAGTGGGATTATCCCTATGGCTGGGCGCCGCAGCAGATGTTGGCGTGGACGGGACTCCAGAGATATGGACACCAGGATGTTGCCGAAAGGTTGGCGTATAAGTGGTTGTATATGATTACGAAGGCATTTGTGGATTATAACGGCGTGGTGGTGGAGAAGTATGATGTTACGCGCCCTGTGGACCCGCATAGGGTGGATGCCGAGTATGGGAATCAGGGGTTGGATTTTAAGGGGGTGGCTAAGGAGGGGTGAGTTTTTTCTCTTTTTTCCCTCAACTCTCCATTCCTCTCTCTCTTTCTCTCTTTTTTTTTGTTGGGCAGCCAGCTAGCCCCCCCTCTTGCCTCGCACAAGCAAGGGATAGCTATACTAACGCAAACATAGCTTCGGATGGGTAAACGCCAGCTACGTCTACGGGATGCAGATCTGCAATGTGCACATGCGTCGCGCCCTGGGGACTTGCACGCCCTATGAGACTTACCGCAAGATGACCGAGCATGGTCTGTGAGCTGGTCTGCGGTTCTGCATCCCTGTCCTGTTCCGTCCCCGTCCGTCCGCCTCCCTCCCTGTCCCAATATGACAAGGTTTTTGGATACACATGCGCATACGCGCCCTCCCAGCCCTTTGCGTGCATTCGGTGCTAGAACCCCGCGCATCACCACCATTCATCTGGGAGTACTCCCTCAGGGCGTGGTACGGAACTGTCCATCCCTACCCCATCCGCCTCATGCTATCTGGAGATACGGGGTATAATGAAAGAGATGGATCGGGTCTTTTAGACTGTACTGTATACTATCACCACTGCATAGATGATACATGTGGCCTACAGAACACACATGGGATACAGGACATAGGCGGTGTGGTCTTTTTTTGTCGGTTTTACAGGTGTAGAATGGGACGGTAGAGGAGCTGCTATGCTGCATTGGGGGGGCTGTATGAATGGATGGATGGATGCGTGGGTGAAAGGTTGTGCACAAGATGGGATTGGTGGATGCATGGATGTGCGGTTGTAGGCCGGGTTTGTGGATGTAGATACGAGTAGGAGTGAGTAGGAGTTAAATAAAGGGGGTTCATCAACTATCCTTTCTAACCGCCCTAGCGAAATTGCAAAGCTAAACCTCCCATAATCATTTCATCTCATCCACCTCTCTCGACGTTTCAACGTTTGTTTGTATCACATTTTACCGTAGCAGCACGAGCCTATCTTCGACTCGCGCCTGTTTCTATTTCGTGGTTTCCCGCGCGCAAGATCGTGCAAAGTTCACAAGGTTTGTGACGACACATTTCTTAACCACTTACGTCGCAGTTAAGTTAAGTGGTTAAGAAATGCACAGAAAACCAAAAGAAATAAATTACGTGATGTCATTGTGATGATAACGCTAAAATGAGCTGAAGATCGTGGTTGTACTTATGTGACTCTGGATTCTCTAGGCCCACAGGCTGAGTTATGGGTTCAGCATCGACCGGAGTGGATGCCCAAGTTAGCAGGCGCACAGTGCAGAAGCAAGAGTTTTAAGTAAAAAAGAGTTTATAAAAAAGGTTGTATGGCTTCGGTTTCATTGTTCGTTTCCTAGTATTGCTACGAACATTAACGTTGTTGGCTCTTTAACAGTTCCTTTTAGTTAGGTAACTTATGCTTCCTTCGCCTACACGAATATTAACACTAATGAAATGAACAAATGTATACTCGTCTCCCTATCGAAACTTCAAATACGTAGCTTGACACGACAGAGACCATCATCCACCCGTTTCAGCCGAGATTTTGTGTAGATCTACCTTTTTTTCTCTACGTAGGGAAAAATAACTTGGAAGGTTTGGGTGGGGGACAGTTCCTGTAGTTATTCTGAGAGATCTAAAGATACCAACACATCCCTTACTTCCAATAGCATTTCTCATATCGAGCCTTTATGTTTATAGCATGTGGTGAGCGCAATCGTTTTCGGAAATCTTTTTGGTATCATGGAACGCATCGTCTATCTTATGTATACATTACTCGTCCAGGAGGCGGATATTCATCCATCCATCCATCCATAGCATCCACCCAAATGCCAGAAAAAATTCCGCCTACCGTCCCAAACAGAAACGCCTTTGAATCCCCCCAAATTCCAAACTCCAACCCATAAACCGACCCCCCTTTCTTCCTTCCCTTCCCAATCCTAAATCCCAATCATTTCTCAACCCCCCAATCAACACCCCTCCTCAAACAACCGCACCCCCCTTCCTCCTCCTCGCCCTCCCACTCCCAAGATCAATACTCTTCATCTCCTCCAACAGCGCCCACGCATTCTCCTGCGGCTCCCCCCTCCCCTGCCCCGCACTCATCGGCACCTTCCCCGGCACCGGCGGCGGCCCCCCCATTCCCCCACAACCTCCCTGTCCCCTATACCCCGGCGACCCCGTACTATACCCATTCACCCCTCCATACTCCTCTCCCCCCCAATCCCCCGCCTGCGCCCTCGGCAGACTCCTCCCCCCCCATCCCTCGACCCAGGCGTCGACTGATACAGATTCGGATTCGGACTAATCGGCGCCAACGGGCTCGACCCCCCCACCGGCGCCGGCGCAGCAGACACCCGATGAGCCTTCTTCTGCAACCTCGTCCGTCCCTGCGCCGCCGGCGCCGGCGTCTGTTCCGCATACGAGCTCTGCGGGCGCTCGCGCCTTTCCATTCTCCGCGCCCCCCCAGCAGCAGGCGCGCGCTGGCGCGCCGCGGCGTCGAGTTTCTTCTGCAGATTCGGCGGCAGGGCAGCCCATGACGCCTGCGGGAGATGGTCGGAGGGATCGACTTCTCTGCCGTCGTAGAGGATGATTTTTGCGTCTGGATCGGGCTCGGTGGGTGTGACTGCTGGTGCGTGCGGGTTTAGTGATGAATAGTCGTCAGGGCCGAAGGGGACGGAGGAGGAGAGGGGACGCGGGGAGGGGGAGGGGGGGCGGGGGAGACGGATTTGCGGTGGATGGTGTGGGTGTGGCTTGGGGAGGGGTTGGGGGAGGGTGGGTGGGGGGAGACGGGTTGGGGTTTGATGACGTTAGTGTAGGTGGATGGGATGCCGCGGGATTGGCGGTCGGCGGGGGCGGCTTGGGGTGGGTAGCCCATGGGCTGGGTGTAGTGCTCTGAGCGGGCATCGTTGTGGTATTGAGGTTTCGGGGGCTGGTATGACTGCGGCGACTCGGAGTAATGCGTTGGTGCGGAGGAGAACTGGGAGTAGCTGTCGTCTCTAGGCCGGGTGTCGGAGTGGATCCTGTCGGAGATCCCGCGCTGGATTAGGGGGTCAAAGCCGGCTACCAGCGATGGAGGGAGCGATGGCATTGGGCTAGTTTGTGGTGGCTCAATCGAATCTTGAGTGTATGACCGTGCTGGCGGTGGCTGGTCATAATAAGGATCAGAATGTCGGTTGTCAATGGCTTCGTGCGATGCATTGTTTTTATAAGCATTGGAATTCATCTTGTAGTTTCCAGATGTTGTACTTCCCATGCCATTCAAGTTCAGAGGCGCCGGAGATGGAACATCATCGTATCGTCGGTCTCCATATTGTGACATCTGCGGCTCGCTAGCTCGGTGCGAAGCAGTAGCAAACGGGGTGGGTGATGGTGGCGCGTCCTCAACTGTCGGCTGCATAGAGCTGAACGTGCTGTTGTGGTATCTATCGTCGTATGAGTTATGCCTTGACCTGGATCCTTGGTAGTGGTCCTGCTGGCCATACGATGAGGGTGGTGGTGCCGGCGCCGGAGCATGTTGCTGGCGTGGAGGAGTGTACGGCTGTGGCTGTTGTGGAACATTCTGAGAATAAGCTGGCATAGATTGCCTTGGGTTATCTTGCCTCAGGTGATCAAACTGGGCCTCTCTCGTTGGGTTTGGTGGAGGAAACCCATAGCCAGGGCTAGATGCAGGCGCAACAGCGGTTTGATGAACTCTGTGTACTGGCGGTGGCGGTGGTGGCCCATCGGGGCTCGATGGAGGATCGTAATCCGAAACAGGCGGTTCGTAGGCCATTTGTTGGGGTGCATACTCCTGTCGAAGATCGTTGCGGCTGCGGGTGTAAGGATCCTCGTGTCTACTGGAGACATTGCTACCGTTGTAGTTCTCTTCACGAGGCTGGCCATCGTCATGTCTATCGTTGTACATATCCCGTGGATGGTGCCTGTCAGGCGCCATGCCTGGTGCTTGGTTGTAGCTCTTGATAGCAGGCGATACATGCTTGCTGTGAGATTGCGGGAGAACATGTGGCGGTGGGGTATTATAGTCTGTTTGTAGCGGCGGCTGGTCCATTCCAGTAGGTCCATATCGTCCTTGGATAACTTGAGAGTGCGTCCTGACATGCGTCGGAGTGTTATACTCCAGATTCTGCAGAGGAGATTGTGCCTGAATATAGGTCGGCGGCGTATTATATGCTGATCCCCGCGGCTGCTGAACCTGGACATGCTCAGGGGTGGCATACTGCCTTTGCTGCGGAGGCTGGACATGCTCGGGCGTGTTGTATGCAATCGGCTGCGGGGATTGAGTGTACTCCGGCACTGGCGCAGCATGCATTTTAGGCTGCTGAGGCGGGTGGTCCGGCGTCCCATTTGTATATCCCCTCGAGGGCTGTGGTAATACCCGCTCCGGAGTCTCAATCGGGCTCGGTGTTGCGCCCGTAGGGTCGCTCGGCAGCGGCCTCCTCTTCATCAGTTTCTCCTTAGGGCCTCTTGGTCCGCTCAGGGACTCTCTGGGTCCTCCTTCCACTGCGCTTGGTGCGCCTTCCCTGACTCTCTCTCTCAGCTTCTCTTGCTTAGGCCTCGTGTCGTAATAGGTGATCTCGATTCTGATCTCTCCCGCGTATTTTCCACGGCAATTCAGCGTGTGCCACAGGTCGTTCTGGCCGCCACCTGGCACGAGCACGTCTTGGAGGTTTACCCAAGCCTCCCCAATGAGATCCGTCTTCTTATCATCGTTGAAAACGGAAACCTTGAGCTGATAATAGTCGGGAGAATCGTGGACTGCGAAACGGAGTTCCTGGTCCCTGCGAGGCATCTGTTAGACACATGCTACCCAACGTCGCACAGCAAAGAGGAGATTAGGAAATCGAGGGGGCTTACCACTTCGGCGTCTGGCCACCGCGACGGTCTGTGTTCGTCTTCTTCGCCTCCTTCCCAAGTCGCGCCGCACAGTACGGGTCTTGCTTCCCAATGGACTTCCGGTTGGGCAGATTCTTCGCGCGATCCACGATAATCACCAAAGTCCCGATGTCAGGGCCGTCCACCGTCATGTCGGCGAATATGCCCGCCGAATGGACTTTCGTCTTTTCCGCCATGCTTGCGATTTGTTGTGTGTTGAAGGGGGGCCGACGGAAGAGCGTTTGTGGCCGTTGGCAGCGGGTTGTGTTGTTGTTGACGTCGAGTCGAGTAAGGGTACAAAAGTACCTAGAAGTTATAAAAGGTGCGGAATCCAGCTGACCATATTCTAGCGAGCGGAGGCAATGGAACTAGGTTGCGAATGATATATTAGATGGCAATTGCATTAGAGGCGACAGCGATTGTCGGTAGTTGTTTGTTATATGTGCCTTGTTGGGTCGACGAGGCTGGGAGTTGGTACAGCAACGTTGGTAGTACAGTCAGTAACTTGGAGTGGCTGGAAGCGAATATTTACAAATAGACAGGTTTCCAGGTTTCAGTATCCCCTCCAACCCCGGATGATAATAGGAGGTATATGAATTATAAATTTGCCTATTTTGAATAGTTGTCATTTGTTATAATTCTACTCCTATCCGTCTCTTCATTCCTGGCAGTGCTGGTTATCCAGGAATTACGACGATTTCATCATGACATGGTGCCCAGCCGACGGCGATCATTGGCGTAACTTGGCATCGCCGTCCTTTTACACGCGTCAACTGGAGGATAAATAAAGTGTATCAAGTAGATCAATCTTGTCAACACTTACGACGCATGACATACTGCCGTTGACCGTCGTCGTCGTGAACCATAAGCCCCTTGACGTAACCTCACGTACGTCGGTAGGGAACCAGGGGTAGGTAGGTCCCCTTATCTCCCTGAAAGTGGTGTATGTTCTCATAATAATGAATTAATTTAATGATATTCAGTACAGCCCATCACGCAGCCTTTTAATCTATGCTACATGTTCTCATGTTCTACCCTGTAGTACACGGCCAGTAGCCGCCTGAAGAAATACGCCCCTCTTCTTCCTCCACCCTATGTAACCAATCACTCATTTGAACTGGTCCTCCGTAACACCAGCACCCATGGCACTCGTACTCGACACACCGCCCTGGACCATCTTCAACAACTCATCGGCGTAGTTCGCACCGGACCACTTCTGATGCTTCACCACATCCACACCGCCATCCATCTCCGGCTCCTGGACCAACTCGCCATAGGCACGCATGCCCTGCTGGCTGTACGCGCTGCTGAACTTATCCGAGATGAGCGCGGTGGTGTGCAGACCAGCCAGGGTGATGAACTGCCAGCAGTACCCGAGGTTGGCGAGACGCTTGATGTACGTCTCCTGCTCGCTGCGCGGCATCGCAGTCTTCCAGTTGAACGACGGCGACAGGTTGTACGCGAGCTTCTGCTGGGGGTACACGGCGTGGACGCCCTTGGCGAAGGCCTCAGCCTGCTTGAAGTCGGGCAGCTTCGACTCCATCCAGATGGCGTCGGCGTATGGGGCGTAGGCGAGAGCGCGGTTGATGCCGCACTCGATGCCGCCCTGCATGCGGTAGTAACCCTCACGGGTTCTCGGGTTGTCCCAGTCCCAGAAGACGTCCTTGCCGAGAATGCTCCTGGCGATGGCGCGGGCCTCGGCGTTGCTCTTGCCCTTGGACTCCTGGGTGAACTTGGCGATCAGGGACTTGGCGTTTGCGCGCTGGGTGGCAGTTATGGCAGCAGCGACGGCCTCGGCGAAGGTCTTAAGACCAGCCTTGACGGTCCAGTCATCCTCGATGGCTTGGAGCTCGCCGCCGGTCTTTCCGGCCTCGAGAGCCTTGATGAGGAGCTCGTTGACGGGCTGGAGGTTGGGGTTGGTCGTGCCGAGGATGAAGGGGTGGTCACGGGGGTCGATGGTGGTGGTGATGAGGGTGGCGGCCTCGGCGTCAGTGCGAGCAATGGCGAGGAGATCGGTGCCCATGATATCGGCCTGAGCTCTGATGGCAACGAGACGATTGATGTGCTCGCTGATTGGGACCAGGACCTTACCGGCCATGTGGCCGCACTTCTTGGTACCAGGTGCCTGATCCTCAATGTGAATACCAGCAGCACCCTTCTCAATGAAGAGCTTGGTGAGCTTCATGACGGCGGTCAAACCACCATGTCCGGTATCGGCATCAGCAACGATTGGGCGGAGGTAATCGATGTTGGCCACGCCAGCGCGGTTAGCCTTGGGGGTGTTAGCACGCTCCTCGCGCTGCTTGCGGTCGTGGAAAAGTTGTGCCATGAAGAGCTGGTTCACTTTGTTGGGGACGGTGGTCTAAGTCTGTTAGCGATGGTCTTGCTGGTACAGTGATCATATAGGGCAACTCACGTATGGGTAATCAGCCAAATCTGGGCCAGGCTCGTCGCTCGATGAAGCGGTTGAGGATGATTGCCATCCAGAGACGTAGACGGTATCAAGGTACTTCGCCATCTGGGTCAACATCGTTGGCTCGAGACAGCCGTATGTGTAGCTCGCGTCTCCCTCCTAATAAGAGTCACATGTCAGTGCTACATTCTCACCACCGCAGAAACAGTTCAACATACCTTGAATCTCTGCTCCAGGATGTTCCAGAGCTTCTTCGACTGGTTGTTGCTGGGGTAGTTGATTTGGATTGTGCCCCTCTTCGAAACGATCTGCTCGGCAGTGAACGGCCTCTTGGTCTGCCTCCATCTCGAATCCGACCACCACTGCTTAACAGCGGCAACCTCGGCAGCAAAAGCCGCGTCCTCCTTCGCTAAATCCGCAGGCGGCGCCGCCATCTTGTTCGAAGCCATAATTGAGGTTTTTGGGGTCGCGTAAGTCACGGGTATAGGTGGTATATATGATGTCAGAGGTATGGGATGCGGCTATTGTATTCCAGGTGAGATGAGGAGTACAAATAAATATAGATTCCTACAAGCAACGGTAGAAATAACAAAAGGTCGATCTGGGCAATCGAGTAATATATAATACAATAGAAAATCCCCCCGAGGGGGCAGGGCCTCGTGGTATATATGACTCCTTGAGCCGCGAAAATGTCCCGCGGCCGGCAGGAGGCGAAAACAGTTCCAGAACTGGGTCGGGGACGGCCAAAGTACCTCGTCCTCCTCTATCCCGATATTTCAAAGGCGGAAACCTCTCATATTTCCTGCTGAGCTCAGCAGGATTCACGCCGATACACCAATGGCATTCGTCGATTCCCTAGAGTTTGGGATTTTGTGGCGTACCACCAAGGTCTGCGGTCAAAACTTACCTCGGACATTCTAAAGTATAGACCGAAAACAGTCTAGTGCGCTTATCGATTCTTTCCGAGCCAAGGGACATGGTTTTGGAGAACAACACGGTCTCTGATTGGCTGGATTGCTGGCCATGACGCTATCAGCGACCCCAAAATCCCTTGCATGTGAATAAAACTGCTTACGTAACCAACGAGGCTGACGTGCCCAAAGCCTCCCCCACCACCAAAAATTCGACATTTAGCTGCGCTATCTCCAATTGAATCAAACCTCGGCACAAGAGGCTGAGCGCCTGGGAGCGTGGCCAGATGCGACAGCAGGTGGGTGAGGAGTCCACATGAAATCGGTACCTGAACATGGGCCCCTGAGTATCTTGGGCTCCTTCTGTCGCTCCGTTTCCACCCGGGTGACTGCGTGGTGGGTGCGTAGCTCGGAAGTATCCCGAGGGATTTGGAGATGGAGATGGAGGGTTGGTGTGCAGCATGATGATGGCTTCGAGAAGCGTACAAGAAGTCAGTTGGGGTGGGATTTGGGCGGGTTGGAGACAGACATATGCATGGGTTCCTATGGGGTCACAGTATTGAGTATTGGGGATTATACAGTAGCTCCCACTGGTGGCGTTCTATAATATACTCTCTATATAGGTATTCAGTCTGCCTCGGGAATTGTTTGCGAACTGGGGCTAGTCAAAGCCGGTACAGGCGGGGTTGATGGCTTTACGTTGTGTTGTAGAATTTCAATATAATAATGCTTTTTTAATAGTTTAGTTATTTAACTTCTAATAATTTATTGTGGAGTTGGAAATCTTCGAATTGAGTAGATATAACAATGGCTTTAAAATAAACTTTATATTCAAGTTTAACCATATACTTTCATACGTACTTGGACTACATGTGTATATATAAATAGTTGGTGATATAAGTTAATATAACTTGAGATAATAACTTATCACCAAAATAAAATACGCGTATGACATCCAATTCCACTGCCCTCGATTTTTCGTAACAGGTCGCTCTCTGAAAAGTATCTTGCAACCGCACTAATTGCTTTATGACAAGTTGGCTCTCAATGCCTGGTAATGGCATAGAAGGTATAAATAGAGATTTGTTCATTATCTATCATCGCCCCTCCCGACATGTCCATCTAACCCCTCATCCTATTATCATATACAAGCCCCCTCCCACTCCTCACAACTTACTCTGCACACACAACCCAATCCCCACCAAACTCAACGTCATCCCAATCCACGTATCCCGACTAATCACTTTCCCCTCCACATACCAATCCCCAATAACCGTAAACAAAAACGCCAGCGAATTCGTAATCGGCACCGTAAGACTCAATTCTGCGTCACACACACACACCAATTAGCCATTATCCCTCACCCCCCCTCCCCCCCCCTCCCCCGAACTGAACTCACCAGCCTGCCCAATCAACAAAAAGAACCACACGCTCCCCGTCAGATTCACCACCAACGGCACCGCATACCGCCAATTCTTCAACAAATCCGTGATCCCCAAAAACGCGCCATACACCGCGCTCCTAATCCTACTCCCCTTCACAGCCGCGGTCTCGAGAATCGGATGGGCGGGAGGCTTGTGCGAGCGCGCCGCGGCACGGATGAAGGGTGTGGTGAAGCCCCAGGCCAGTCCGATCAGGAGGAAGCCTAGGATGTAGTTCGCGATGGGAGGTGCGGGGGCGGGGGGAGAAGGGGGGGTGGTGTCGGCCATGGCGTGTGGCGTTGGGGAGGATGGGGTTATGGTGATGGTTGTGGTTGTGGTTTTGGGGAGGCTCCGAGACGAGAGCTGGACTGGAGCAGCCGGGTCGTTATCGTTATCGCGTCGTCGGTGTCGGCTTTCCCCACATTTGAGATGTTGGGAGCTTGGAAAGCTGTATACGTTCTATGGCGTGAGGTCGTGAGGAGTGCGTTATTTGTCACAAGGCAAAGGGGGGTATATTTCGAACTTGGGTGTTCTCGAAATGAGGAGTCGTGACAGCTATTTAATTCACCATAAGGGCCACTAAGTCAAATCCGGCACTTTGGCGGAGTGGTTAACGCGATGCCCTGCTATTTCCATAGGAAGTATTTAGGCATTTCCTTCGGGAGCGAGTGTTCGAATCACTCAGGTGTCGATTTTTTTTGCATTTTTGCCAGTTGGATCGGTCGTATATGACTGTGTGGAGTCACTATAATTATAGGAGGTTATTGATGAGCATTTAGGTCTTCAGCAAACTCAAGATGATGATGAAGAAGAGTTGCAATTAGAGCGTTTTTTACATTCTGTGAAGAGCGCTCGTCAAGCACTACAGGTTCTGATTGAGTTTACTGAAGAACAAGAGGCTCTTAAATCAGACTATTTACGAGGCCTCGAGCGTTTAGAATTCGCTCTTGAGGCATTAGATCAAGAGTCACGGGTGCAGAGTACGTTAGATAGTTGGATTACATAAGAATCAATATAGCGATATTATCATTATAACGATATATTCTGCTGGCAGCAAATGCATCGTTATATCGGTGCTTTACTGTACTATAACGGCGGCACCCCGTTACAGTAGTCCTCTGTTCTAGGTTGGTTAGTAAATACCTTCACACCTAGTACTTCTCCCAATTGAGGCGCAACCCTCTACCGTGACTCAATTTGGCTCTAGAGACTCTAAAATAGAGCCGGAGGTTCGTAGGATGCACCGCGTACAGGTGTGCCGGGAGGGCTGAGATGGTGGTGCGGTGTGGGATTTGTTTGCTACAGTCCCAAACGCACGCTGATCTTACTCGGAGAGCACTCTAGTTCCTATGACAAAAGAATAGTGCGTTCTAGTTCCTATGACAAAAGAATAGTGCGTAAGATTTTGTGCCATTCCCCTTTCCGCCAAGCTCAACATAGCAGGCGTGCCAAAACGTTTCGCGCTCTCGAAAAAAGGGATCGGGTCGTGGCTCTATGCTGTATCCCTTGGGTGGTGCAGATTAGGGCCGGTATTAATGCGGGGGACCTCGAATACCGAGGCGATGCATTACTGGATTTGTAAGATGAAAAGGAAAGGGTATGCTCCCGAGTATGATATGGCAGAGCGGAATACCCTGTAGAGAGCTATAAGCCTGAATAATTCCTTCCTGTTCATATGGCCCCTGAAATAGTGAAATAGGGTTATAACGGAGAAATACAACATAAATACTGTCACCAACATATAGTTATAAGACAATGTGTTCTTCGCAAATGGTATCCATTTTTCATGTCGGCGTGACTTATTTATTTATAGTCAACTTTCGCTTTCGAGCCGTTTGACAGCGAATATCAGTTCAACCAGTTCTCCGTTTCTGACCTCGCTCTCAACTCTTTGACCAACGATCATGAGCTGGTTTTCACTCACTCTGATTTTGCACCGCGCCATCGGCATCCGGAGCTGGTACCCTGAGCATTGAGAGTTCATGGAAAACTTCGATGCGGCGGGCCACCACGTCATTTAGTATAGAGGTCATCTTTCCAAAGTTCCACGAGACTCTCTGTTCTCCGCCACCAGTAGACACCATCGTTCAACCCACCCCCTTAAGCCTGCCGTAACATGACTTCATTCCTCATCCAGTGCCTCCAGTAACACATCAACCATCTGGTCCGCAGCACTAACGGTATTCGCCTCGCGCAGCAACTTCGCATCCTGCCGCTTCAACTCATCACCAATCCAAGTCTGACAATTCCATGAGCGCTCCTTATTATTGATCGGGGTCTGGCGCAACGTATTCCGGATCGTCATATCATCCACCGTGGTGCGCATCGTCATCACAAAAATAATGCGCTCAAAATTCCTCCCCTCCTGCGGCTGCGCCTCATTCCAGCACTCCTCGAACTCAAAGAAGCTGGCCGCCCCACACACATGGCTCAGCAGGCTGCGCCCGTCCGAGAACTCGACCCAGAATGACGTATGCCGCATCGAGTACGAGTCGATCGGGTCGCCGCGGTTCACGACGATATACAGCGTCTGGCTGATCGAGTCGAGGGTGCTGTGGCTGGCGGAGGGCGCGACGATGCTGAGATGGTCCGCGCCATCTTGCTGGTGCGTGCTGCTCATGCCGCCGTCGTGGTCATGGTTTCGGACCTGGGACTGGGCGACTGTGCTAGCTTTCAGTATCAGTGTTGGGATCGCGCCAGAAATCATGGAATTCTGTACATGGAGTAGTAGTAGCCTGTCGTTTCAAGTGTGGGAGCCGCAGGGAGAGCTGGATGGACTGGTGAAGAACATCTGAGTCGCTCCCTTAGGCCCCGAACACCCTCAGCCCGCAACATTCAACTCGTAAATACTGACCGACCTTTGTTTAGAGCCACTTCCGCAGAGGCTATACTTGAAGCGTCTCTTCTTGGGCGGTTGCGTGCAGGCACAGGTGCTTGTCAATGCACTCCTCTGCTCCAGGTTGATACCCTCGTCTAGAAGTTATAGTACACGTTGGCTAGCTCCCCTTGGCTAAGTCGACATCCATCCATCCCCTCAATACCACGTGACATTCAACCCCGCTATACGCACGTGACATGCTAAGAAAGCCTGGGCTGGAAAAGCTGCCTCGCTAAGGGCGCGCTAGCAAAGCCAGCCGCGCCTGCTATAAAAGTTCTCGCGACTCTGCAACTTCCTCTTTTCTCTCTTCATCAAAAAGTAACAGAGCCAGCCACGACCCCCACCTTGATGTCACCACAGTGGATGGTTGCCAGCACCTTTCGCGAGGTGTGAGGCTCTGGAGAGGAACGCGCCAGATGGTGCCTTGATAGGAAGTTTGCTCCCGTGGGTCGGCTTCACTGCTGGCGAGGGGACGCGAATGTCGATGATGGGATACACACAACTATGTGATTTGCTATGTGCTTTTCGGAGCTATACACACGTGACATGGGAGAGATTTGGATTTACGAGTAAAATCACGGGGAGCCGTAGCTTTGGTGTGAATTAAGACTACGTTATTTTTTTGCACATCGAGCCTTCTGTGACTGATATGCTATGTGGTACTCGGGAATTGCCGAGTGAAAATGAACGCTCATATACGCCGGCTTTGCACAACCCGATGCACCCTTCCTTCGTCCATGGGGGTCCTTCCCTTCCACTTTTGAGGAGAGCGGGAGCTCTAAGGCTATGGCTATAATAACAAATTTGGCGCCGACCTCTAATTACTCGGCGCTATTGAGCACTACTAAAATAAAACTAAGCGAAATGCTGGCTTCTTATCCCTTTTTTGGGCGGCAGAAATATGGAGCCTGGATTTGATATTGACACTCTACGAACACTGCTAGTACTGGATGAAACAACTATGAAGACGAAGTACTGTATAAGTATGTACAGTAACGAAGTACAAAATCTTTATTATCACGACAAACTGAGCTCCAAACAAACCTGACATGTGAATTCCACACACCATCCAGGTAGACCTGTATCCTCCACACCATCCTCCTTTCCGCCGGGCCCGCCATAAAGTGGAAGAAAATACCTCGGGATCTTTAGCCACCCCTCACCACCTACATCACCCTCACGCAGTGAAGGCATTGGTTGGTTCGTTGGGTTACGCCGTTCGGCAATGGAGTTGATCTACCGGCAGCTCCAGAGTCTATATACAATGGATATCTCTTGCGTTTTAAACGCACCCTCTACCCTACGACTAGCCTCGCCTTCAAATTTCTTGGCGGCCCGAGACTCTATGCGCCCTTATATCACTATCCTCCTCCACCACTCTATGTGCGAAAATGAACGACCGTAGCGACGATGCTCGAGAGTGCTTGTCAGGACTTTCCGTATGACTCATTGAGTGCATTGTCAATGGGGAGCTAGAAATATACATTTCCAACACAAATCCCAAACATGCACGACTGGGCATCACCATTGGAAACGAGTTTATAAACCCAACTCCCGGCAATGCGAGGTGACAGGACACCAGCGCCTTCAGCTGAGCTGCCATGCACTTTAAGAAACCCAACAGAAAGACCTGACAAGAACTCAAGGACATCGCCGCCTAGGCCGGCTTTGACATGTACACACAAGACATTTACAGCGAGGCCTTCAGCGCCTTCTGCATCCGCCTCTCAACAGCCTCCATGTACTGCTTGGTGGTGACGTAGCTATCACGGCTGGTCTGTCCGCACGCAAGCGCCAGATCCTTGGTCATGATACCATCGACATCGACGGTATCGATACAGGCCTTTTCGAGGGCCTCAGCGAAGCTGACAACCTCGGGGGTGTTGTCGAGGGTTCCACGCTGGATCAGACCACGGGTCCATGCGAAGATGGAGGCAATGGGGTTAGTGGAGGTCTCGTTACCCTTCTGGTGCTCGCGGTAATGGCGAGTGACGGTGCCGTGGGCGGCCTCGGACTCGAAGCTCTTTCCGTCGGGGGTGATGAGGACGGAGGTCATTAGGCCGAGAGAGCCGAAGCCCTGGGCCACGACGTCGGACTGCACATCTCCGTCGTAGTCTGCAAAAAAATTAGTAAGTGGGCCCTCTTTGTGGGTGGGTGGGTGGACAAACTCTTGAGAGCCATGATGTATCCCCCGCTGGACTTCATCATCTGAGCGACCATGTCGTCGATGAGTCTGTGCTCGTACCATATCTTCTTGGCCTCGAACTCCTTGGCATAGATGGTGTCATAGATCTCCTGGAAGATGTCCTTGAATCTGCCATCATACTTCTTCAGGATGGTGTTCTTGGTGGACATGTACAGAGGAAGGCTCTTGGAGAGGGCAAGCTTGAAAGAAGCGTGGGCAAAGCCGGCGATGGACTCGTCGGTGTTGTACTGGGTCTGGGCGACACCACCACCGTTGAAGTTGTAGACCTCAATCTCCTCTGGCTTTCCTCCCTCTGGGGTGAAGACCATGGTGAGCTTACCCTTGCCCTTGATCACGGTATCCTTAGCACGATATTGGTCACCGAAAGCATGGCGGCCGATGATAATGGGCTTCTTCCATCCCGGAACTAAACGTGGGATTCTTGGGATGACGATGGGCTCACGGAAAACGGTTCCTCCAAGAGCATTACGGATGGTGCCGTTGGGCGACAGCCACACTATTGGCGAGTTAGTAAATTTTTCATGTGATATGTAGATTGTGATGCCTACTGTGCTTAAGCTTGAACTCCTCCACGCGAGCCTCATCTGGGGTGATGGTGGCGCACTTGACACCGACAGAGTACTTCTTGATAGCCTCGGCGGCATCGATGGTGACCTGGTCGTTGGTCTCGTCACGGTACTCGAGTCCCAGATCGTAGTACTTGAGGTCGATATCGAGGTATGGGTGGATGAACTTGTCCTTGATATCCTGCCAGATGATCCGGGTCATCTCATCACCGTCCAACTCCACCACCGGGTTCTTGACCTTGATCTTCTGGAATACCGTCATCGTGGAATATTGTAGTTGAGTGAAGCGCGCGAATGCGGATTTCCTGGAGGCCTGGGAAACGGGTCGAGGAGCGAGGGAGGAGAGTGTCCGCGAGAGAATTGTTCGAGAGGGGCTCATGATAGCGGTAAGAGAGGGGAAGAATTTCCTGAGACGTTAATGCAGTGTTCGGAGCAAGACTTATGCGCCGTTGGTGGTTGGCCGAGCGTAAAGTGGGATTGCCTCGGGAGTTCGGTCCCGTGCTACGCTACCTACCCGCGGGGAAATGCGTGGTCGAGGGAGTGAGAAATGGCTTAGGCAGGTATGAAACCCAAAGGGGAAGGCAGAGAGGACAGTTGAGGTTTTGGGCTGAAGGCGGAGTTAGTACTCCGTTGCGTGCTTTCTGGGGTATGACATGACATGATGCCTTTACGACTCTGAACGCGTACCAGGAAGTTATTTTGTATGTGAGCTCTCAGCCTTTTTCGTTGTTTCTCCCGCCGATATCGTAACTAATAGTGGGGTAAGGCAGTTGAATCGATGGAGAAGATACTGATGGAGTGGAGAACAAGTGGAGGTTTTGCAGTGTCGTCGTCAATCGGTTGAGACCCTTGGCTTAGATATGGAAGGCTGGGGATCATTGGAGGTTTGAATCCCAAAACAGCAGCTTGTTCAGCCTGTTATCCCGTTCATCCGGGTGGGCGCCAAGCTGTTTATCGCTTTTGAGTGTATAATATATGTAACTGTATAATTCGACGAATCGACGAATCGACGAATCGATCGATTTATGCTCCATACCATTTTCAAGCACGTATTGACCCAGTTGAGCCAAGTCTGATCCAGTATAACAGTCTGATCCAGTATAACAGTCTGATCCAGTATAACAGTCTGTCGCTGCCATGACATCACAATATAGCACTCTTGAACTCGATGCTGAAGAAAAACAGTATAAACATGCTTGGTGCTCAGTATCCGATATCATTCATCTCAACTAACCCCATGAACTCCTTTCTGAAGAAACCAGCCAAATCCCAGACCCCCCAAGCTATTAGACACACTCCTTCCCTCGCGACGCCATAAAACCCAAGTAGTAACAAATCCACGGCATACCAGCCACTCACAACCGTGACAGTGCTACTTCTCCACTGCCAGCACCTCATCCGCCATATCCACATCCTCATCCTTTTCAGTCTTCTCCCTCTCCTTCCTGCTCCCCGTGCTGGCTCTCCCTTCTCCCCTTTTCTTCTTCGCCGCCCTGCTAGATCCGCCCTTCGGCCTATACCCACCACCCTCATCAGTCGCCCCGCGCTTCCTCTTCCCACCCGACCCCGTCTTGTCCTTCACATACTGGTCGCTTATGCTCGCAAAATACTTCAGCCCATCCTCCTCAACGAACTCAACGACATCAGGCCTAGTCGGCGCCGCGATCGCCGCGCGCTTCCCGGCACCCCTCAACGCACCAGGCCGCGAGACAGCTTTCCCAGCCAAGTCGGCCGGCTCGTCGTCCTGTAGGAAGATCTTGGGCTCGTGTTCGCGGAGCCAGTTGTACACTGATACTGGGTTCTTGAATTCCAAATCTTTATCGCTTAGATGTAAGGGCGCGGGCACGAAATTTGGGTTACTGGTGTACAGCGTCGGTTCGGAGGGGAGGTCCAGGTTCGCGTCAATGACCGCGCAGTGCTCGTCGATGCGATCGGCTGAGAGATATGCGACAGGCTCTGGCTTGTCGGGCCCGATTTCGAGGTCCTTGGCGATGTCGGGTGGTACTCCGGGGACATTGCAGACGGATGGTGGCACGGTAGTAACCTCGTAGGGGCGATGGGGAACGTTTGCCATCATCGAGGCGAGGGATTTTTGCGGTCGAGGAGCGGAAGGTCGCTTGTCTGTCATAGAAGAATGCATGTACGCGTGAAGCTTGTTGTAAGATTCTTGGCCACGAGTCATGCCCTTTTGGTCTGGGGATGCAGCTGGAGTCGGCGGGAATAGTAGTGGAAGTGGTGCTAGGGAAACGTTTGGGGCGGTTGCGCTCAGATCGATTTGTTGGCCGGAGGGGAGGTTTGGGGAGTTGTTCATGTCGAGGAGGAGCTCGAGAAGGCCACTAGATGGAGTTAGTATGATGCAGGTATGTGAAATTGGGTGAGCGTATAGAGTTGGACGTACTCGTTTTCTAAAGCCAGACGTCTTGACGTCTCAGCAGCTTCTTGCTCTTGCTTGTAGAGCGACATGCTCAGGTTCATCTTCATGTCGAACTGATGTCGCATCTTGCGATACTTCTTCCTGATTGTGTCTTTTGTCAGCCAATTATCCCAAAGTGAGCACAATAATAGACATGATCGTGAAAACAGCTTATATATGGGCAGTGAATCGCCCCAAGGAACTGCTCCTGCCGTTGCGCGATCGAGAATGGTAGAGCGTACTTAAATGATTTGTAGGTCTCCTTTGACGCATCATGGTTGTCCGCATTACCCCCATCCATCTTCTTAAGGGGCGGCAACTCGCTTTCAGCCATCGTTGAACCCAAGGGGTTCGGTCCGCGGGTTGAAGGGGTGGTGAAGAGTCGTCAGCTTAATGCGTTTGAGTGAATGAAAGGTTGGCGCGAGCTTGTCGCGCCTCAAGTCCCGACCACGCTTTCCAAGCCGCTTTTGGGAGAATTCACACCAAGGCAGCGGGCCGGCGAATAGTTGATGCGGATAAGGCTGACGAGGGCGGGATTTGGCGTGCAAAAAACCGAATTTATTTTGTACTTTTGAAAACCACCCCGATTGTGCAACCAAGCTTTCACAAGACGCCAATCAACCAAAATGTCGTCTACTAAGGAAGTCAAGATTAAGAAGGAAAAGTTGGGCAAGAAGAGCAAGTCCGCTGACAAAATTGATGTTCCTGCCCCTGTCGAAACCAGTGAAGATGTTGTACCGGAAGATGCACCCGAAGAGGTGAAGCCAAAGAAGGATAAGAAGGAGAAGAAAGAAAAGAAGGAAAAGGAAGATAAATCCGAAAAGTCCAGCAAGAAGCGCAGGTCCACCACCGAAGAAGAACCAATCGCAGACTCCACCCCCAAAAAGTCCAAACGCACCCGCTCAACTGAAGACGATGCTGCTCCAACAAAAAGCGCCAGCCCACAGCCTGCAGCTATGGAAGTCGACAACGATGAAACCGAGCCCCCCTCCAAGAAACGCAAATCTACCACCACCGTCGACGGCGAAGAACTCGAAATCGACGTAACCAAGCCCCAACCCCCCTCCAAAAAAGACCTCCGTCGCCTCAAGAAAGGCAAGTCCCTCTCCAAAGCCAAAACCGTCTCCGACGTCAAACCAGCCCCCGCGCCCAAAGCCGACGGCGAGGAAGGTGCTGAAGGTTCTGGAGCCGAAGATGCCGCCGCGGCGGCCCAGAAGCCTGAGCAGGAGAAGCGCTCGGAGCACGGAATCTGGGTGGGTAATTTGCCTTGGAGCGTTAGTAAGGAGGACTTGAAGTCGTTCTTGATCAACCAGGGCCCCATGCCCGAGGAGGCCATTACGCGTATTCACATGCCGTCGCCTGATGACAAGAAGCCCGCCAACAAAGTCGAGAGCCGCTTCACGCGCACACAGCATAACAAGGGGTTTGCGTACGTGGATTTCACGACGGCGGAGCACACGCTTGCTGCTGTTGCGTTGTCGGAGGAGCTGCTAGGGGGAAGGAGGGTGCTGATTAAGAACAACAAGTCCTTCGAGGGACGTCCGCTGGTGGCTAAGGACGCAGCGGCGAAGAAAGAGACGAAGGCGCCGAGTAAGCGTGTGTTCCTAGGCAATCTGCGCTTCGATACTACAGAGGAGAGTCTGAAGGAGCACTTTGAACGCTGTGGACCCATCGAGACGTGCATGGTTGCCACCTTCGAAGATTCCGGGAAATGCAAAGGATACGCCTGGATCACCTTCGCTGATCTCGAAGCCTCAGCTCGGGCCGTGCGCGGCTTCGTGCTAGAAGAAGAAGACAACTCCGACGCCGACACCGACTCCGAAGAAAGATCCCTCGACGAAGACCCCGAAGACTACGCCGAGGCCGCCACAAAGTCGAAAAAGGAGAAGCGCAAGGTCCCCATGAAGCGCGTCTACGTCAACATGATCCAGCGCCGGCCCGTGCGCATCGAGTTTGCGGAGGACGCGCAGGTGAGGTATAAGAAGCGGTATGGAGCGGGGGGGACGAAGAATCCGGTGAATGCGGATGGGGAGGTGGAGAAGAAGGAGAAGAAGGAGAAGGTGGTTAGTGGGGTGATTGTGCCGAGTAAGAAGGCGCAGGGGATTGAGTATAGGACGGAGTATGCGCCGAGGTTGACGGGGGGGATTGTGGAGAGTAAGGGGACGAAGGTGGCTTTTGATTGAGGGGGTGTTGAATTGATATGGATACCCGATGCCTTTTTTTCTTGTTTGTGAATATGAATGTGCTGTGAATTGTCTATAATATCCGTGTTTTCTTAACGAAGCAGGTGATTAGAGGTTATGCCCATTTACTCGTTCACTATCAAGAGTCCTCACGAGGAGACCCAGCTTCTGCTGTCCTTTGGCTAAGGTATACGTCCCTGTCGACGAAACCAGCACTATTTCTTTCATGCGCTCAACATCCTCATCGAACCCAATTCGCTCCGCCATCTTCACAGCACAACAGACAAGTTCTCTCAGCTCCCTCACTTCTCGAGATATTTGCCACCAAAACGAGACCATTGATGGAACAAAGGCTGTAGAAAACACTGTCGTCACACCGCGTGTTGACAGACAGGATAGGTGTGACTATGCCTAAGGTATAACAGAAATTAGGCAAGCCTTAGAAGGACGCTGTAGGCTGTAGGGACGATATGAGGATGTGCCAATTGGAGTCAAGGCGCTTGATGTGTTTTACGAGAGAGAAACACAACAATCGCCATAGTCGGTCAGTTTGCCGCTGTTTCACAAACTTCAAATATCAGAAACACCAAAGACAATTTCAACACCGATGTCAATACAAATACGGTCACAGTCATGAACCTCAGTTGCGAAGGTAATATATATATATATAAAATATCCCCCCCTTCCAAAAAAAACGCTACACCCGACCTAAATTCCCCCCTACTCCCTCCTAATCCCCCTCCACCCCGCCCCCGGCGTACTAAACTCCAACAACCTCTTAAAATCCGGCGTCCCGTGCCCGGTAACCGGATCCCACCCCTCCGTCGCATTCCAGCTCGCGTACGGCACAACCGGCGTCGGCAGCTTCGAGTAGATGTCCTTGCCCGTGCACCCCGTCGATCCGCCGTGGGTGACGTCGTTCAGGCCCAGGTAGCCGATGGAGTAGATCCAGGGGTTTAGGAAGCCGAGGGGAGGGAGGTGGCGCGAGGTGCGCGCGTTGTTGAGGAGGGCTACTATGGCGGCGAAGGCGGGGGCGGAGGCGCTGGGGGGGGTTAGTTGGCGGGGTTCTGGCCGGGGGGGGAGAAAATGGGGACAATGGGGGGGGGAGGGGGACATACCTGGTGCCACCGACTAGAATGTCAGGGTTGGTCTTATTGGCAAGCTCATCAATGACATGGAATCTGTATCCCTGCGCCGCCACATCCGGGAACCCACGCCCAGCCGGGTTGTAAAGGCCCTTCCACCTATCACCCAGGATACGCAGGTACCCCTTCACAGCCTTATCCTGGTACTTCGGGCGCGGGAAGAGATCACTGAACCCCCCCGACGAGAACGACACCGCGCGCTCAGGCTGGACCTGGTAGGTACCCCCGACGGAAGTAACCCACGGGCACGCAGCAGGGAAGATAGGCAAGAAGCGCGTAGTGTTCTTCCCGTCATTAGTTTGGCAGGCGGATCCGACGCCCGTGTCACCCGACGAGAAAAGGACAGAGACACCGCGCAGCCCGAGCTCGCCGAACATGCTGCACACCTTCTTCGCGTACTTTGGCGGGACGGACTGCTCGTTCTCGCCGTAGGATGTGGTGATTGTCTGGGGTAGCTTGTCCTTGGGGAGCGAGAGGAGGTAGGTGATGAAGTCGAGGTAAGGCTCGTTCTGGCCGGTGGCCTTGTCGGGCTGGTCGAGATCCGGGACGAGCTCGCCTAAGCCGGCGGTGCTGTAGTAGGTTACGGGGATGTTGTAGGACATGGATACCGCGTACTGGACGTCGAGGTTGGCTTCGACGTCGTCCTCGGTGGTGTTTTGGGGGTTGGCGGGGCCGTTGACGCCGACGGAGTTGAGGGTTGCGCCGGCGGCGTAGGGGGCGTACTTCTTGATGAAGTTGTTCAGGTCGTTGACCTTGGCGTATTGGTTGAGGTAGCCTGCGACGCCGAAGAGAGACTTGCCCTTGGGATCGGCTTGGTAGTCTCCGACGTTGTAGAGAGCTCTGAGGCAAGCGGGGGTGATGGAGGCGTTGCAAGCCTTGACGTCTAGCTCGGTGGATGGAATAGCAGGGGCCTTGTTGTTGGTCGCAACGACGCCGAATACCGCGTTCATGGCGCTCACGTCATGGATGGTGCTGCGCTGAGCCATCATCCTGGAGAAGCGGGTGGTGGGCTGGATGGTGAGGACGTGCGGCGCAACTGAGCTTGGGAGGGAGTACTGGAGCGTGCGGATCATCTCCTTGTTATCCTCATTGTGCTTGTAGACGTAGAACTTGGTAGACAAGAGCTCCTCAGCCTGCGCAACAGTGGCGCGGAAGTTGATCCACTCCCCGTCGTTCTTGATCTCGGCAGCCGGGACGTTCGAGCTCGCCAGCCACGTCATGACCGACTCGGTCGAGTCGTCGCGGGGCTTCAGCATGTACTTCAGCTCAGCGCCGGTGAGATGCTGGCCGTACTTGGGGTGGTCGGGGGTCGACACGTCCAGGAGGGTTTGCTCGAAGAGTTCTTGGTTCGGGTGCACCAATGCCATGCGCAGGCTGACGATTGTCTCTGGAGCTGGGGTGCGAACTTGAGTCCAGCCCTCGGGCAACTCGTTCACAGACTCAAAAACCTCAATTGCCGGCTTAGCAAGGGCGCCGCCCACGAGGGACAGCAGCCCGATGACGATTCCTCCAGCGCGCATGATGGCAACTGCTCTGCGCGATTGTTAGTGACGTGTTCTGTGTAATTGAGCAGTGGTGGAATGCCTCAAGACTTACAAATGCTAGAGTATATCCTAACAATAAAGGAAGCAGATGAGAACGCAGGGGGGAAACAAACAGAGATGGAGGGGAAGAGAAAGGGTTCCACCTTATATACAGTCCGGACGATTTCTTTGACTTACAGAGGTATGCATCTGGATCACCGTCAACCCCCCCGAGTCTCTCGTGTCTGTGTCGTATGGCATCTGGGAATCCGAAAAGAGCAGGAGGTTAGACATGGTCGTTGATAGCGGAAGGCAAGGTAAACACAGGTTGCTGTAAGGTGTGCGCAGCCGATGTAGCACCCTCAGGGTCCCACTTGCCAAACCCAAACCCAAACCCAATTCCAATTCCAATCCCAATCCCAACCCCAACCCCAATCCCAACCCCAATCCCAATCCCAATCCCTGCATGGAGATACCAGTAGAGGGAGTACATGAGCAGACGAGGAGGGCAGGAGCGGAATGCATGAGATCGCCGCTATGTGCTAATGGGAAGGAGGTATGTACTTCGTTGTACTGGGAATGCTGATCTCGTTGGATAGTGCGATGAGGGTCGATGAGGATTAACCCCGCCATCAACCGCGGGTTGTCCGTCTTGCAACTGCCACTTCGGGCGGTAGTCCTAGTATAGTCCCAGTAAGAGGGCGACCGGCCGGCACCAAAGTTCCCTAGTGCTTGCGCGATCAACGAACGGCGACGAGGTGCCTGGAGTCAATATATTCACTCTTGCCACTTGCCAGCAGTACAGCCCTCGTACAGCAGCTGACTCCCGATCGACAAAGATCAACAACCCCTTTCTCATCACCACGCCCTCCTCCTCCTGTCAGCATCCCCTTTCCCGCTAAAGAATTGGGAAGACCTCATTCATCTTACTTCGTGCTCAGCAGAAAGCAACCCTAAACACGAGATCGATTGGTAACCCACAATATCAAAGCAGCTCATGCGGGGTGCCCTGAAGCTCGTGTGCTGACAGGAGCTACGGCGCTGTCTCTTGCCAAGGGGGAGATTGCTGTCTCGGAGCGCTGCGAGGATTGAGACAACGACCTTAGCGCCAAGGATGTGCCGTGTCCGAATGCACCGGCGTAAGACAGATGAGATGCAAGGCCCTAGGCCAACGCGGCACGAACGAATGTCATGCATGTTGGACAGAGGCAAGGTGCGTGCGTGCTGGCTGCGCAACCTCCCACCACCTAGACTCCGGCTGTATCGCATTTGAGCGCGACAGCAAGGTAGGTAGGTGACGAGAGGGTGGGAAGGGAATGTTGGTATAGACTGGAGGTAATGGCTTTTGGGTACGCTGGTGTTAAATTTGGATGAGTGAATTCCATCCATCTCTTTGTTAATTCTTTGCAATTCCATCTAAACTAACTTATATTGTCTTATGGCCAACCGCTTCGTTGGATCTTACGTGCTAGAATTGATTGGCTATTAAATTTCGAAATTCATGATTGGTTGCGTTAGCCTTGGACCCATTTATTGCCTTACGGGGCCTAATGGTGCTGTAATCGACAGGCTTCTATGAAGGGTCGTAAAAGAAGAGCTGTATAAAGGTAAGGCCCTTCCTCTCGGATCTTAGTCGACTGTGACTCTGGTCCATATTCCTACCTTATACCCCTAGCTCCGAGTCCGTAACAAAGTGAGCGCCAGCCGAACACCTATAGCCGCTATTCTGCTTAATCCATTTGAAGCCGGCAGGACAAATTCCCAGAGTCCTCAATTGCTGCTGCGCCTTCGCCTCTTTCCTTCGCTCTTCTTCTTCAGCCTTGCGCTGACTCTCTAGCTCGGCAAGACGCTCTTTTTGAGCACGACGCTCCATGACATGCCGAAGACGAGCCTTCTCGCGAAGCCGCTTGGCTTCTTGTAAGACAAACTGGTCTTTATTGTGCTTGATGGCTTGCTGAAAAGCTTGCTCGGACGCCTGCTCTTTCTGCTGGAAAATTTCGGTGTTATTTGCTGCATCAGCGCTTTCTTTGATGAGTTCTTGGTATTGCTTTTCCTTCTTCTTGGCTGCTTGTTTGTCACGCTGCAGTTGTTCCCAGACAGCGTCACTAACGCCAGAATCACGTTTGATTTCGTTTGTTGGGGCCGCTGGTGGCACATCCTTTGCTAATCGTTGAGGAGTCTCAGCCTCCGAAGTGTTCATAGCGGAGCTACTAGTAGCAGCCGTCTGGGGAGGTGGGGGTGCTTGGAAATTATGCATCTGAGCCATCATATCACTTTGGAGAGAGCTAGGTCGTATTTTGGTTGCGTCTTGCCTCAGTTTACGCTCAGAGATCATGTAGTCGAGGACGTTGCGAACATGATCCTCCGTGACGACGGTAATGGCTTTCTTCATATCGCCAGCTTTCAAAAGCTGGCTAAATATGCTCTTGGCGATTGTTTGCACGTCACGGGCGTTGGCCCAATTTGCGATCCTGCCGAGAGTGTCGAATTGGTCTAGTGTTTCCTGCTTGAAGTCTGGCGCGGGAACCTCCAAGGTCGACAAGTCCAAGTCTTTCTTTTTCTTCCGCATAACCAGCTGACGGCCTCTCAGCAATTGAATTAGTAGGTCGAGGCAGTCAGTAGGCTCCAGCCCACGAAATATTACGGCTTCTGGAAAGCGACTTGTGAGACCAGGATTTTGCGCCATCAAACGGTTTATATCATCGTCATAACCAGCCAGAATGACAATAAGCTTTTGAGCATATTTCAACTTTGTTAGACAATCCACGATTTCATCCATTGCTTCCTTGGCGAATCCGTCCCCTGCAAGGCGATAAGCTTCGTCGATGAAAAGGACTCTGCCCAATGCATTCTCAAGGACCTTTTGCACTTTGGGTCCAGTTTGGCCGACGTAGGATCCTACCAGTTCGGTAGCGGAGCACTCGACAACATCTGCTTTAGCAAGAAATCCCATATCGTAGAAGACTTTGCCCATTTTGCGCGCAGTTGAAGTCTTTCCAGTACCTGTAATTTATTAGACGAGTAAATATGTTGCTTGTAGTTCATTGACTTGCCAGGTGGACCGCGGAAAAGAAAGTTGAATGGAATCTCTTCCATAGGATCCATATCCATTGCTTTCAGCTCTCTCGCCGCATTTTGGTAGCCTTCGAGCTGAGATATGATAGTCTCACAACCAATTACGCCTTTAAAGAGCAGGCGGACATTTGTATCTGCACGTTCGCCTCGATCAAAGTCTTCGTCAAAGTCAATGGGCTGGAAACGCGAGAGGTCATCACCACCGTTCCCCTCATTGAGCCTCTGCTGCTGTCTAGCTTTGGCATGATCAAGGAGAATATCAACTTCACCTGCGTTACCAAAGTTAGGTCTATTGCGAGCCCGTCGTAGCACATCCATTGCAGCACGCTTGCCTAGGTCTGTTGTATTGAATGCTAATTTCCTAAGCTTGAGGTCAAAGATCTTTGCCATTTCTCCGTCGTCGAAATCTTCAAATACAAAAGCGGAAGCAAGGGGAAATCTCCTACTAAGACCAGGATTGACCTTCTGGAACATCTCTTCCATCTGCTCCTTGTAGCCTGCGAGTAAAACACATCGATCATCACCTGGCACACTCTGTACCTCGGACACTATGGTGTCAATCACTGCAGTCTTGTAAGGGTCGCTGGTGGAAGATTCACCCAAGGAACCACACAAGCCGTATGCTTCGTCTATTAGAAGAACTTTTCCCACCGTGGAGGCAAGGATACCTTTGGTTGTAGACTCGGATGCGCCAAGGACGTTGCCAACAAAGTCGGAGGGGTTCTTTACAACAACTGTATGATGTCAGCGAAAGTCACTCTTGACCAGTATTAGGCATGATTTTACCTTCACCATTTGATAAGAACCCAAGATCCGCCAGGACCTGTCCGTACATCTTCGCAACAGTGGTTTTACCCGTGCCAGGGGATCCAAGGAACACTTTGTTGAGGGAATACTCGATTAGAGGCGCCTCGTCTAGCTCGCGCTGATAGTTGGACTGAACAGTGCCGAATAAGGCCTGGATTGTTTTCTTGACAGCTGACAGGCCAATGAGATTCTGAAGCTGTTTCCAAGCCTTGGAGTTATTCAGCGCTTCGGTAGGCTCAGGGCCGAGGAGGTCAGCACTGGTGAAAAAGAAGTCGTCTGGTTTTTCCCCGGCACGCCTCTCCCTCGAGATTCGGACTGCTTGTCTGCTTGCGATATTGGAGAGGGTATTTTCCATGTCGCGCGCATTTCCAAAGCCCTCTCGTCCTCGGCCTCGACCAACGCGCCGTGCAACAATGCGAGCGAAGAGACCGCCTGGCCCATCTTCGACCTCCATTCTGTTGTCATATCTCTTGTTCATTTTATGGGTTAGTATCTGCAGTAACTCGTCGTCTTCGTAGTCCTTGAATTGAAATTCGTGTGGGAAGCGACTTAAGAAGCCAGAGTTATGTGCGAAGAGCTTTTCCATCTGTTTGTTGTATCCAGCGAGAATGAAGACGACCTTTCCAGCCAAGTTATCCACTTCTGCAAGAATGAAGTCAAGAATAGCAATTCCCCCAAAATTACCGCCAGATGCTAGTTGGTATGCTTCATCAATGAATAAAGCACCACCACCATTATTCTGAATATCCTCTAGCTTCTTCATGCAACCAGACACCCCTTCATTTGCGAGAGCTGCGCCTGTCGTCTCGACAAATTCACTCCCGGGCAAAGCTCCGACAGAAGTGAGGAACTTGGCATAGAGCCGAGAGACAGTGGTTTTGCCTATGATTGTCAAGAATTGAGCTCGATTATTATTACAAAAAGGAATAGTAATTGCTTACCAGTTCCAGGATTGCCTAACAGAGAGGCTCCAAAGCGTTTGTTTGACATATCGAGGCCTTGACGCACAGCAGTATCCACCTCCAACTTGATCGCAAGAAACCTGTCTTTTACGTCTTCCAAGCCAATCATACCCATCAAATCATCAAGAGCTTCGTTGTCTGCGCCTTCGTAGCGTTTGAAATGCTCCCACTGCTTTTTTGCTGATGACCAGTCTTCTTCGTTCTCCACAGCCACTTTCTTGCCCGACGACTTAGACGCAGGAGTCGCTTGTGGTTTGGTGCAGGACTGTCGCTGCTTTGCAAGATTATTTGCTGTTACTTTTAGATTGGCTAGGTCCTGCTTCTTTTGCTCGAGTACCCTAGCCGAGTCTTCAGCCTCACGGTGATCTTGTAGAATGCGTCTCTGGTGATCAATCTCAGCTTGATTTTCCGCAAGTTGTGATGCATAAGCAGCCCTCTTGGCATCACGTTCGGCATCGAGTTGCGCATTTCGCTTTCGAATTTGTTCTCTCTGTCGATCTTCCTCTGCGCAAATCGCACAAGCCGCCTGAGACTTTGAGCAAGGGCGCTGGGATCTGTGCTTCTGCGAACAGACAGCCTGAACCAATGCGTGGCATTTCATCTTGGAGTGATCATATATTTGATGGCATTTGGAAGGGCAGTAATGAGTACCACAGCTTAATTGTGTTCCGCTTTTTCAAATTAGCTAAATAAATCTCTGTGTCGAGCAGGACGATTTTACCATGGCTCCGAACATCCGCCATCAGGACATTCAATGTCAAAATCACGAACCGCCTTCAAAAGGACTTTTTTGTGCGGATGCTGCTGACACTGGACTGGAAGACCGTCATATAGATGACCGTTCTCCTTCATGAAGTGCAGGAATGGCGTCCATGCTTGATCTGCATTGCGACTCTTGAGGAAGGTTTGCGCATTGCCAATCATGATGAGTCCGTCGCGGGCTCGAGAAAGACTTCCCATTGTCCGCATATAGCGCCTCTATTAAATTGAAGGGCACCTGGGGCTTGGGGGTGTCCATCGAATTAATGGATGCTATGTAACTCTCGGCGAGTTCAGTGCTGATTCGGGGGTGCAGGCGGCTTGGACCTAACAATACCCTCGCCCTACTATTAAGCTTGACTTTCTGCTGCATTACCAAGTCCTGGTCTCTTCGGCTCAGAATATCTGCCTTCTGGTTATTTTTGCCCGTGGTGTACGTAATGCAGAAGTTGAAGTCGGAGAGTAGCTCCATCCATCGAACCTGCTTCACGGTGAGAACCTTGGTAGACATGAAATATTCGAGCGAACGGTGGTCAGTGTACACGTCGACTCGGTGGCACACCGAAGCCAACTCGGGCCTCCATTTTCCGAAGGCCTTTACTATTGCGAATAGTTCCTTGTCGTGGATCTCCCAATTGATCTCATGTCCGGATAGGACATGACTGTAAAAGCTTACGGGGTACCATCGCTTGTCAGGGTGTTCTTGAGACAGGACACCAGCTACCACTCCATCAGAGGAGTTGGTCTCCAGCTTCGTAGGCAATTCAGGGTTGAAGTGGTGAAGTGCCTGTACCGCTAAAAGTTGTCGTCGCAATTCCTCGAACGCATCCTCACATTCGTCTGTCCACCGGAACGGCTCTGAGGGAGTAGTGATGGTGGTGAGGGGCTTTGCTATTTTGCCAAAATTACGAATGAATTGTCTATAGAAGCCACAGAATCCCAGGTAGGACTTCACACCCGTAACAGTGGTCAGTCGGATCCAGTTACGAAGGGGTTCAATTTTGTCAGGGTCCGCTTCGACACTGGAGGTAGTGAGAACATAACCCAAGTATTTTGTCCTGGTGACGTTGAACTCGCATTTCTTCAAATCGGCTTGGAGTCCAGCTTCTCGGAGACACTGTAGGACCTTATGCACATGCTCTATGTGTTCCGTAGGGTCCTCTGAATAGATTAGGATGTCATCTAAGTATGCGGTACAGAAGTCGTCTAAGTATTGCATCAGGACGTCATTCATATACTGCTGATAGGTTGCGGGACCGTTCGTCAGTCCAAATGGCAGCACTTTGCACTTATAGGATCCATAGCGAGTCTGAAAGGTCGTGTACTCTTCCGAGTCGGGGTGCATCCATATACGATGGAAGGCTTGTCTGATATCTAGCTTCGTGAAGATTTTTGCTTTCGACACCCGTCCTAGTAGTTCGTCGATACGCGGGATGGGGTAGGGATCATTCCGGGTGAGACCATTTAACTTCCAGTAATCGATGCAAATCTTAATTTGCCATCCGCTTTTTTTACAAATAGGATAGGGGACACGAAGGGGCTGTTGCTGTTAACGATGAATCCCTTTTCCAGGTTTTCCAGCAGGTATTGCTTGGTAGCCTTAAGCTCTTCGGTGCCCTGTCGATATAACGGGGAGAAAGCGTTTGGTAAAGGGGCTTCGAGCTGTATCTTGTGGTCGTATATGCGGTGCGGGGGAATTCGATCTGATTCCAACTTCGAAAAGACATCGGTGTACCTCCGGTGCATATGCGGAAGCTTCTGCTGGATGAGGCGGAGCGTTTCTTCGTCCTCTACCAACTCCTTTTCATGAATGATCTGATCGATTTCGTAGATGCTAGTCTGAAAAAACTCGGAGTCGTTTTGCATCATCTCGTGGTGGAAAGCATTTGCACTGATTTCGCATATATGCATGGGCGTAAACCTATGTACTAGGGTTTTCTGTGGTGGGGGAGAAACCTCCTGGTTTCGTGGTGGGTTCGATGGCGTATCGGTGATCTCTTCGTAGTCGGAAGTTATCACTTTCATTTCCATCGAACGTCCGCCTGCGCAGCATCTGTCTTCGCGGTGGATTGCGAAATCCCGGCGATTCGCATCCGACTGGTATGCAGGATGTTTAATGGACGTTTGGCGTGAGTGGTAGGGCAAGGTGATCTCCTTGCTCCAGCTAGGAGTCGGCGGGTACTCCTTTGGCCATACTAACCGGCTCTTTGCAGAGTCGAGTAGTATTTGGAAGCGGCTGAAAAGCTTCTTCCCAATTATCACATCTTGTGCTCCGAGGTCCAGGAGTACAAAGGGGCAGTTATATATTCGGCGTCCTTCGACTGTTAAGTGTAACCGAATATACTCTGATACGTGGCCTTGGATTTTGCGCTGAAATCCACGTATGGGTACAGAGTAGGGTAGTTTCCGTATAGGGCTCTGAAGCGCTTTCGACAGTCGTATTGCGAAAGGCTTGTTAATGACGAGGTAGCTGTTTGCTCCTGTGTCTGCTAGGGACTTTGTTTGCACCCCGAGTCCATTCATACTCAGGGTCGTGTCGACTAAGAACTGGGTGCCTCCCAGGAGTTCTTGTAAGTCTAGTCCTCGCAGGTCACATTTGCGTAGACCTAGGAAGGAGCCTTCTCCTAGGCCTCATTGTTTTCCTCGAGGGATGCATCCGATTGAAGTTCCACAGCTTCTTCCCATTGTTCTTCTGCCTCGGGGTCGTTATGGTCCATTTCCTTGATAGTAGCATTAAGGGGGCATTTGTCCTGGAAATGGCCGGGCTTGCCACACTTGAAACAGTTTCCTGAGGGCGCAGGGACTGCGGTTCAGACGTTGCAGTATGGCTGGCTTGGGGAGGAACGTGGTTCGGGTGAACAGAGCGGATGTGGCTCGAGTCGGCTTCGACGCCGACGATGCCTTTGCCGTATCCGAGGTACGTGTGGACGTCCTTGCGAGAGCGGGTAGCAGATTCAATTCGTTGTTCCGGCGCCATTCCTGATCGAAGGCGGTAAGTTCTCGTACCATGGTTGTAACGCTGACTTCTAAACGATAGAAGACACAGAGGTTCTCTTGCGTAAAGGTTTACTTATCAGAGGAGGCAGGGGATCAGACACAAAGGCTTCAAGTAACACGTTACTAGTATATAACAAATACTGTATTGAGTTGAGCACGAAGCTCCTATCTAAGGAAATACTATCTACTTATATAGTGGCGTCGTGCCTAGTGGACTCTTGGGAACTCACTCGAGTCCTCGGAGTCCTGGACTCTTAGACTCTTCTCATCATCCTGCGAGTCCATCACGTGCCTAGTGGACTCCTGGGAACTCACTCGAGTCCTCGGAGTCCTGGACTCTTAGGACTCTTCTCATCATCCTGCGAGTCCGTCACGTGATACTTTCGGAACTACTATTCCCCGCTGCCCCTCCAGGTACCAGGGCCGGTCTCATGCGACCTCCCTCCTTCCTGTCCTGTAGTTGGCCAGCCTTCTTGTTCCGTCGTAACAATGGTCTGGTATTCTCCATTCCATTGGTTTTTGATGATCGCGACGCGGCTGCGGAATTGGGGAGTCAACTTGTTCCACATGTAACGAAACCATTCCGACTCGGAGACTTGTCCTGTGATAGCTGCACTTTGAAAACGAGCCTTGAACTCTGGGAAGGTTTCGCTAGCATGCCCTTTCTCTCCCATTTGCAGGTCGTCGAAGAGGTTCCTGGCCTGCTCCGTCTCGTTGCCTGTGAGGTAGTATGAACCTAGTAGATCCATCATCTCCTCAGCACTGCGGAACCCATGCGTAGCGAACAGGTATTGGGGCTCTAGTGTCATACTGACATTCGTTGCACTCAGTTTGCTATCAAACTCAAGAGCAAACTTAGAAATCTCCTCCTCAAACCTACAAGTCACTATACATATTTTGGCTTGTCACACCAACAACAAGAGCAATACTACTCAACAATTGCTACAACCCTCTATGATTCATTACACGTCATTGCTCCTTAGTTACTGGGCCAATATGACCACATAGCATATCTCTACAACCCTCTATGATTCATTACATGACATCACTCCTTAGTTACTGGGCTAATACTACACATGACATATCTCTATCAACTAGAGGCCTAGGAACATGAACGATAGCTCCAAAAGCTTCTACAACCGTCTATGATTCATTACACGTCATCGCTCCTTAGTTACCCACAAGATTGCTTAAGTTATGACATAATCTGTCTATAGGGGTTCTCTGACCTTGGACCTCCTTTCACTTCCTATAGGCTAGGAACCTAGGAGATGGTTCTATGGGATTCTCTTACATTGACTACAGTTACCAAGCCTGGTTAGTCATGGAAAGTCTTGGAAAATGAGAGAACTACACTCCTTTAGCATAAATAGGATTGCCCTTTCCTTAAGAAAGGGCAAGCAGACAATACAGTAAATCGACTATCACATACTTCCACGTCTTTTCCAAGCTTCCAAGCATTGATCTTGTTACTCCTTGTTTCTGAAAAGTCAGTGAGGTGCTAACCTCTGACTTATCCTTGAGTTCTCAGACTCAACATTTGTTACAACTTGTCTAAACCACTCCACTACATCATACACCTGATTGCTGCATTGTTGAATAGTCTAAGCTACGACCCTTTGGCTCTTTTTCCTAAGACAGTGTGTTGTCTTAGTAAAATCATCCCTTCCTTGGGTGGCTAGATTCTCACATCTGGTGCACCCACCATTACAACTTGGTCTTGAGGGGATAAGTTTACCCCTAAGTCCTCTGTAGTACGAGGGTTGCTTAAAGATGCTGCTATAAGCTTTGTGGAGTCTAGCAGAGCCTTTGTATTTTTGAGAGGAGATCTGTTCTTTGATTAGCCCCTGAGACATGTTTTATAACAAAGTCAAAACCTCCTAGTTGTTCATGTCATGGTTCACCAAGGCATAGGGTGCCAGTTGGGTATTATGAATTAAACTCAATCTAGAGAAGAAAGGAAAGAGAAGAGGAGCACTCGAGCAGTGGCTCGATCTATATACAGCTATGTTGTTGTGGAGTTAATTCTCTTTAGCAAGACCAGTTCTGAGAATTCACTCCACAACTGAAAACTTTGCTCCAACCCCGGAAAGCTCCCCACACCCCTGAACCCCCACTCGAGCTGCAAGGCGCACTTGATATCGTAACACTACCCCCCCCCTACTCCAGAGTTGATCTCCTGATCAAGAAATCCCATTTTCAAAAAAAAAAACAATTGTCTCCAGCTCTCATTTTGGTTTCTGAGGGTATTTTCTGTGATATGCTTAAGTAACTTCTGGAGAATTTTCGAAGCTCTCTGCAGTATACCATGTCTCATCCGGTGGATAGTTCTTCCAAGCTGCCTTGTAGAAAAGTTTCTTTCGAATAACTTTTGAGTCGAGGATTTCGTCCACTTCCCACTCCTCTTCGCCATTGACAATGACTGGAGGCCCTGGCTCCTGTTGCTGCCCTTCGATTGCATCATTCGAGTTGAGTCTTAATAGATTGGCATGAAAGACTGGATGAATCTTCATGCTGTTTGGAAGTTTGAGCCGATATGCAACTTGCCCAATTCGCTCTAGAATTTCAAAAGGTCCCACTTGCTTGTGGTCTAGCTTCTTTGATGGCCTCTGTGTCTTTATATTTAGAGTTGAAAGCCATACTCTGTCTCCCACTTGATAGCGTGGTGCAGGTTTCCTTTTCTTGTTTGTGAAATGTTCCATTTTTGCTTGCGAGAGCGTGATTTCATCCTGCAGAAACTCCCAAACCTTTGCCATGGTCTAAGCTATGTTCTTGTGCTCTTGTTTGGCTTTGTGATATGCTTTCTGCTCTGTATCGAAGCTTATTCTTGGTTTATAGCCCTTGTTCGCAAAAAACGCGCTTGTCTTGGTTGCATCTGATGGCAAACTGTTGGCAGCAAACTCCGCCATGCACAAGTACGAAACCCAATTGTCTTGAAGATAGTTAACATGAGCTCGCAAGTAGCGTTCGAGCTCTGCATTGAATAGCTCAGTCTGTCCATCTGTTTCTGGGTGGAAGGCATTGAAAGTTTGGCTGAAATTTTCCAAATTTTGCAGAGCAAACTCCAGACTTCTGCAATGAACTGAGGACCTCTGTCTGATATTATCGAGTTTGGTAGACCATGGTGCTTTCATACATGTCGAAGTAAGAGCTGTGCTGTAGCTTCTGCAGTAGCCCTTCTTGTCCAGCGAAACATGGAATGAAATGTCTTTCTTTCGTCAACCTGCATGCAACAACCAAGATAGCATTATTCCCTTCACAGACTGGTAATCCTGTCACGAAATCCATTGATATATCCATCCATGGTCGACTTTCAATAGGGATTGGTTGTAGAAGTCCATTGTAGGCATCTCGAGATGGCTTCGATCTTCGACAACTATGGCAGTTTTTGACATATTGAATTATTGTTTTGTCCATGTTTGGCCAGTAATAGTGCTGTTTCATGACTCGCAGCATCTTTCCAGCTCCTGGATGTTCCATAGAAGGTTGTTCATGAACTTCTCTCAACAAGTCCACCTGAATGATTTTTGGCACCCAAACTCGATTTTGATATTCTAGCATGCCGTTTTTGAGTTTGCAATAAGCATATGTAGTGTAGCCTTGCAGAATTTGTCTTCCAGTTGAGACTTTTGGATTTTCTCAAGAATTGTCATTTCTCTGATATGAGTTTCCACTGGAGCTAGCTGAGCTGTTTGGCCTTGTTCTTCGAGTTTCTGAATGTCTGGATGTAGCCTCGAAGGTGGTAGCAACACCTGAAGCTGTTGCTTTTGTCGATCATCCTCATCATTGCCTTCTGGTCTGTCACCAGGCCTTCGAGTCAAAGCATCTGCTTTTCCATTTTGCTTCCCAGGCCTATAGATGATCTGGAAGTTGTATCGAGAGAGGAATTCAGCCCATCGAGCTTGTCTTCTTGTCAGCTTCTTGGTGGACATGAAGTATTCCAAGCTTTTGTGATCAGACAAGACTTGGACTGGAAAATCTGTCCCTTCAAGTTCTGGTCTCCATGCTTCGAAACATCTGATGATTGCAAGCAATTCCTTGTCATATATCTCGTAATTGCATTCTGCAGGTGCTAGCTTTTTCGAGAAGTATGCCACTGGATGTAGAACCCCTTGATCATCTTTTTGTGACAAGACTCCTGATTAGATGAAATCTGAGGAATGTAAGGATGCCTTCTCGTCTCTCACTCTAAGGAGCAGACTCTGAGTAGCTGCGGGTCATGTGTGATCATTTGGGCGGGCTAACCGAGTCGGATGGGTTTCAGGTACTTGAGGGAAATGACTCACGAGGTTCCCCCTGGTCACGTGTGATCATTGGGGTGGGCTAACCGAGTCGGATGGGTTTCGGGTACTTAAGGGAATTGACTCACGGGGTTCCCCCTTCATCTTTTTTGTATCCTTCATAGTAGACCTATAGGATAGCATCCGTTTAGCCTCTGACTCACACTCTCATATGCTATTACTGTGAGCTGGGTGCCCTGTGTCCTTACAAGGAATCTGCTTCGACATAGACTGTCTTGTTTCTATCAAAATGCCTCAAGACAGGAGCTTCTGTGACTGTTTGTTTCAACAGCTCGAATGCAGTTTGGCATGCATGAGTCCATTCAAATATCTGATCCTTTCTGGTAAGCTTCACCAATGGCCTTATGATGCTGGAGTAATTTCGGATGAACCTCTGATAGAAATTGCAGAATCCAATAAAAGCTTGCATATCCCTGAGCGATTTTGGAGTTCGCCATTCCAATATAGTAGAAACCTTTGCAGGGTCCATGCGAATGCCATTGACTCCCACGATGAGTCCTACGAATTTGGTTTCTTGGACGAAAAACTAACATTTTGAGATATCTGCTTGCAGTCCAGCTTCTCGAAGCTTCTATAGGACTTTCCTTATGTGCTCTGATCTCATCTCATCTCATCTTATCTTATCTTATCTTATCTAATCTATGTACTATTCCTAATATAGTAATTACCTTACCTAATTTAGTTAGAGCTATCTATATTCAAATATTCATGAATATGAATATGTGTTTGGAAAAGCCAGTTTCGGGTGCTACTGTAAAAAATATATAGTGTTTATGTTATATACCTTGTCTTCCCGCCCTGAATAATGATAAGATGAGATGAGAAATGCCTATCCAAGTCCTCGCCCAAACGCTGTCCCACCCCCCTCATCAACACCAAAATATGCATGCTTACCTGTTCCCATAACCCCCAACCTATACCTCGCCCCAGGCTCCCATTCCACCAGTGGAGGCAGCCAACGAACCGGACCTAATACTCCCATTAATATCCCAATAGTGTCGGCTAGAGCCACTGATCCTTCTTGCCGACTTCTTCGTACTCTGGCTTGCGCAACTCGTGCTCTTTCGCCGCTGCTGGATTGGGCCATTAGGTACAATAACTTTATATGATGCTCGACGCTCGGCCGTCTTGGGCCTCGCCACGAGCGGATGCAGCTGATGGACACGTGCTGCTCTTGCAGCCGCGTCTTGTGGACTAGTTTTTGTTCGAGAACCGGTAAGGGGCGATGCAGTTGGTGCATCCCCGTTCGTGAACCGCGACCTAAGATAGCTGAATACAAGTCCGATGTCAAGCTGCTTCTCCCACTCATCCTTGCTGAAGCCGATGTGGGCATCGTCCGACTCTTGATATCCCTGGGAGCGAAATTTAGACGGCCCTGCGCTGCCCTGTTCGTCTTGGGCGGATCGAGTTGGAGGGGCTGCAAAGTGCATGGCGTTTGCGGTATGTGGAATGGTTGGTTGAAAGAGTGGCACCGAAGCCGAGCCTGCTTGGGTTTGATGCCCATCTTCCGTGTTCGCAGCTGTCTCCGGGATGATTGGCAGGCCAGCATATGGCAACGGCTGCTGTTGAACCTTAAGGTAGGTTGAGAATGCCCCAGGGTGATCCGATAACTGGTTGACGAGCAATCCAAGTTCACGTGCTATTCTCCCTAGGAGTCGATATTCCCATGAATCGTCGCTTTGATCCCTGTCTATGCCAGCATACCAATCCCGGCTAGCTTCTCTTTCCACCTCTTCTGGCAGCCCCTCTCCAAAAAGTATGGACAGAAGTCTGTCGTCGATTCCCATAAGATCGTGGATGACCCTCCTAGTAATGCGCGTCCAAAAACTTTCGCCTTCCCCCTTCCCCATACCCTCTTCAGGCTTGCGAGTTTCGACTTCGGATAGGTCTCCTAATGTTGCTACTTCTTCGTCGTGATAGTCCCGCTCTGGTTTGGCCCTTACACTTGACGCAGATTGCCTCCTCCGCCGGGTCTCCTTCTGTATCTCGTCAAGTAGTGCCCGGCTCTGCTCTAGTCTCCATTCCTCAATCCTCCTTACTTTCTCGTTATCAGCGGTAGTCTCATTCTCGAGCTCTCGCTGGCCAAGCTCAAGGCTCTCCCTTCGTCGCCTTATTCGTCGTGGATTAAACCTCTCGAACGCGTATAGCTGCTCCTGGACACCCTCCCCCATAGTCCCATCGAGTCGGAAAGACCCCAGCCCATCGTGTGTAGGTAATACAGGATTCGCGTCTCCGTAAGCACTCTCCGCTCTGAATTCGAGCAGATGGCTATCTAGACTATCAAGTTCTCCGTCTTCTTCATCATCCGCAACTGCTTCCGAGTGTTCAGATGCATCTTCGTCATACTCGTACGACCTGCCGACGGTGTCGATGCTGCCATAGTCGCTCAGCCTTGATCGACCAGCAGTTCGTCGCGTGCTAGCTGTTGTTGCTGTGTGTGTGCGATCTGTAGTTGATGCCGGCGCCGGCGAGAATAATACCCATTCCTGGGAGTCCTCTAGCTGTTGATCTGGCTGAGTGGAAGGCCCATCGAACCTGGGTTCCTCCGGTGTCGTGTATGTCCTTTGTGGGGCGTAGTGGGTTGACTGGCGGAAAGCCATGGTTCGGTTTGACAATAAATTCGACAACAGCAGTGGCTGGCTATAGTATTCAAACCTTCGACTTGATATATCTTCCCTAGCGATGTGCTCTCGGATGGGAGGCCAGTCTTGTTGAGGAGGCTAAATGACGAGCGTGAGGAGGCAGGACTCTTCAACAACTGATGCAAGGGAGATAGTAATATAATAGTAATGAGTGATCGAACGTAACGTCTGGGTATCAACTAAACAATATACCCAGAGAGTCTATTCGTAAAGGCTGGTTTGTATGGTAATAGAATGGTTAATGTCGAGGTGAGGAGGTGCGTATTGTCGATGAATGGTGTTCTCGTGGACCAATATGAGGCGGGGGCCAACACTGACACCATCGACCAATACGACCAAGCGATAAGAAACGGGGACGGGATGTAAGCTCAAATGAACCAATGAATACGTATCACCCAACTGATATAAGATTTGGACGAACCTCGAGTCACCGCTGATTACTTACGATTTATTTGGCTTGCGGGTGATAGGAGGTATTCATAATAACAAGGGTATGGTAGTAGACACATCTCAGTGGCGGTCTTATTACTCCCGTGAGCCGGAAAGCCGGGCCGCCGTCTACAGCGAACACATGTATCAATCACTCAGATCACTCAAGGAGAGCAGCAGAAGGATATCATGGCTATTTTCATAGTTACAATGAAACGAGCACCTTTGACTCAAAAACCCTTCCATTGCAACCATCGAAAGCAATTATGCGCCGTTCTTATCCACCCGTCATGACCCAACAACAACAATCTAAGCAGTCTCTGCGAAAGCAGCCGGGAAACGCTTGACGTTGTCTGCGAGCTTTCCGTGGGTGCTCAGGAACTGGACGTATGCACCATCGACGAAGACCTTTCCGGTGGTCTTCTTGTCCATGTACTCCTCGCGGCGAAGAGGGGTGAAACCCCAGTTCTTGGAGACGATGATCTTTTGGCGACCGGGGAACTTGTACTGGGAGCGGCGGAGAGCCTCGAGAGCGACGGCACGGTCTGGAGATATTGGTTAGTCATTGACCTGGTAGACCATTCTATGGGTAAACCTACTAGAATCACGAGTGCGGACACTCAGGATGATCTGACCAATGTTGACGCGAGCAACACTTCCGTTGGGCTTTCCCCAAGCACCACGCATACCAGTCTGCAGTCTATCGGCACCTGCACATGACAACATCTTGTTGATGCGGACAACGTGGAAGGGGTGGGCGCGGACGCGGAGATGGAAAGACTCCTTTCCGGAGGTCTTGACGAGGTACCTGTTTGATTGTTAGTATATATCTTTGTAATTCGATGCGTATTTCAAGAATCCGTTGCCATGCAACTCGCGCAGCGTCTGACAGTGTTTTGTGGAGGGCTGCGGCGAGGCTCTGGTTTGATGGATATCGCCGTATTGGATAAACTCACTTGTTGGCGCAAATACGGGCAGCCTCAAGGGCCTCAGAGCTCAGCTGCTCATACTCGTTGGAAACCAAGTGAATGCACAGAGGGAACTCGTCAACGTTTGCCTTCTTGCGGCCAAGATCGAAGATGCGAATCTTTGGGTCCGGGACACCACGGTTGAAACGGGACTTTGGGTAAGGCTGCGAGGAGACTCAAGTTAGCTACCATTCTTCCAATATCTTTCAGCTTTCGATCGAACGCATATTCCATCCGAATCTTTCCACGGGCGCCAATCTCGCAGACGTCGCTTTTGCCGTAGAGGTTCCATTCATCGCACAACCCGTTCTTACTCCTCCGCTCCCTCGTTCCCTCGTTGACTCGTTCCCACACCTCGCAACAGTTTGAACGTACCTTGTTCTTACAGTAGCGGTAACATCTTGCTGGACGGCGAGCCATTTTGAATGATTTCGTCGATGTTGCTGTCGTGAATTAGTTGAGAGATGGGCGGAGGCGAGGGAATCCGCTTGCCTTTTACGATATGCACCGCTCAAAGATTTGAAATCAAAAAGCCCCACTAGCGACTTGGAACCCTAAGCCCACAAAAGCTTGCAAAGCAATCGCTTACGAGATCACGGGGTTATGTGTCACGTGCCAAGAATGGCCGCAAAGAGTGGCGGATAAGACAGGACTCGATTACTACACGTGATTTGAAACAAGGGGGCTGGGAATATCACACCTGTCTGAATGAATACCTTTCCAACTGTTTCTAGTCCATCAATAGAAATTACTAATGGCCAGTCGATGGTGTTCCACGAAGTGTAAATATATGCTATCATCCTCGAAGGAGTGATTTAAAACAAATGGAATCCATCAGTTGTCCCAGCCTATTTAAATTTGGTATCCATGGCTTTCCATGACACGAATTGTCTTCACCGGATATTACACTTTCTCTGTGAGTACAGGAACCATTTCACTACGCGCTGCCCACAGGAAATCGCCATCTTAATGGGAGGAATTGAGGCGGCAGCCTCGAAGGGAAACTCTCAAAATGGCCTCTGCATGTAAATGTTCTGGAAAACGTCCGGCTGTGCTCAGGAAATTAGAGGCACGGTTACCCTAATGCATAACTCTGAGCACTTCACTTTAATAAGCCATGTCCAATATTTTATCTCGACTGCCTAGAGCGTGTATGAACCATATCACATTTCACAAAGGTGGCCATGTTTCAATAGAATGAAACGCGGGGAACCATTTATTGACTCTTTTAAGATCACCAATTTATGAGACGGGTTAATCAATTTCGCATGGACCACCACTGAATCAAAGTCAAACGGGTGGCCAATACAAACATAGCACACCTGTCTTCTGAATCGTATCAACCAAGTCGCAACATAATTGTTAAATATCCGTGTCTCCAGGTCATAAAGTTGATGTTCAACGTTGTCCAGCCGCATAACACCAAGGTGCAACATTACTCTAGCGCGTAACCACGTGGAACGTCAACCCATTTCAAAATACGACATTATCGGGGTCCCACGCGACAACACCATTTGCCAACACAATGTCAGGGACTGACAAGAAGCTACCGCCAACAGGCGCACATGGGCGTCGGCCTACGAATCCGACCACGTCTCCTACTCCCTCGAATCGCGCGCCTGTTCGCTCTCCGACACCATCCTCATCTTCGTCGCAACCAAATGGCGGTCTCCCGAGGACGAGGTCGCTGCGCGGCAGCGCCTTGTCGGCTGGAAACCCAGCGAGACGATCTGTTGTCGGCGCATCGGGCTTGAGTAACAGCAGCAGCGCTACGGATGCCGAAGAAGCTCGAGCCGAGACTATTGCTGCGATGGATGAGCTAAAGGAGAGGTTGCGGATGTCGGAGATTCGAGCCGAACAGTTCCAGAAAGAGACTGAGGTATTACAATCCAGGCTGGAGGATGCGTTACAAGAGCAAGTGAAGCTTGAGGACAGGTTACATGAGGAGGAGGAACGGGTCGAGTCGCTGGAGAATGAGAAACGAGATGCCGCCAGGCAGATGAGGGAGATGGGGGCAATATATGAGGCAGAGAGGATATCAATGACAAAGGAGAAGGAGGAGATGGGTAATCGAGAAGAGGAGATGCAGGCGATAATTCAGAGGCTAAAAGAAAGCTTAAGCCAGAAGGCTAATGGGGACGATGATGCTCGTAGTGAGGGCCGAGGTTTCAGGCATTGTATGTTACCCCTTACTTCCCTTGACATGCCATTTACTAACACCTGATGCAGCCAATAATTCATCGCCGAGCATCGAAAGCAACAATCATTTTGCTCCTCCGTCGTCCTTGAATCGCAGCGATTCTCGAAATAACTCGAAACTTCTCCTCCAAAAAGATCGTGTGATCGAGTCTCTTCGGCTAGAAATAGCGGAAGCCCAAATAAAGATTGTGGAATCAGAGAACATGGGTGGCGGCCGCATACAAGAGATTGAACGACAACTTCTAGAGACCCGGATGACCAACGCCCGGTTGATGGAAGACAACGAAAGCTTCCAACTCCTCCTCTCCGACAAGACTCTCAACGGCGACTTCACAAAGTCCGACTTTGGTTATATGTCCTCTCCAGCCCGCGCTGATGCCCTTGACGCACTCGAAGGCCGCACTGGTGGCTCCAGCCTGGCAGACGAACTTTCTGATGTAGCAGACGGCGATATTGAGGCTTATCGACGCCTGGAAGCTGAGCTCAAAGCCAGCAAGGAACAGAACAAGGCCCTCACACTCTACATCAACAAGATTATCGAGCGTCTCCTCGAGCATCAAGACTTCGAGGCTATCCTCGATCAGTCCTCAGACTTCAAGCCTGGAGCTGCCGGAACCGTCCAAGCAAACACCAATAAAGACCTTCCGCCACCACCGCCTCCCAAGGAAGCCGCTGGTGGCCCGTCAATCCTGCAACGCGCAAAGTCCGTTGTTGGCGGGACTCGTCCGAAGCCTCGTCCGATGCAGATGCCCGCCGCTCACTCGGCCCTGACCGACCCCGACACCGCACCCTCAATCCCGTTCAACCTGAACCGCGGTGCGTCGGTTCGCAAGGCTAGGCCAGCAAGCGAGCAGATATCCTCGGGAGCCTTTAGCGTCGTGAACGCAATGTACAAGGGCCCCACCGCAACCTCACCGCCGCTCCACGGGCCCCAGACGCCACGCAACTCGACGAGTTTCTTTGCGCCGCCGGCCGCGGCTGGGAATCCGAATGCAGCAGCCCGTGCACCAAGCGGCGGCTTCGCACTGCCCTCTTCTGGAAACTTTCCCGGCAGTCGTGTTAGTGGTACTAGTGACGGCGGAAGCACGACCAGCACGGAGACGAGCCACACCAGCCACACTGGCGAGGTTAGCACGCCGCCGCCTGGGAACTCGCCCCCACGGGCGATGGACAGGCAGGCTACATTCGCGGGGAATAAGCCGCGACCACTACGACTGGTACAAGGCCAGGCCGAGACGACGGCCAAGGCGGATAAACGGGCGAGCTGGATGGGATGGGCGATGAACGCGGTGGGCAAGAAAGAGGACGGTAGCAGCGGCGAGGCGGGAAAAGAGTAGACGGCGTTACGGATATGGCGCTTGAACAACTACTGGATTGGGATCGGACGGATTGGGTGGATATTGTGTTACTGACTCTCCTCATTTGGTGCTTTGTATGGTTGTATCTTGCCGAGGCGGAACAATTTGATTAAACAATACCCTTGATGTGGCATGATGGTTTGATAATTTGTTTGACGCAGCGCATAGAGCATGAATATATAATGGCATCTAAGATAACGTATTTCACATGCGAGTCGCCCACACAAGCGAGTCGCCCATCTTATTTCTCACTAAAAATTAGGAAATTTATGAACGCAGTGAGCAAGAAAGAGGACGGTAGCAGCGGCGAGGCGGGAAAAGAGTAGACGGCATGATGCGGTGGCGGTGCCGTTACCTGAGAATTCGGCCTTATCGACGGTCGGTGCCAAAGAGCGCTTTGGATACAAAATGACCCTCTCCGTCCTATTCACATCCGCTGGCAGTTTGTTGTCACGTAGTGGTGTTCACGTCAAGGAGCGCGGCAAGGAGGTAGTATGTTTAGAAACAGTATGGTCTATTGTATATATGCTGTCGCAATGGTTCGATATCATATGCATTGAAAATCACTCCCTTGCCTCCAATTCTCTTCATACATGCGTCTTTTAAATCTGCGTTGTTCTAGGTTTCGCCTTGCTCCACAACACACATGCAGGGACTAATGTGCGGAGGTGCCTCCGCCATGCACACCCCTCGCCCGACGGTGTAAATACGATGCCCTCTACGCTTGCAGCGCTTATAACTTGGCGACGTCCTTCACGGTCCCGATCTGAAGCTTGGCTCCGTACTTCTTGAGCACGCCGGCGTTGTGGTATTTCCAGAACTGCTTGGAGGCGTCCTTTCCGGCGACGCGCTTGAGGATCTTGGCTCCACCGGGGTGCTCATCGGCAAAGTCTGTGTATCATGTCAGTCAAGCTCATGGGTTATAGCAGTATGGCTAGGGGCGCAGGAGTTGCGGTATTGGAGGACATCGGGGCTCTTCGTGGAGGCGCATGTAAGGAAAGGCTTACCGGTGACGTTGTAGACGTTCGCGTCTACGATGATGTAGAGGCCCTTCTCGGGGTTGTTGTGCTGGGCAACATCTGCAGGAGTAAATTGTTGAGACATGTTGAGCTGTGTATTGTGTATATACGGCGTGAATGTATGAAATGTGGTCGAGAGGAGGAAGATCACACTACTTAACTCCCCACACTTTACCTTTTCCCCAGAGTCCCGGATATGGTACCTTTTACCTCGGCAAGTTCAGTAAGCACACTTTGGTCGCTTCTTATTGGTTGACCACTGAGACCGTGATCCCATAATTCCTGGCCTATCAGGGGCGACCCAGCGGCAAGGGCGGACGCGTGGTGGCAGTCGTGGTCAGGCAGACGTGACGACAAAGAGTGTACGGGAAGTCCGGAACGTCGCTACAAAAGTCATGGTGCTTTTTCAAAACCCCTCTATATATACTGGAAGTCCGGCGCCGCATACAGGCGCCTATTTAATTCCGATAATACTTTATCAGCCGCCAATAAAATTACATTTTGGGTCATCGAATGGTTGTGGTTCCTGATTCCAACTAGCCTCTATTGGGTGTCAGAAACTCGCCACACTTGAAGTATAAACTTCCAAATATCACGTCCACAATCGGCTGGGATCTGAGCCAAGCTCGACCTATTATTTAACATAGAAATCATGGCGTCTTTGGGTTGGTCTTATAGAGATATGCCGTACGATCCATACTGGGGCCCGACAAGCTCCAAGGCAAAGTGAGAAATCCAAACGGTCCGTTATTGGCAACAAGGCTGACAAGCGCTACAGTTTCTGCGAGGAGGTGCGTTGCGTAGCTAGCTACGGCATGGCCCTTCTAATCCTTTATTAACCGTTTCTACAGGACTATATCGTGACACGATATGTCGCAGAACTCATTAACACTCTCACAAACCTCACGTATAGTACGCCAAGCCGACACCGTCGGATATAAAGTGTTAGAAAATAAGTATACTAATTATCAACCCAGTATTATACGCAATTCATGGGATCTACAAGAACTGGAGCCGTAAAGATGCCTTTCTCAGGAACATCCCATATCTCGGCATCATGGGCGTCGGTTTCGGTAGTGCCCTGTTCCACTCCACGAACAAATATTACACGCAATGGGGTTCGTCCACTTCCAATATGCGGAAGCACACATGGCTAACAAACTGCAGCGGACGACCTTTCAATGCTACTCGCTACTGCAACGGTAATGCATCGCGTCTACACGTACGATGACAGGCCAATTCACGCAGTTCTCAAAGGCCTCGGCCTCGCTGCCTTCCTAACCGCCTTTTCCCTGTGGCACTGCCTATCCGACGAAATAGTTGCGCACGCCGCTCTGTTCGGCGTGATGGTCGTCCTCGTGGGACTGAAGACGCGCTCGATCATTAGCGACCGTGTCGCAGACCCAGATGTGAAGAAGGAGGTGCGCAAGCTCGTTTGGTGGGGCTCAGGTATGTCGTCCATTTCGTGGCCGTTTGGGTTCAGAGATTTTGGGTTCAGAGGTTTTGGGGATAGTGCTCACCCTGCAGATAGCGATTTTTATCTCTGGTTATGTCATCTGGAATATTGATAATTTCACCTGCTCCTGGCTCACGGAGGCGAAACGGAAAATCGGCATGCCGCTTTCGTTCCTCCTTGAATTACATGGCTGGTGGCATATTTTTACTGGAATTGGAGCTTATATCTGTACGTTTCCCATCCCAGCGCTCTAGTCTTCAGTACGTGAAATCGGTCTAACATTCCTAGTCATCGCACTCGTCGAGTACCTGACATCAGAAGAAGCAGGTGAACCGCTCGGGGGCCGCTTCGCCTGGCCCGTCGATATGTTCCCGAGGAAAAGAGCTCGGTCCACACCGAATATTACCAGGACAGGTTATGGAACGTTAAGTAAGTCAAACGGGAAACAGGTATCCAAAATGCAGAAGCTTACGTGACTGAACAGGCGCGGCCCCTGAGAACATGGACTAATGTGGCCTATGAGCCTCTAAATGCGGGCCAGATGGAATGAGGACTATATCGCAAGAACGAAATAATAGAGAGGCGGCAATAGATTGAAGTGGGATTAAATTGTAATAACGAGGTATAGAGGACTGGGTGTAGATACTATGATACCCGCAGCGCATCACGGCTGGATGAATAAAGGGTTTTGAGAATGGGCTCTAATTAAAAAAGGCAAGAGAGAAGTGCTCCTTTTATAGTGCGTCTTGGGCCGTTAATATACTTAATGGCATCATATATAAACCCTCTGTTTGCTATTGCCTCTTACTATTGTTTTGCTACCACATCCCGTATAACCATTGCCTTCAAAATCATATTTGTCGTCACCCCTTTGTGCCCCCCCGAAAGTCTTCCTATCATCTAATTTTCCCATCGACAATGAACACAAATCTAGGGACTGCCGCTTACGATAATATTACAACGTTTCAAGCATAATGTCTATAAACTTTGGAAAACATCAAGCTGAGGTAAGACATTTATAAGACAGTCATTAGCGATATGCCAAGCTTCGCCCCTTGCTTTTGTCCCCAGTCCCCAACTCCATCTCACTACATCCGGTCTGCGCCAAAGTGGACTTTATAGGTTTTCAGCAAAGCGGCAGGCAGCTTGAGCGTCGTCGTTAGCGCCTAAAACAAGCAAGCTGCCAATAGGGATCTGCCCCCCTCATCTGTAAAATAGTCGAGTGATAGGCGTGGTTTATACTCTGCTTCTTGCCATGGGCCTTCGCATTAAGAATTTTTAATGAGGCTAGAGCTTAGATATTTAATGAAAGCCAGATGACAAAGACAAGGTTAGAGACAATAGGAGAAATGTGTAAAAGAAGAAATAACGTACATGTATAGCGAAAGCGCCAAACAAGCGAAAGCGCCAAAATTATCTACCCTCACGACAAACATTGCGATAAATCTACCACAACATTAGAAATCAATTGAAACTACTCGGAGTCCTCTTCCTCAGAGGTGTCTATTACAATCTGACACGTGCGCGCATTGTGCCCAGTCTCACCACACTTGCCACAGCGACGGGCACGGGTTTCTTCCCTTGGCTTCCGACCACGGCTTGCCCTTATTTCCTGCTCTACCTGCTGCACAACATCCCTCTCATCCTGTAGCTCTTGCGCCCCTTGTTGACTAAGTGATCCTCCTTGCTGTAGTCGTGTTTTCCTAGCTCTCCGGCGCTTGCTTAGTACTTCATTTGCCTGTCGTAGGTTTTGGTTCTCTCCCTTTAGCAGTGCTAATTGATGCATTATTTGCGATGCACCCTTTGTAAACTGGTCAACAGCTGCATAGATTGAGGTTGGAGAGCTATTTTGATGGCGTGAAATCCGAGTTTTAATAAATGTAGACTGTGACATAGCTTCAATTGGGTTGTTTGGTGTCTGAGAAACCCAAGGTTGAGCAGTACCTGGGCGGGAGCTTGGAGGCGTTGGTGTCCTTAACTTAAGATCAAGTGTAGATATCACTCTCTCAGGGTCAAATGGAAGAAGCCCTGCCCCTCGGAACCCGCCTCAAATGTTACTTTCCGTCATTGTAGTGTTAAATGCAGCGTGGAAGGCAGGAAAGAAGTCATCCTTTGTAATATGAGAAATATGAGCCTGCATCATATCTTCAATTTGCCGACCATAGGCCTGCTTTAACGGGCCGAAACAGCCAACATCAAGTGGCTGGAGTAGATGAGAAGAGTGAGCAGGCATACAAAGCGTAATAATGTTGTGTTCCTTGCAGTACTCCTCAAACTCATCTGAGTGGTGGCTCTCATGACCATCAAGGACTAACAAGCGATAACCACCAACACTCCGGGCCTTTGTATGCTTCTCAAAGTGCTGAATCCAATCCATGCCTCTCTCGTTTGTAGTCCAGCCATTTTCAGTAACAGAAATCACCCAATCGCTTGAAAATCCACTATTCTCATACCAAGATGTAAGGTGGTTTTTGCCTGCAACAATGATAAATGGTGGTACTGCCCAACCTTGAGAACTAACGCCTTGGATTACTGTAACCCATTCCCGATTACCAGGCTGTACCTTCTTTGCTTTTGCCCGCCCGTCTGAGCTTGTTACAACCATAGCAGTTGAGATAACGCCCATCATAAACCCAGTCTCATCAAAGTTGTAGATATCTGCTTCATCGATACCATATTTCGCAATTGTGTTACGCACAAGCTCAAACCAGCCATTAATAACTTCTGGATCTTCGCACTTAGCCCTCTGGTAGTCGTATTTGCGCTGAAAGCGTGTCTGGAGCTCTACACGCCGCTTAACAAAGTTTGAAGCCCAACGCGACCCAACGCGTGACGCGTCGCGTGTTGCAAGTAGTCGACTTGCCATATCTTCAACAACAGACAGCCGAGGAGGAAACCCTTTGGCAGCTAGGTCGAGTATATACTGAACAAGGACGGACTCCTCTAGGTTAGTTAATTTCCGTGAGTTGGCTTGGATATCGCGTCGTGAAGGTACACCTTCTAGACGACGACCTAGCTTGCGGTGGTCCACAGAATAGATCCTAGCAGCAACTCGAAGGCGTAACTTTGGGTCGCTTTGCATAGCCTGGATAGCTAGCACTAATTGGCTTTCATCGTTTTTATGGGGCATGTTTTGTTGTTGAGGAATTTAACATTTAGTTGGGGGGTTTGGTCACCGCATCATTTTGGCGCTTTCGCTTGTTTGGCGCTTTCGCTATACATGTACGTTATAGTGAAATATAAAGTCTAAGCATTTTATTTTAGCCCATGCTCGTGAGATAACTCGAGAAATACCGCTGGGGAAATAAACAGTGCCATAAAATATATATGGATTAGAATACTAAACTCTCACAGTAGTAAAGCACAAGATATCCCCACGCCATGAAACCGAGGGAGTGAATGCTGGGGCTGACCGGGACGTCGTCAGGGTTAACACACAGCAACCAGACTGGTGGAACCTGGTCACAGACGCCACGGAGACAAAAAGGGGGTTCCAGTCCGGCAAAGTAACCCAAGCATAGTGCCTAGAACCCATTAGAAAAACTGAAGCAGAGGGGGGAGACGCATCTCCCAAATTCGTCACATCGTAGTTATGTATATATATATAAACCCCAAAAGCAGATATCCCCACCGCCTATCATCTCTATCCATGCGGGCGCCAGCCACTAAACCGAGGCGGCGATACCCACCCCCCCAAAACCCCTATTAGGTTGGGTTGTGTAAAATCTTTCAAAATGCCTGCTCCAAAACATATTTTTGTCTAGCCTAAATGCCGCTTATCCAAAAGGCCACTCATATACGCATCAGCGCGGACCCATGGCTCAATGAGCCCAGCATAATAGCACGCTCCAAAGGAAATAAACCAAAAGACACCCGCCATCTAAAATAGCACCTACGCTTTCTCAGCCATTAACGTGGCAATCTCCACCACGCCCGTCACCTTCCCTTCCACCGCCGTCGCTATCACCGCATCATCATCATACGTCGCCTCTCCCCTCGCAGACTCCTTCTTCGCAGCCTCCAAAAACGCAATCGCCTCCCTCACCGAGATATCCTCTCTCACCACGATCCACTCCGGCGTCGTCACCACCAGCCCCCGCACCTTCGTAGCCAGCTTACCCATATCCTCCGGCTCAAGACGCCTAATCCGCCGCGGCGGAGCGACACTGTTCTCGCAGTACCGCACCCACCCCGACGGGGACTGGTAGCCCGCGATGAGGACGTGGGTCGCGAGCGCGGTGCCCCAGCCGCCGCCGACGAAGGGGATATCAGCGAGCGGCATGGCGATTTCAGCGAGCTTGGTTTTAGCGGCAGGAGGAGGGGAGGAGGTGCCAAGGGCACCGCCGGGGTGGTTTGTGGCGAAGACGGAGGGGGCGGAGGTTCCGTGGAGTTCGTGGGAGATGGCGAGGGTGAGGGCGTCGCCGAGGGCGAGGGCGATGGTTGTGGAGGTTGTGGGGGCGGAGATGCCGAAGGAGGTGGTTTCGGATTCGTGGATGGGGGCGGGGAGGAGGATGGCGGAAGGACGCTTGTCGATTATGGGGCAGGTTGAGGGGTGGGTGTGTGCGGTGAGGACGATTAGGGCGTTTTCGGGGTTGAGGTGGGGGACGAGGGAGAGGAGTTCGGGGGTTCGTCCGGAGAAGGTGATGAAAAGGATGATATCGTTGGTGTCTATTTGGCCAAGGTCGCCGTGGAGCGCTTCGGTAGGGTGGAGGAATGTGGCGCGTATGGACAGACTGTTCATCGTTGCCACGAGCTTGTTGGCGATGTGGCCGCTCTTGCCCACTCCTACGATTACCAGCTTCCCTCTCTTCTCCATAGCCCTCCGTATCAGCTCCACCGTCTCATTGAAACCCTGCCTTGCGATTGTGTCCGTTTGGTATAGGCGCGCGAGATATGACAAGGCCTTTGCCTCAGTCATTAGAACGTGCACCGCGGTGGCGAGGCGTGCTTCGAGAACCGGAGAACAACCAGTTACCTCTGCAGGGGCGATGGCCATGAGCTTATCTGGTACCGGAGAGATTGCCCTTGTCTTGCAGGGCGTGGGAGGTGAGGGAGGCGCCCGCCGTGCCCGGCCATGGAATAGAAGGGTCTCACGGAAACGCTCGAGAAATTCGGAACAGGTATGTCAGGAGGAATCCGCGACGTAATTTCGGGGTCAAATAGATGTTAATCAGCGAGGCTATCGAGGCATACTGGTCAGTTTCCACTGTTATTTATTTCGGGGCTTCCGCTCGCTATTTAACAAGTGCTGTAGACTCACACTCTCGAAGTCGTCACCGGCAGGCCGTGCGAACCCGCGGATAAGGATTCCGCCGAAGGTCTCAGCTCAAAGAAAATTCGGGTGCAACGGGCCAGCTGGAGGTCATTCTGAGCGGCTCTCCAATGCAGCAGGATATGTCTGGATGTATATGGGAGTATGCGTAGATATCCAAGATGGAGTTTAGAGTTTGCAGTCGGCTATCTGCGCTGCCGTGGGGGGGTACACACACCGAACACACCCACACCAGCCGGGATCTCGGCGTCTATGCTCTCCGTGCAATATATAATTAGGTAAATAGAATAGCAATTCAGGTTAGTAATTGGCACAAGAAACAAGCAGGTTGCCTGGTAAATCCTACTATTTCCAAGTAAAATTCCAGGGATTCCATGTGATAAGTCGAAGTTCGGATGAGGTGATTGAACTAGCGCTGAAGCGATGGATGGAGGGGCGAATACATACCACGATAAACACCGAGTTCCGCGATAGGATAGAGTTCTCTTCATATGCCGTAGCACCGTGGGACGACAGTTTTCTGCCTATTTACTAATTGCCCGCAGTCTGTAGTATATAGTATAGTAAGTAATACAGTAGCAAATAGAAAACTATACGGTATGACTATGTGTTTGTCATCCCCCTCGAAATTCTCACTCAGTTACACCGCCGACTCACTCAACCCCGCGATATCCCGATAACGCCGAAACAGCGAAGTCATGTGACTAGGACGGCCAAATGCGTTTCCAAGGACTGACTTGCGTTGGGATTTATCACTTGCATAGTCTGAGTCGCAGTATTCATGGAGCTGCGTGAGTGCCTGTCACGTGGTCGTAAGCCGAGCTGTTGGAGGAAGCTCGACAGAGAGCTGTCAGTCATAGTTAGAGGCGTGACTTGCGATGGCGAGAGCAGTACGGTATGAGTTCGTGAGAGATGTGGACAAGCCTTTCCCCATCCGTAGCACAGTCATACGGTGAAGTTGCTACCTTGTAGGTTGCCAGCCTACTGAGCAGAACAACGGATCGTATGTTCTTACTCATTCTGAGATATCACCTTTCTTTGAGTATATATCTCTTCTTTCATCCTGCCCCAATATCAGGTCAAACTTGGAATCTTTGTATTAAAATCTAAATATTAATACGAATTGTCTACCTACTTTTTAATATATCCGTTTCCAACTTCTCACATTTCACAATTGCAACCATGGTAAATAACGAACCCATAATACAGAGACAAATGACTAACTAATCTCCATAGAGGGGCCTTTTCAGAAAAGCTGACCCTGACGCCGACGAGAAGACCCTGTGCGATGATGGCGAGCAAACCACACTTCCATTCAGGGAGCGCGAAAAGACCGACGACCTTGAAGATGAAACGGACGATAGCGTTTCTCTGACCCTACATCCCCTTCCAGAGATGGAGGAAGTGATCGTTTCTGTTCATCCTCCGAAAGGGAAGAGCCGCACGCCATGTGATATTGTGCTGGTCATTGACGTCTCGGGCTCCATGGCGACAAAGGCACCATCGCCAGAAACTGCCGTGGGAGAGACCGAGGTGAATGGCCTTACAGTTCTGGACCTGACCAAGCACGCCGCGAGGGCTATTATTGAGACCTTGGATGACAACGACCGCCTCGGAATAGTCACGTTCTCCGACGAAATCAAGATTGTCCAGCGTCTGAAGCCGATGACCAAATCGAACAAGACCGCAGCCTGGAACAACATAAAAAATATTCACGCTGGTGGTTTGACGAATATCTGGCAGGGTATTCTTCAGGGGAGAAGTCTGTTTGAGGACGAACCGCGGCCAGGGAGTGTGCCTGCGCTTATGCTGCTGACGGATGGTGCGCCCAACGTCGGGTAAGGCTCTATATCAACGTGTGAACCCAGCTAATTTAATCAGCTGCCCGCCGCAGGGATATGTTACACAGCTCCGTATGTATGATCTTCCAGCGCCAATCCATACGTTTGGTTTTGGCAGCCAGATTGGCTCTTCCCTTCTCCAATCCATTGCAGAAGTTGGGAGCGGCAATTTTGCATACATTTCCGATCCAAGCATGCTTGTAAGTCTCACAACCTCTTTTTATGACGTCTCTGACAGGCTATAGGCTACTGTGTTTATTCATGCGATTGCCAATCTCCAATCCACATTTGCAATGTCGGCAACCTTGACAATTGAGGCTTCTCAAGGCCTTCAACTGGCCGAGACCATGGGTGACTACATCAGAAAGGAAATCCCAAAGGACCAAGCCCAGTCACCCAAGGGCAAGTTACTCATACCTTTCGGGGGCCTACAGTATGGACAATCCCGCGACATATTTCTCAAGTATGAACCATTTGAGCAGAAAGATGAGAAGCCTGTTATCAAGGCCGAGCTCCAATGCAGACCCCTAAACAAGACTTCGGGCAACTGCCTCGCATCCTGCAGCGTTTCAGACAGCCCGAATATGCAGCCCGAGGTGATCGACTTCCACCGCAACCGCGCTACGGTATGCGAATTCATCAGTTCTCTCTCACCAATTTCCAAGACCCACGAACGGATCAAGGCCAATTTGCGCGACGTTGAACCGAAACGCGGCCAGCTACAGAACCTAATCGTCGCCATCCGCGCCATGGTTCTCGACGACGATGCCAACATCGGGCTCCTTGAGGACCTTGAGGGACAAATGATGCTCGCTCTCAACATGAGCTATTTCGGCGGCTGGGGCTTCCACTAACGTAAGTCGTGGCGTAACGCGGGGGATGGCGTAACGCGGGGAATTCACCCCGCCGACTTCTGATAACTGTGAATAACTCAACAATGGTTCGCTGTAAAAGCCTGGGTGTTGCTGAGCGATCTGCAAGACAACAGTCTGCAAGACAGTACAACAAACCCCACGGCATTCACAGCCGTGTTCCCAGCATTTCAAGTGTCGCAAAAGCCATCATCAACTTATGAGCTTGCACAAAGTACAATCCTTGATTCTGGAGCCACGGTGCACGTCTGCAATGACTATGCAAAATTCCACAACTTCAAAAAGTGTGATAGTGAAACATATCTCCTCGCAGGAGATCAACGGGTGATAATTGAAGGATTTGGTTCCGTGAACATTGATGTTCAAAATAGCAATGGTCAACCAATAACTATCGCTCTTGAGGAAACAGCCCTTGTCTCCACTTTCCATACATCAGTCGCATCACTACGCCGATTCATCAAAAAAGGCGTGCACTGGAACACGAAGACTGAATGCCTTACATACAGAGGCAGCAGTCGCAAAGAAAGTGCATGCTATACACATAGCCTTCATATGATTCATGCATTTGGATGAGATCGAGGTGTACCTTCTCATATGGTACTGTTGACCGTGGGATTGGTCTTCGAGAGATGATTTTGGTTGCATTTGACAGCTTGCATGTTTCACAGTTTGTGTCGTAGTCCATGTCTGTCACCTCTACTCCTCTTGTGTTTTCTTGTAGTTTGTACACTGCATTTTGATTTAAGTGACCCATGCGGTTGTGCCACTCTTTTGCGGTCCCTTTTAAGGCACGTCTTGGTTCAAATGAGGTTTGAAATACCTTCTCGATGTCCGGTACAACCTTATGCTTTTTGTATTCTAAAACCCATTGATTGTGTATCATCGGAGTTTTGCAGAATACGCATGAATCATCCGTACCTGCTGAAGAACAAGCGCCAGGAAACACTCATGCAAACAATTAAAGATTTTGCAGCCTATGTCAAAAGACGATGGAATTGTGAAATAAAGATCTTTAAGTTGGATGGTGAGGCAGGACTTGGAAAGGAATGGGAAAACTGGGTCGCAGATGAAGGATACGAAGTCCAAGTTTCACCACCGCACACAGCAGAGCCAAATGGAGGCATCGAAAGATCTGGCCGCACAATAATCACCCGCTCTCGTGCATTAAAGGAAACAGCAAACCTTCCGATGGAGCTCTGGCCGGAGATGTTCAAAACTGCTGGGTACCTCATCAACTGATCACCCACAGCAGTGCTTAACTATGAAACCCCATATGGACGATTATTAAAGCTCCTTAATATTCAAACAGAGAACATTAAGCCTCTGTTGTCGCATGTTCGCATATACGGGTGTCGAGCATATGCCCTCATCCAAAACCGCCCAAAATTAGACAGACTTGAGAAGAGTGCACAAATTGGTTATTTGGTGGGATACAACTCTACGAACATTTTTCGCATCTGGGTACCGACACTCAAAAAGGTAATTACAACAAGAGATGTTACCTTCAATGAAAATAAGATGTTTGATCCACAATACACTCCTGTCGCAACACCAGCTGAAATCCAAGAAGCGGTAGAAGTCATCGAGCTGCCTGAGTTGGACAATCAGTCCATCGATGACCACGAAGATGAGCAACAGCCATATCAACCTGCAGATGTCACTACAAACCAACACGTGGAGCCACTGCAGGGTGAGCCAAAACATAGTGGAGAAAAATCTCAACAAGATAATTTCTCGGGGGGTGATAATACTCACTTACGGACTCCGGAAATGACCCCAGAACGAACTGATGATAGTGTGCGAAGACATGATGTCTATTCAGCCACCATCCAACATCCAAACTCAGGCGAAAGTGTACACACAGCATTTATAGTTGGTATGACCTTTAACAAGCAAAGGGTCCATCGCACAGCGTTGCCTGCAGCCCCAAAATACTGGGACCAGCTCGAAAGCCACCCACATCGGATCGGCTTCAAAACAGCAGCTGAGAAGGAAATAAATGACCTTCGAAGACAGGGTACCTTTACATCTGTTCGAGATGAACAAACACATGCATTTGTAATACCTCTTATGTGGGTATTTACATACAAGTTTGACAATAGTGGCTTCCTTGTAAAATACAAGGCTCGACTTGTCGTGAGAGGAGATCTACAGCGATACTCTATCCACGATGAAACATATGCAGCGACACTAGCATCGCGGACTTTCCGTGCACTCATGGCAATCACAGCCTACTTCGACCTCGACACTGATCAAATGGATGCGATCAATGCATTCACAAATAGTCGCATTGACGAAGAAGTGTATGTGCGCTGCGCAGATGGATATAAAGAACAAGGGATGTGCTGGAAACTCAACCGCGCCCTTTACGGATTACGACAGTCACCACTACTTTGGTTTCGTGACTTCTCAGAGACGTTAACATCTCTAGGTCTCACACAAGTTCCTGAAGCACAGTGTCTGTTCGTGTCCGACACCATAATAGTCTTCTTTTATGTCGACGACATCTGTATCCTCAGCCACCCAAGACATAAGCGTGAAGCAATAGACTTCCATACAAAACTCATGGAGGCATACGAGTTCCGGGAAATAGGGGAACTAAATTGGTTCCTCGGAATTAGAATTGTACGAGACCGCACTCAGCGCAAACTTTGGATGTGTCAAGATTCATATATTGAAAAGATTATTGCATCTTACAAGGTCACACAAACAAGGATGCCGCGGACACCAATGATCACAGTCGAACTTACCCCATACAATGGGCAAGCAACAAAACAAGAGATTCATCTCTATCAACGGAAGATTGGGTCAGTGAACTATGCCGCAGTCGTGACTAGACCTGACATAGCCCGCACAACACAAAAACTAGCAGAGTTTCTCATCAACCCCGGACCAGACCACCATGCTCTATTTGCAAGGCACGAAGAATTATGCACTTCAATATGGACCAAACATTGACGAACCACGCTTCCAATGTTCAAATGATGCCTCATATGCAGATTGTGAGGAAACACGAAGCACAGAAGGCTATCTGTTTACACTCTTTGGCGGCGCCATTGACTGGCGATGCACAAAGCAGAAAACTGTGTCAACTTCGACAACAGAAGCTGAGCTCCTTGCGCTCTCTCACTGCGCAAAACAACTGTACTGGTGGCAGCGATTCTTCTCTATGAGGAACTGCACGAAGAATATACCCTACAATGTGACAACCTGCAAACTGTACGGCTCCTACTCAAGGAATCGCCCAAGCTCGTCACGAAGCTGAAGCACATCGACGTGCACTCCCACTGGCTACGACAAGAAGTTGAACACCAGAAGATTCATATCAACTGGATCACGACACATGAAATGCCTGCTGATGGATTTACAAAAGCACTCTCTCGACAGAAGCATGAAGATTTCATCAAGCATCTCAACTTGGTCGACATCAGTCGTCTACTGTAGATGACACCTTACAAAACCCGACCGGTACACATACAACACAAAAACCCAAGGAACACCAAAGTTCCACCACAACACCGAAGAAGTCGTCAAACTCCAATTATGTGTTCTACAGGTTATGAAAAGCGACAAAACTTCAATTAACACTCATTCATTTAATTAGTCTTTTCTTTTAAGTTACTATTATTATTATTATTTATATAAACTGTAACACCTGGGGGGGTGTGTTATAATATACAGGGGCTACAGTAAGCGACCACAGGTAGAACCACAGAAAAACTCTGCCCTTACGGCTGAAGGCCTCGAAGGGAGAAGAAAATTTACTCAACAGTGTGAGATCTTAACAGCTCACGTGATATCGTGATATCGATCGTCCCCAGATTGGCGAGCTAAACGCGTCCATTTGATGTGAAGGCGGGGGCATGAACACGACACCAATGTCAGTATAGCTTCACCAGCGAGCCTTTATAACTCGGGAAATTATGCGACAGCGAACTAGACCTGCCGGAAAGGCGTATATACAAATATGTCGCATATAGCCAGCGCGGCGGCCGTCGAGTATGAGATCTCAGCCGATGATGGCAATGCTCTCCAAGCAGATAAATATATCCAAGGTACAGAACCCCATACATACCTCATGGCACTAAATCTCACGTGAATAGGCGTCATAAACATCTCTGATGGATCAGAAACTGAAGACGAAAACAACGCGCCAGCGACCGACGCCAAGCAAGCGCGCCTCAAAGGCAAGCGCAAAGTTGGGCAGAAAGTTGAGTGGTCGGACGACGAATCCGAGAATGCATACGAGAAGTTCAAGAATCGAGCGTCTACGAAGCGGAAAAAGACCGCTGCAACGAGGAAAAAGGCGGCCTCTAGGCTACAAAATGCTGTCGTGGGACGCCGACAGACCAAGCTGGATGGCGGGGGATCGAAACCGGCGGCAGCCGAAGAGGATTCCGATTTCGATATGATGCAGGATTCGCTGCCGGAATATTTGAAGACCCGACGGAAGCAGTTTGATGCAAATAAAGCGAAAATGCGGAAAGCAGGACTTCAGTTACCCCCGGATTACGACGACATCGAGTTTTCAGATGATGGGAGGCTGCTGAAGCTGCAAGAGCGCCCGGATTTCTCGGCGGATATCAAAGCTTCAAGGGAATATAAGGACATACAACTCCCTCAATCATCGGGAATAATCCCAGCCCCCATTTCACAGTACCTCCGAGACTACCAAGTCCAAGGCGTCGCATTTCTCCACGAGATCTTCGTCTACCAGAAAGGCGGAATCCTTGGTGACGACATGGGATTAGGCAAAACTGTGCAGGTAGCCGCCTTTCTCGCAGCTGCATTCGGTAAAACTGGTGACGAACGAGACTTCAAGCGGATGCGCAAGATGCGGAGGGCTATGGACCGCCGGTGGTATCCTCGGGTTCTGATCGTATGCCCTGGAACTCTGATTGAAAACTGGAAGCAAGAATTGGGTCGTTGGGGTTATTGGCATGTCGACTCGTATCACGGATCTGGGAAAGAAGATGCATTCCAAGCCGCAAAAGCGGGACGGCTGGAGATTCTCATAACCACCTATACGACGTACAAGATGAACAAAAGCCAGCTAAATTTGATCGAGTGGGATTGTGTGGTCGCGGATGAATGCCACATCCTTAAGGAGAGGACATCTGAAACTACGCAAGCTATGAATGAGGTCAACGCGTTATGTCGGATTGGTCTTACGGGCACAGCAATACAAAATAAATACGAGGAGCTATGGACGCTTCTCAACTGGACCAATCCTGGCCGGTAGGTATCCGTCAAGTCATAAACGCTAACCATAGCAAACCATAGCTGACTTCTCCAGATTTGGGCCCCTCTCGACCTGGAAATCCAGTATCTGTCTCCCCCTCGCTGTCGGCCAATCCCACGATGCCAGCATCCAACAGCTCAGCATCGCGCGCAAGACGGCCAAGAAGCTTGTCGAGAACCTACTACCGCAATTTTTCCTCCGCCGCATGAAATCTCTCATCGCGCACCAGTTGCCCAAGAAATCCGACCGTGTCGTTTTCTGCCCCCTCACCACCGCCCAGCGCGACGCCTACGAGCGCTTCCTCGACGGCGACTTCGTCGACCTTGTCAAGCGCTCAGCAGACCCGTGCGAGTGCATGTCTGGCAAGAAGAGGGGCTGGTGCTGTCATGCCACGCTGCCAGGGTCGGGGATTAAGTGGCAGGCTCTAGTGTTTCCTGTTATTGCCACGCTGCAAAAGCTGTCGAACCACCTGGCGCTGTTGATTCCTTCGTCGACCGATCCACAGGAAAAACAAACGCGAGATTTGGATTTCCTACAGACTATGGTGCCAGATCGCTGGGAAGATTTGTATAACCACCGAGACTCTCTCTTCAATCTGTCGAATCCGGAGTTCTGCGGTAAGTGGCGGGTATTGAAGAGGCTTCTACGGTTTTGGCACGGGAATGGGGATAAAGTGCTCGTGTTTAGCCATTCGGTCAAGTTGCTCAAGATGCTACAGCATTTATTTCACAATACGGCTTATAACGTGTCATTCCTCGATGGTAGCCTCGGCTATGAGGACCGTCAGAGGGTCGTTGATGACTTCAACTCTGATCCAAGACAGTTCGTGTTTCTCATCTCTACAAAGGCAGGCGGGGTTGGGCTTAACATCGCTTCGGCAAACAAGGTCGTCATCTTCGATCCCAACTGGAACCCATCTTACGACCTACAAGCACAAGATCGTGCCTACCGAATTGGCCAGACCCGCGACGTGGAGGTGTTCCGCCTTATCAGCGCCGGCACGGTAGAAGAGATCGTCTATGCTCGGCAGATCTACAAGCAGCAACAAGCCAACATCGGCTACAACGCGTCGCTGGAACGCCGCTACTTCAAGGGCGTGCAGAACCAAAAAGGCCAGAAGGGTGAGATCTTCGGCCTCGCCAACCTCCTCGCCTTTCACTCCGACGAGGTCGTCCTCCGCGACATCGTCAATAAGACCAACGTCGCTGAAGCCAAGGCCGGCGTAGGTCTTATCGACATCGAAGTCAACGACGCGGACGCCGCTGTGGACGACGATATCCCCTTTGATGAAACTGACATGGGCGAAGATGCCGCGCTGAGCCAGCTCCTGGACAAAATCATCAGCGACTTCGATGCCGCCGACAGCAAGCCCAAATCCACGGCGCGCAGGCTTAAACGAGAGGTTGATGCCATCTCCGCCATCCTGGCGAGCGCAGGTGTCGAATATACGCATGAAAACTCGGAGGTTGTGGGTTCGAGCAAGGTCGAAGAGCGACTCAGTCGCCGCGCCGAGGCCGCAATCCCCAACTCCCTCGCCGGGGAGAGGCGGCTCTTTGAAGACGACGGTGACCATGGCGGCCACCACGACCGCTCTTTTTCCTCTGATGGCCGCCAGTCCCGCAAATACGTATTCCGACCCCCTCCCGCTGCGCTGAAGCGACAGTTCTGCACAATGGCGCGCACGTTTGGATTTGACAGTGCCACATCGTTTGCGCTCGTGGTAGAGGGGTGGACAACTGAGCAGCGGCGGGGGAGTCTAGAGAGGTTCTATCACCTGCGGAGGGAGAAGATGGAGGCGGATGAGGAGGCAGATAGACTGAGAGGGCTGATGGAGAGGGGCTGGAGGGTGAGAGAGGAGCGGGAGAAGACGGAGAGAGAGGGGGGCTTAGAGCGAGTCGCTGAGGATACGGAGGATGGGGAGGAAGGTGCGGCGATGGATGTCGATTGGGAAGGTGCGCTGAACAAGAGGGAAGGCGCGACTAAAGACACCCATAAAGCGTACATGCAAGGCGAAATGGAAGGGGCGATCAACGAGTGCGATAAAGCAAGCACGCGAATGTTGAAGGAAGGTGCGTCTAAGGCAATCGATGAGGCAGGAACGACGAACGACGAGACAGAACGACTAGGCGAGATTCTCCACCGGCCAACGTCGCATAAACATGCGCGTAGTGTCCCTGGCGAGGCTGGCGAGAGTGAGAAGATGCAGGGAATAGGAGGAGAACTGGACTCGACCACGTCTAGCGAGGATGAGGATGATCAGCTTTAGGCGCGTAGTCTGTATATAAGAGTGGACGTGGGAGTTTCAATGGCTGGGATTAGGACGTGGAGTTCGGATGATACCCCCCTGATATGTAAGGAAGGATTTTAGGATTTTAGTGATTTATGATGGGGATTTTTCGTTTCAGACAGTATAAATGGAAGGTGCGATTTGGCGACTGATTGTTTCGTTTCGCGGCTTCATTCGGCTTCTCCTGTCTTGCCACGGTGATTCAACAGATATCATAAGCTAGTGTTTCGAGTATAGGCACAATGCCTCATGTTTGCCTGTCCGTCTCTCCACACGAACTGCCATATCTCTCGCGAACGGGCGCATCCCACGCACGCCCCCGCGAATGCAGGAGCGTGCACTCGACCCGTGATATTTGTGATACGCGATCGACACGAGTCCCCCATCAGCCATTGTGTACCCCAGTCCCACCCCTTGCATCTAGTAGACACACACACTGTCTTGTGCTAACGGTCGTACCTGTCTATTTGAGGCGGTGGAGCGGAGAAAATCAACACCGAGCCATTCAATGGGGATTGGGAATATGCTGTACCGGACTTCGGCCAGGTCACAGTTCAATTCCTTGCGTCCACAGATAGCCACAATTCGCGGCTAACTTGGAGTATTCCCTCATCCCTCCCAGATCCCATCCAATTTCCCCATAAGTCCCTCCTTCGGCGTCTGCCAAGCGCCACTCTTGGGAGCACCACTACGGCGCGATCGCCGACTGCCGCCCCGCCATAAAGTAAGGGAATGACGGCACCAGCCACCGCTAAGGACCGCTAAAACGACGCCGTCTCCGCGAACTTAAAGGCATGGGTCCACTGTTTATGGAGGACCTCGGTGCGAGGCCCACTGCCGTGCAAACAGCTAACCGGTTCAGTGAATGTCCGAGTCGCATCGCAGTGATGGGCCCACGGCCATGTTTCAGCAGCGGCGGCATCGGCCTGCTGTTTTGGTGCTGACGGAACGGCTCCTGCCCTGTACGTTGCTGGGTGCGACGGTGCTTTTGTCAATGTCCTATCGAAGGCCGATCTTCAGGAACAGCGCGCGTTCATCAGGATCCTGGTGGATCCATCATCGTCGATGGCATTGCCTGGTTGAGCGGGTGGCGACGCACTACCAGGCACCTTGTGGGTTAACAAACAAAATAAGTGGAATTAGTGGAATTTGTGGGATAAATGGAATTCAGAAGGTGGAAATATATGGGATAACTGGAATAAAATGGGTAAAGAGATAGGCAATAGGTGCACTACGATACACTACCGCTGCACAACTTTTTCCCTTTCTACCTTTGTGTCCCCTTAAAGCACTTTGTTTACCTCACACATTCTTGTCTCACTCTCACTCTTTCTCTCTGCATACCATCGACAGATACATTACTTCTTCTAATGCCCTCTTTTGCTATTACTTTTTGAGAACAACCTCAACTACTACACTCTTTATTTGTTCCATCGTTTTCAGCTTTTACAAAACACAATCCGCAGACATGAAGGTCATCATCGCTTCCACTCTCACCCTCGGCCTCGCCACGGCCCTCATGCCCCGCGCCCCCTCTGCGCCTCCTGGATACTGCTGCTTCACCCTCACTGCTGCCAACCCATCACTAGGCTCCGACATTGTGGAGGAGGACACCATCGGCCAGAACCGTGTCTTCAGCAACTACCCTGACGGCGCATACTGCATCAACCCCGCCGATGAAGGCAAGCTCTACGACTCCCTCGGACACACTTGTATCATCTCCCATACCACCCAGCGCTTCCAGTGCACCCAGGGCATCCGCTCGCAGAACAAGTTCGTCGTTAGCGGCAACGGCGACTTCTTCGTCGACGAGAGCAACGACTTCTGGGCTTGCCCATCGCAGGGACCTGGCAACGAGGGCGGATACGAGATTTTTGCGGAGACCAAGGAGGATACCACCGGCTGCGTGCCCATCACCATGGCCAGCACCGGGGACAAGTGCGCCCCTCCCGCCGGCCCCATTGGCACCGCCCTAGGCTCGACCGGCACCACCGTCCCTGCGTCTCCATTGCCCACCGGCGCCAAGTTCGGCCACGCCGCGTACCGAGCTTTCAACAACAAGAAGATCATCGATGGCCTAGAGGGTTTAGTTGGCACCGGAACTAGCACCGCAGCCCTGGCCCCAACCACCACCGGCACCCCCCAGAAGTGCGCCCAGACCCTCACTCCTGGCTCTTTCGTCGAGCCTAAGTTGATCGTCCCGGTCTCTCGTGAGGATGCAGGACACCCATACGGTGATATCGCCTCCCCCATCATCACGCCCTCGAACAACACCCTCTTCGCCTTCACCACCCCGGCTTCCTGGACCGGCACCTGCTCGCTCCTCTTCACCTTCCCCTACGCTTCTGAGACCGCCAACCCGGGCGCCTACCACTTCTCTGGAATCGAGGAGGAGAAGGCTGGCAGCGGTGGACTCAACTTCGACCACGTCGAGGCGGATATCGACGCCGACGAGACCTGGTGGACCAAGCCGGAGCTCAAGGAGACCTACGGCAAGACCGAGATTATCCCTGGAAACAGCTACACCATTGCCACATTCCCTTGCAAGGGCGGAGAGAATCTCGTCTACGACGTCAGCAGTGTCGCCGGCGTCGAGCTAGAGTTTGAGCAGAACGCTCAGGCAAGCCCAATCGGCCTGTGGGTTACCAAGTGTTAAATACTGTTACTGCCTACCCAAAAATTTCGCGCGCGCTATCACTGCGTGTGCGTTAAAAGCTGAGCGTCAGCGCCCATGTATAGATTGCAGCGCGCTGTACCGTACTGAGTAGAGATCCTACCAAACCTAGTTTTTGTGTTTTTTCTCACAGGACACCGCCACTACACATTGGACAGTACGATTGTACGTACTGCTAGAAGACGAAACAGAATGTTGTTCAGGACACCGCCACCACCGCTACAGGACACCACTGCAGATTGGATTGGATTGGATTAATTCATAGGCTGTCCCTAGTGAATTGGATCCCACATTGCATAGCCCAGAGGTGACTGTTGCCTACCAGCTGCCTAGTAGGCAGCTGGTGGTATTAGGCAGCTACTACAATTATAAATAGCTGTTCCTGCATTCATAGATGCTTTGAATATCATCACACTTGTATCCTCAGTTCAGAGCTTCAACTTAGTGGCAGCTACGCAGAGTACATCTATAAATGCACCGCCACTAAAGAGTGGACACTGTCTTTGCAGTGCTGCAAGAAACTAAAATAAGGACAGAACAGATACTGTACATATACTGGGAAACGAGAAATTGATTTGATACATTCAGAGGCCGTCCCATTCTAGTGAGTTGAAGCTCTGAACTGATGATATAAGTGCAGATACAGCTATTTATTGTAATCGCTGCCCAATACCAACTGGCTGGTGCGCAGCTGGTAGGTAGCAGTCTTGTACTGTAAGATTCGTATCTCGTGGCGTCCTACCGAACTTGCTACTGCGTTGGCGCTGTTTGTGCTAGATTGGACTGAGTCGTTCCAGCAGTTACTAGGTGGATTATTTCAGAAACCAATCGTTGAATTGAGATAAAGGTCCAGGCTGGAGTTGTGGAGCTGTATTTTCCTCGTCTCTCGTGGTATACGCTTAAGTTTCTTCGAGCATACTTTACTCTCTTTATGTGTGTGCGTAGCGCAGATGCTCCTTTAAAATCACTGCCGCCACAGTACATGCATGTTCTCATACATTGAGCGATTGTTAGCTCAGCGTTGTGTCTTGGCCAGTCGTTGTAGATTGTTGGAAGGACCGGAATACAGAGACCTCAAACAAATTGTATGGTGTCTCCGTCCGGTAGACCGTGGTGCTTCCATACATGTCGAAGTAAGAGCTGTGCTGTAGCTTCTGCAGTAGTCCCTTCTTGCCCAGCGAAACGCGGAATGAAATGTCTTTCTTTCATCAACCTGCATGCAACAACCAATATAGGATTGTTCCCTTCACAGACTGGTAATCCTGTCACGAAATCCATTGTGTCATACTGACATTCGTTGCACTCAGTTTGCTATCAAACTCAAGAGCAAACTTAGAAATCTCCTCCTCAAACCTACAAGTCACTATACATATTTTGGCTTGTCACACCAACAACAAGAGCAATACTACTCAACAATTGCTACAACCCTCTATGATTCATTACACGTCATTGCTCCTTAGTTACTGGGCCAATATGACCACATAGCATATCTCTACAACCCTCTATGATTCATTACATGACATCACTCCTTAGTTACTGGGCTAATACTACACATGACATATCTCTATCAACTAGAGGCCTAGGAACATGAACGATAGCTCCAAAAGCTTCTACAACCGTCTATGATTCATTACACGTCATCGCTCCTTAGTTACCCACAAGATTGCTTAAGTTATGACATAATCTGTCTATAGGGGTTCTCTGACCTTGGACCTCCTTTCACTTCCTATATGCTAGGAACCTAGGAGATGGTTCTATGGGATTCTCTTACATTGACTACAGTTACCAAGCCTGGTTAGTCATAGAAAGTCTTGGAAAATGAGAGAACTACACTCCTTTAGCATAAATAGGATTGCCCTTTCCTTAAGAAAGGGCAAGCAGACAATACAGTAAATCGACTATCACATACTTCCACGTCTTTTCCAAGCTTCCAAGCATTGATCTTGTTACTCCTTGTTTCTGAAAAGTCAGTGAGGTGCTAACCTCTGACTTATCCCTGAGTTCTCAGACTCAACATTTGTTACAACTTGTCTAAACCACTCCACTATATCATACACCTGATTGCTGCGTTGTGGAATAGTCTAAGCTACGACCCTTTGGCTCTTTTTCCTAAGACAGTGTGTTGTCTTAGTAAAATCATCCCTTCCTTGGGTGGCTAGATTCTCACATCTGGTGCACCCACCATTACACCTTGTCTGCTTCAAGCTTCAACTATTTCTATAGCAGCACTTCGATACTACAATGGAGGACGACCAAGCTCCTACAACTACTGCTGAACAGCAGATGCAACAACTGTTTGCCTTTATACAAAATATAGCAAACAAACTTGAGAATTTGGAAAACACCTTTCAAGCCAACACTTCAGCAACACAATATTCAACTCAGACACATCATACAGAGCTTCCCACAGCTCCTCTGGCTATGTCGGGTACCCCAGGTGCACTTCCTAAAGTGCAAACACCAGATTTATACCATGGAGACAGGAGGAAGTTGAAGGGATTTCTTATGCAACTGGACATCTACTTCACCCTCAGGCCTCATCAGTTCACCTCAGACATTCAGAAGATCTATTTCGCTGCCAGCTATATCATCAAGTCTGACAGCTTTCTCTATAAGCATTTGAAGTGTTGTAGGGTGTTCTTCTTTGCTGAGTTCATCCTTAATAGAGCTCTTGAGCCCTTGGTAGTAAGTGAAGACTAAGGCTTCTTCATTCCTGTAAGGACACAGGGCACCCAGCACACAGTAATAGCATATGAGAGTGTGAGTCGGAGGCTAAACGGATGCTATCCTATAGGTCTACTACGAAGGATACAAAAAAGATGATGGGGAACCCCGTCAGTCGATTTTCTCAAGTATCCGAAACCCATCCGACTCGGTTCCAACTCGGTTAGGCCACCCAAATGATCACACGTGACCCCACGGCTACCCGGAGTCTACTCCCTAGAATGAGAGACGAGAAGGCATCCTTACAATTCCAAGTCAAGTGAGAAGTGATTCTCCTAAATTCTGTTGTATACTGAGCAGCAGAGGTCTTTTGACATAGCTTCTGTAGCTCTCTTTCTGCTGTAGCAGTTTCGTTGATGTCTCCAAAGTGTCATGACACTCCTTCGATATTTGTGTCACGACCCTTCGATTCGCTTTAGTCTCTAGTACTTATTTCACTATGTCATTCACTTCACCTGCTTCGCTCACTTCGCTCACTTCGCTTCACTTGCTGACCTAGATCAGCCCAAATGTTGACTACTGGCTTAGGCTCTCTTGTTATTGGCTTGCTGCACTAGGGCTCGCTTAGCTAGGGTTCAGTTAATTAGTGCCTTCGCTTATTTGGCACTAGGGATTTTTACTGTTATATAAGCACTTATTGCTCATGTCTCTTATTGATCTTTAGCTAGCAAATTATATACTACTTGGCCTTCTTGCAATTCCTCCTGCTTCGACTTACTTTGCATTCCCTTACTTCGAGTCGAACCACTTGGCCAACCTGTTAGTCTCACCACTTGACCCCTGTGGTATAAAGTATATGCTTTGGAGCCTGAACTACTATACCTTGTCCTACTGCTTCGAGTATCAAAGTCTTCACATTATACTTCGGATACTTCTGCAGACTTGAAGGTCAGCCTCGGTTCGAACTGTCCTTACACAAAGGTCCTGGTAAGTTCCTCTTGAAACTGGTCATAAGAGGTAATCAAAGGTGTAGTGGTATTTTGGTTGTTGCCACTAAGTCTTCTAAGATATGGCTCAAAGAAGTTGAATGCAGATCCACGGCTTTTTGAAAGAAGAACGGAGAAGAACCAAGACTGGCATCCAACAAGAAATTTCAACAATTACACCTCTACACCAACTGCTAAGGACTCAGCACCTGAACCTATGGACTTAGACGCCTCTATAAAGAGATCTACAGCAAATCCAGCACCTCAGCCTACAAGAAGCCCTCAAAAACTGAAAAGGGGTAAACTTACTCCTCAAGAAAGAAAACACAGAATGGACAACAACCTTTGTTTATACTGTGTCAAAGGGGGACACAGAATTCAGGAGTGCTATTCAGCACGGGGGAGTGCTGATTCAAAACATTTAGCAGCCTCAGACACAGTCACAGCTGCTATTCCTGAAAAACTTGAAAAATCCCTTGCAGGCACAACTTCAACTGAGACTACAACTTCTCCCCTAGACAACAAAGATGTGTCGATGGTGCTTTCTCAGAGTTTCACACACCTGTTAATCCCTATTTAACTCCAGTTCAAACAAAAGGGCTATGATAAACTCAGGGGCAACAGGCAACTTTATATCTCAAGACCTCATCTTGACACACCAGTTACCTACAATTCCCAAACGCACTCCAGAGTTGCTCCGAGTCATTGATGGAACTCCTATCAGTTCAGGTTCCATTACCTGCAACACCCCAGTACTCAAACTTGAGATTCCCCTAGGAAAATCAACATTTTCAGACACCATCTCTTTAGATGTTATACCAATGAAGTACCCAGTCATCCTAGGTCTTTCATGGCTTCAAAGGCATGATCCAACTATCAATTGGAAGCATTTATCGCTTGGGTTTAGCTCAAATCCTGAGCTCAATACTGAAAAAACCCTTCAAGCCTCAGTTACCCCTATTCAGGTCCAAGATTCAAACTTGTCCCAGATCAAGGATTTTGGCCAAACTATGGACGATATATCATCTCTGATATGGGTTAAACCTTTCCAACGTGTCCTAGAGATAGCAGCTACTTCAAATTTGGAGAAATCATCTCAGGAGGTCATTTTGCCTTTAGCATACCAAGACTACCAACACCTTTTTGACAAGGCAAAGGCATCAATTCTGCCAAAGCACCAGCCTTATAACCATGAGATACCACTCGCAGAAGGCTCAATGCCTCCCTACGGCCCTATCTACTCTCTATCTGAATTAGAGCTGAAAACTCTCAGAGAATACCTAGATGAGAACCTTAGTTCTGGCTTTATCAGACCTTATTCCTCACCAGCAGGAGCTCCCATTCTCTTTGTCAAGAAGAAAGATGGCTCCTTGCATCTCTGTGTTAATTATAGGGGCCTTAATGCAGTCACTGTTAAAAACAGATATGCTTTACCCCTTATCCCTGAGCTCATAGATAGGCTCTCTTCAGCAAGGATCTTTACCAAGTTAGATCTCAGGGGAGCTTATAACCTGATACGCATCAAGGAGGGTGATGAGTGGAAGACAGCATTCAGAACACGCTATAGTCATTTTGAATACCAGGTAATGCCTTTTGGGCTTGCCAATGCACCTGCTTCTTTCCAAGCTCTCATGAATGATATTCTAAGACCTTACTTGTATATCTTTGTTGTTGTCTACTTAGACGACATTCTTATATACTCTTTAGACACTAAAGAGCATGTTCTACATGTTAGACAGGTCTTAGAGAAGCTATCTCAAGCACAACTCTTTTGCAAACTTGAGAAATGTCTTTTCCATAACGTGCATGTATAACGAAAGTGCCAAACAAGCGAAAGTGCCAAAATCATGCGGTGACCACCCCCCCAACTAAATGTTAAATTCCTGCACAACAAAACATGCGCCATAAAAATGATGAAAGCAAATTAGTGCTAGCTATCCAAGCTATGCAAAGCGACCCAAATTTGCGCCTTCGAGTTGCAGCTAGGATCTATTCCGTAGACCACTGCAAGCTACGTCACCGTTTACAAGGCGTACCTTCACGACGCGATATCCAAGCCAACTTACGGAAATTAAGTAACCTAGAGGAATCAGTTCTTGTTCAGTATATACTTGACTTAGCTGCTAAAGGGTTCCCTCCTCAGTTGTCTATTGTTGAAGATATGGCTAATCGACTACTTGCAACACGCGACGCGCCACGCGTCGGGTCACGTTGGGCTTCAAACTTTGTTAAGCGCCATGTAGAGCTCCGGACACGCTTCCAGCGAAAATACGACTACCAGAGGGCTAAGTGCGAAGATCCAGAAGTCATTCGTGGCTGGTTTGAGCTTGTATGGAACACAATTCTAAAGTATGGCATCAACAATGCAGATATCTACAACTTTGATGAGACTGGGTTTATGATGGGCGTCATCTCAAGCGCAATGGTAGTAACGAGCTCAGATGGGCGGGCAAAGGCAAAAAAGGTGCAGCCTGGCAATCGGGAATGGGTTACAGTAATCCAAGGCGTTAGTTCTCAAGGTTGGGCAGTGCCGCCATTTGTCATTGTGGCAGGTAAAAACCACCTTGCATCTTGGTATGAGAATAGCGGATTTCCAGCAGATTGGGTAATCGCTGTTACTGCAAATGGCTGGACTACAAACGAGAGAGGTATGGATTGGATTCAGCATTTTGAGAAGCACACAAAGCCCCGGAGTGTTGGTGGTTATCGCTTGTTAGTCCTTGATGGTCATGAGAGCCACCACTCAGACAAGTTTGAGGAGGACTGCAAAGAACACAACATTATTACGCTTTGTATGCCTGCTCACTCTTCCCATATACTCCAACCACTTGATGTTGGCTGTTTTGGCCCATTAAAGAGAGCTTACGGTCGGCAAATTGAAGATATGATGCGGGCTCATATTATTCACATTACTAAGGATGACTTCTTTCCTGCCTTCCACGCTGCATTTAACATTGCAATGACAGAAAGCAATATTCAGGGAGGGTTCCGAGGTGCTGGGCTTCTTCCATTTAGCCCTGAGAGTGTAATATCTACACTTGACCTTAGGTTTAAGACGCCAACACCTCCAACCTCTCGCCCAAACACCGCTCAACCATGGGTTTCTCAGACACCAAATAACCCAACTGAAGCTGTATCACAGTCTACTTTCATTAAAAACTGAATTGCGCATCATCAAAATAGCTCTCCAACCTCAATCTATGCAGCTGTTGACCAGTTTACAAAGGGTGCATCGCAAATAATGCATCAATTAGCATTGTTAAAAGCAGAGAACCAAAACCTGCGACAGGCAAATGAAGTGCTAAGCAAGCGCCGGAGAGCTAAAAAAACATGACTACAGCAAGGAGGATCACTTAGTCAACAGGTAGCACAGGAGCTACAGGACGAGAGGGACGTTGTGCAGCAAGTAGAGCAAGAAATAAGGGCAAGTAGTGGTCGGAAGCCAAGGGAAGAAACCCATGCACGTCGCTGTGGCAAGTGTGGTGAGACTGGACACAATGCGCGCACTTATCAGATTGTAATAGACAGGTCTGAGGAAGAGGACTCTGAGTAGTTTTAATTAATTTATATTGTTGTGGTGGATTTATCGCAATTCTTATGGGGTAGTCGCGATATTTTGGCACTTTCGCTTGTTTTGGCACTTTCGTTATACATGCACGTTATGTCTCAAGTTGATTTCTTAGGACATAGAATTTCAACAGAAGACAAAAGCAGTACAAACGTGGCCTATTCCTTCCAGAATTAAAGAGGTTCAGTCTTTCCTTGGGTTTTCCAACTATTATGTAACGCTGACTTCTAAACGATAGAAGACACAGAGGTTCTCTTGCGTAAAGGTTTACTTATCAGAGGAGGCAGGGGATCAGACACAAAGGCTTCAAGTAACACGTTACTAGTATATAACAAATACTGTATTGAGTTGAGCACGAAGCTCCTATCTAAGGAAATACTATCTACTTATATAGTGGCGTCGTGCCTAGTGGACTCTTGGGAACTCACTCGAGTCCTCGGAGTCCTGGACTCTTAGGACTCTTCTCATCATCCTGCGAGTCCATCACGTGCCTAGTGGACTCCTGGGAACTCACTCGAGTCCTCGGAGTCCTGGACTCTTAGGACTCTTCTCATCATCCTGCGAGTCCGTCACGTGATACTTTCGGAACTACTATTCCCCGCTGCCCCTCCAGGTACCAGGGCCGGTCTCATGCGACCTCCCTCCTTCCTGTCCTGTAGTTGGCCAGCCTTCTTGTTCCGTCGTAACATATTACAGGAGGTTTATACCAAGATATACATCCTTGGCTTTACCCCTTACTCAATTACTTCACAAGGACACTTTGTATCACTGGGATAAGACACAGCAAGATGCTTTCGATGTTCTTAAAGGAGAATTCAAAGAAGGGAAAATGTTACTACACTTTAACCCCTTGAAACTTGCCACTCTTGAGACAGATGCCTCAGATTTTGCTATTTCTGGAATCTTATACCAAGCTCCCAAGGACAAACAAGAAGACCTATAGCCTGTGGCATTTTACTCAAGAAAGCTATCAGCAGCTGAACAAAACTATCCCATTACAGACAAGGAACTGCTTGCCATAGTATGTTCTCTAAAGCATTGGAGATGCTACCTTGAAGGGGCAAACTATCCTATCACTATTTACAGTGACCATTCAAATCTCTTGACCTTTACAACCACTAAACAGCTCAATCGACGACAAGCAAGGTGGTCTGAACAACTAGGAGGTTTTGACTTTGTTATAAAACATGTCTCAGGGGCCAAGAATCAAAGAGCAGATCTCCTCTCAAGAAGACATGACTACCAATATTCTGCTAAAACAAGCAATACAAAGGCCCTGCTAGACTCTACAAGCTTATAGCAGCATCTTTAAGCAACCCTCATACTACAGAGGACTTAGGGGTAAACTTATCCCCTCAAGACCAAGTTGCCCCCATTACGGCGGTGTGGACGGGATTCTGGTCTGGGCTGCCGTAAGGGTAACTAGTAGATCCTTGACCTCCTGTATCTGTGCTTCGATAGATAATCCCAGCTGGCATTTCCAATGGCCAGCTGGGATTATCTATCTATTAATTTGGCAAAGCCCTCGATGGCGCAATCATTGAAAGTGGCATGGGCCATTCGACTCGGGATTCTTCGGATGGCACAGCGGTCGTAGCTGCAGCAGTGGTTTGTCTGGTAGTCATTCTGGGCAGTTGACCGTCGTTGTCTTGGGGTATGTTTGATGTCAGCTTTTTCGACATATTGCCTCGGGTGTGTATCGGTACCGATACGAAAGAGCTTGACTTCCGGTAGCTAGTAGCTATCAACGCTCTTGTCCACAATTTCCTCTGTGCTAGGAGGGGGTTCTTAAGGATCTCGTATCCTATTTGGCGCCAACGTGTCAGCGACTTTACCAACTTGTTCTGAAGAATTAAACCCTGATCCACTGGCTGTCCGTGAGATCTCTGGAATCACGGCTATTTGAAGTCGTCAGGTCTCTTCTCCGAAACGTCACCGAGTCGCAGTTGATGGTGTAACGGTAGTTCTCCTGAGTCGTTCCGGTGTGGGATATTATTTAAGTATGGCCGTCCCTGGCAGGCATGATCTTTTTTGTATAATGTAAGGACACAGGGCACCCAGCTCACAGTAATAGCATATGAGAGTGCGAGTCAGAGGCTAAATGGATGCTATCCTATAGGTCTACTATGAAGGATACAAAAAAGATGAAGAGAGGAACCCCCGTTGGGTCAATCTCCTCAAGTACCCCTCAAGTACCCGAAACGGGTCCGACTCGGCTAACATGCCTTTACTCTTATCATGTGACCGTAACCTGCCCGACTCAGATCCTTTCCGTCACTGAGGGACAGGCATCCTTACAATACCAAGCACATGAGCAGGCGGTGTTAGAGTGTGTTGTAATAGTCACATGATATCACGTGATCTCCATAGAGTACGGATTATCGGTAAAGCCAAGTATAGGTTACATAGTTAGGAATACATACATTGATTACTCAACAGAGTGACTCATTGTGTCTTGGCATGGCGCTTAGCGGGATGGTCAGGTGACCGCTTACACATCAAAGCACGATGCACTGTGGGAAACGCGATCATCGTCGAGGAAGTGAAACCACAAATAAACACAGCGTGGCAAGGCGCGCTTGTGCTCCTGCCACCGCCAACATGATCTAAGCATCTCTCTATACGCCGAGCTCCATATACGAGGCTAATATACCATGAACATTCAACACGCTACGCCTCCAGAAAGCTTCACCAGCGCGCCATTGACCCCTCCCCCGACCGACGACAAGTCAACAAGTCCGGCATCGCGGATTATAAGGGAAATCAGGAATCAGCAGGAGGGCCGCAAATTAACGAGTATACCCTGGGCTAGCTACAACTTAGATGTGGAGGGATATGAGGACCTGTTGCTTCGGCTCCAAGTCGACGAGTCCCTATGTGGTTTTGCGCAACACAAACTACGGTATGGAGAGCCCAATCACATTCTCTCCTATCTTATCCTGTGTGTATGGCTAACACAAGCCTATTGTTTGCAGATACGATTATTTCCCCTCTGCTAATCGGTTTGTCCTTCGAATGCCCACCGCCTTGCATGAAACATTCATCGCGAACATTGTCGAGGAAATACAAATTCAATTGAAATCTATCCAAGGCCCGGCGGCATCGTTTGCAAAGAAGATCAGCTCTCGTGGCTCAACATCAATTAAATTTAGAGACGAAGAATACGGCAAGCACGATCCCGATGCACAGTTCCAGTACTTGGAAGCGCCATACCCAGGAGTCGTTATCGAGGTGTCATACTCGCAAAAACGAAAGGACCTAGCTCGCCTTGCTGATGACTACATTCTTGGGTCTGATAGCGACATTCGTGCTGTCGTGGGCTTAGATATCGAATATAGTGCGAATAAGGAGGCAACATTATCTGTCTGGCGGCCCAACATTGAGACGAATGATGCTGGAGAGAAAGAATTGGTTGCCCAGCAGACAATAACAAATCAGGTCTGCATCCCACAATCTACTTGTGGCACTAGCTTACCTTAAATAGGTTTTCCGCGACAGTGATGGAAAACCAAGCGTATCTCGCACAGGAGGCCTCCAACTTCGCCTACGAGACTTTACTACAGAGGATTTAGCTCAGCCAAACGGACGGCTACGGGATCCGATTTTTATCTCTGCTAACACCTTATGTTCTTTCCTTGAGAACGCAGAGCGTAATGCGTCTGTCGCTACGCAGCAGACGAGTATTATTACATCTGCGAAGCCTTGGGTGAGAAAGCGGCGCCGGGAACGTACGCCGCCAGAAGAGCTTAAACACAATGATGAAAAGAGATTTCGGGTGGACGAAAACAGAGCAGTAGATCAGGCGACAAAAGACGACTCCTCGTACAAGACTGGCTCTACCTCTGATACAGAAAGCAATTAACCCAGGGCGCGAATAAACTTGAGGAATACCTAAAGAATATCCTCGCTTGCCACAGTTCACCATTTTCACAGTCATTGCTATTGGCGTCAAAGATTGCAGTGGGGGGTCAAGATTGCAGTGGAGGAAGGCGAGAATGAAAATATGGCCGTTTGGCGGCTGTTGTGATCCGCAAGGCTTTTCATATATACCGTACGGTGAGAATCTACGGCACTATCCTATAATCGACTCAAATAAGTCCACTTTCTACCACCATCCGTGAGTTTAGCTCCACCGTACTAGATGGTAAAGTGAAATGGTCATACAGGTTCACCGAAATGTCGTTGCCGATGACGAAGTGCCGTCTTTGGAATATCCTCCTTCGCCAAGGCTCCCTCAGGGCATTATATGATCAGCAATCCAATTCCGATCTCGCAAGAAGAACAAGTTCGTGGAAACTTATGCTTCAGTGACGTCTGTCTTTTAGCAGAGACAGCCCATGCCCAGTCTTACAGCCAATTGTTTGCAGGCACCAGAGCAGCACATTTGAAACTACCGGCACACGTCTCACTACTGCCTTTGGGTAAATCTTTTGCTTCTCGCTGCAAAAGACCCGCCCCAACCTAAATGGCAACAATCCCGCATTACTCCTGCATACAAAGTATTGTGTGAGGCAGAAAACCAGGTGTACTCATTTCGTATCCAGAAATATTGAAGAGATTGCTGGCATTGGAGCTCAAGAGGGGCATCAGTCACACTTCTTGTATAGCAGCGTAACACATTTTTACTGGTTCTTGTGCTCCTATAAAAAAAACACTACCCCGTATATAATCCATGTTAATTTACGGCTGCACATTTAATTACCCCTTCAGCGGATCCCATACAACCGTCAGATTATACGTATCCCAAGCGCCAAGTTTTCCCCCACCTCCTCACGAGTAGACATTGCAGATACGTAAACGCGGCCCCTCACTAAATTGAGGGGCCGCGTATCCACCCAATTTCGAGCAGCAGTCTCCAGCGGTGAATATATTCTGTTTTCCTGCGCGGCTATCTTTTCTCCTCCAGTGATGAACGTATGCAAACTAATGCTCCACTATCTAGTTGAGCCAGAGCCGAACGCACCAAAATGCGCTCAAATTAACACACCCATGGGTGGTTGTTTTATTTTTACTAGGTGGCCAGTAAGATTGCAGAAAGAGCTCACATTCCTTTTTTTAATCCCAAATCCCGGCTGAGATCAAGTTGTTCTCTCCCTTAAAGGCTGCGACTAATTTGAAAGCTAGAAAATGGCCCTCGGGGTTGGAATGTAATGTTGTAACCGTATACCCCTGACAAGTTTGGAGCCTCAGTCATATCCCAGAGGCTGCTTCAGTGTAGGTTCGAAGAGGGGCGACAAATTGAGGGGTATCATCGGATGCATCCATTCACCAAGTTCGTAATCACCTCACCCAATGATCCCTGACTAACCACTTTATCGTTACCAGAAAATAGAGAGAAATGGTAATGTCATGGGCAAAGATAGCCGGTAGTCTAATTTGATGGCGGCCACCGGGTGAGCCTATAGATGGCTTCTCGGATGAAGGACGTATATAAACAGCGATGCTGGAGAAACAAATAGATATAGTGCAAACAGCGATTCTAGAGAAACAAACAATTCTAATCCGATATAGACCCGGTTAGTTAAGTTACTTCCACGATGAGGGCGTATCTAACCTATTTCATCGCTTGTGCTTGCCTCGCTAGAGGTTCTACTATTCACCCCCTCTATAACAACTCTTCGGCTGCTGCGAAGGTTGCTGCGAATGCTTCATCTGCCACACACTCCTCGGTGGGCATTAACTCCACTTATCTTGAAATGCAACTATGGATGGAACCTGGCTGTAAGCGAAATCCATGATGCCCTGCATAGTGCCTAACCGTTCTGAAGGTACAGGAGGTTCGAATACATACAAAAATATAACATCGTCATACAGCACATCGGCTATCAACTATTCCCGTAAACCTTATCTCAGCTTTAAAATCAATCGCCCTCTTCGCGGAAGAGAACAACTTGACCTCAGCACCAATGTTGGTGGGGGCCCACTCAATAATTCGACAAACTGGTGCGAGGTCTTCTTGCACTCATATTGGCCGTGGACTTCACCAGGTAAGGGAAGTGAAGAACATACAGACCTTCATGTTAATACAAAGACAGTGGGATGTGTTGATTTTAGTACATTTCGTTGCGTTCGGATCTGGCTCCACTAAAATTTAGTCACCACACACGTGAAAGATAAAGATGAACCATCGGAATCTTGCTGGAGGATTTGGGTGGGCTCAGCCGCAAGCTGGCCGCGATTCAATAAGTTCGGGGTTGCCACACAAATTAGCTGCCCATCCCAGAGGCGAACAGAATTATCACTAACGTGGTTTACCACCAAACGGAACATCCCACCAAATGAAACACTTTCCGATAGCATCGCAACCTCAAACCCAATTACTCCACCCTAACACATTAAAATTAACTACACTCAATTGAATTCTCTTCTCCTAATATCTCTTCAACCTCTTGACAGGTTCGTACATTATGCCCAGTCTTGCCGCACCTCCCACAGCGCCGCGAAGTCGATGGACCAGCCTCTACAGCACCCTCCTCATTTGACCTTTTCTGTCGTTTCAACCCTTTATCCTCTTTTTCAGCGATCAGTTTTTGAGCATCTTCTATAGTAAGTGACCCTCCATCTTGGACACGTGTACGCTTGGCTTTCCGACGCTTTGAAAGTGCTGTGTTGGCCTTTCGAAGGGTACGGACCTCCTCTTGTATAAGGGTCATTTGGTGCGCAATGCGGTCTGTACCCTTCACCAGCTGCTTTACAGCTGAAAAAATCGTTGTTGGGGAGCTTCCTTGATGAATTCCAATTCTATTCTGTACAAACTTAGACTGCAAAATTGCATCAGCTGGGGTTTGTGGCGTTTGAGGGACCCAAGGGTCAGCCTCTAGTAGGGGGGATCCAGTTGGTGTTGGCGTCCGTAACTTGATATCAAGTTTTGAGAGAACTGCTTCTGGGTTGTACGGGACTAGGCCAGTACCTCGAAAGCCAGCTAGGATATTTTCAGTTGTCATTGTATGGTTGTGGGCAGCCTTGAATGCAATAAAGAACTCAATCTTAGTGATATGGGTAATAGAGGCCTTAATGAAGACCTCAAGTTCTCGACCATACATTCGCTTTAGTACACTAAAACACCCAACATCAAGAGGCTGGGTAAGATGTGAGGAGTGCGCAGGGAGACAGAGCGTAATAATGTTGTTCTCCTTGCAGTACATATCAAACTGGGCAGATAGGTGGCTCTCATGGCCATCTAGGACAATCATCCGCCAGACCCCTTGTGTTCGTACACGTGTATGCTGATTAAAGTGTTTTATCCAGTCTAGACCTGTATCATTGTCGGTCCAGCCATTTGGTGAGGTCTTGATGGCCCAAGTAGGTGGAAGGCCGCACTCTGTGTACCAAGGCGCAAGGTGATGCTTGCCTTGTACAATCAAGTATGCAGGCACTACAAAGCCGTCTGCACTCACACATTCAATCGCTGTTGCCCATTCCCGATTACCAGACTGAAGCTGCTTTGCTCGGCCTTTTCGATCTGAGCTCGTAACAACCATATTCCCACAGATAACACCCATCATAAAGCCCGTCTCATCAAAGTTGTAGAAGTCAGCATCCTGGATGCTGTACTTCGCCTGCATGTTCTTTACCAGCTCAAACCACTTTCTTATACAATCAGGATCTTCGCAGAGGGCTCGCTGGAGGTCGTACGCACGAGAGAGACGCGTCTTAAGCTTTGGTTCATTGTGTACAAAGCGGTAGGGCCAGTTTTTTCCAACTGGGGGTTCGCGACGCGTCGCACGGAGGAGATTCGCTATATCTCGTACATCCTCAATTCGAGGTGGAAATCCTCGCGAATCTAGGTCAAGTACGTATCGTATGAGCTCCTCTTCCTCAATTGGGGTCAATGGACGTTGTTTGTCGCGTCTACCAGCTCGTGGTTGGCTTCCGTGTATGCGACGGGTAAGTGTTACATGTGGGACCTCATATAGCTGCGCAGCACGTCGGATGGACAGTTTGTGGGGTGATTTGGTAGCTTGAATGGCTAGTAAAACTCGGCCTTCATTAGCTTTCTGAGGCATCTTTTTGTTGTGGTGTGGTGGAGTAATTGGGTTTGAGGTTGCGATGCTATCGGAAAGTGTTTCATTTGGTGGGATGTTCCGTTTGGTGGTAAACCACGTTAAGTGATTCTGGAGGCGGATATAACCAACGGCACAGTATATAGACACGGTATATAGATCATATAAATCAATTCTACTATTCGACTGTCTACTGTCAGAATTCCACCTGCCGATGCCAGCTACCCAACCTTGCACACCGAATCAAAGTGTCATAATGATTTAAGCGTCATAATGATTGAAGCGTCATAATAATTGAAGCGTCATAATGATTGAAGCGTCATAATGATTGAAGCGTCATAATGATTGAAGCGTCATAATGATTGAAGCGTCATAATGATTGCGAAAGTCTGCTTAGGGAAGAGGGGCTCGTGGAAGTGGCTCAGCATGTGGAAGAAGAGCCTGCGGAAGAGGCACTGTCACACAAGCTGTTGATTGATTGAAGTTCTAAGAGTCTACAGTTGAGGTAATCTAAGAACTATTTTGGTGGGGCCGCTCAGGGCTCCGGCTACGCCAATCCTGCGCTAGTCCTATGATGCCACTCCTACAATTCCTGCAACATTATCGTACCAGATGGCCAGACTTATGGACCGGACGTGATACAAGATTTAAGGAACAAAGTGGACGTTTGGGATGAACAATGGACCACCCTGACGGTTTTTCAAGACAAGTTCCCCAGATGCTGTTTTAGGTACCCTCCCTCGTTTGAATGTCCTAGATTTGGACATTCGGCATAGCTTTAAGAACCGCGTGTTTCTTGTAAGCTCGGCACCCTAGTTTTCGTCACCCCCCCGTTCTCGTCACCCTTCCGGAATCAACACCTTTCATTATGATAGCTAAATAATACAACGAATATCACTCTAATTGCCACTCAAATGTCATAGATTCTAGAGTCATATTTGATCTAATCTCTGTAGCTTTTTGGGCTGCAAATTCCGTAACCTTACCTTTTCTTTGTGCCTCCAAAGCAGCTGCTTCGTCCAATGCCTTCTTAATACTTTCTATATTTGCAAAGCGTGAATTTGGATCAACAGTTATTCTCTTCCGTGGCTTCTTTGCCTGCAGACTCTCTATCTCAGCCTTCTGCCGTTGAATTGTTGCCTCATGCCCTGCTTGGATTGCATTCAACCTCCCAATTGCCTTGCCTGCTTTCTGGATCACAAGCCTCTGCATCCGTGGTATTTTTGCAGCCTTGGTAATGCTCCGGACTGCTTCGAAAAGATGCCGTGGCTTCTGTGGGGTCCGAGTAACGTCGTAATCCAGAGAACGGGCACGTTTCCGACGTGGAGGACTCTTTAGCTGGTTCTTGACTTGTGAGGAGTTGATAGCCTTAGCTGGATTCCAAGGATAGATACCAGCAGCACGCCAGCCGCCCTGGATAACACGCTCTGTAAGGCCCTCCTCTCGTGCATAGTGGTAGGCTGCAATAAAGCGAGCTTTCTTAACTGGGGCGGAGTCATCGAGTGCTGAGAGCTCCGTAATCATCTGGCGGTATTTGCCCTTGACAGGCGAGAAGCATGAGAGATCAAGCGGTTGCAAAACATGTGAAGAGTGTGCAGGTAGAAACATAAGCTCAACTTGATGCTGTTTACAGACCCAAAGGAATTCTACACTGACATGGCTGCCATGGCCATCAAGGACAAGTATCCGGTATCCACCATCAATCGGCTTCGTTTCTGGTAGAAAAATCTTTTCTAGCCAAGTAACCCCAATCCGATTCGATGTCCATCCGTTTTCTGACATATATAACCAATCTGGCACGTTATCTGCTGTATACCATGTTGTTTGTAGGTCCTTCCCTTTGAAAATGACAAGGCAGCGTGTCTTCTGGCCTATAGCTGAGATTGACTCAATAATTGAGACCCACTCACGATCCTGCGGAGCTTTCACGTAAGTACGTGACTTTTTAGAGCTTGCAAGAACTTGTGTATTCATACAAAGGCCAAGAGCAATACCTTGCTCATCCATATTCCAAATATTCTGAGGCTGGACTTGACGCTGCTCTTGAATACGGTGGAAGTGGTCGAAGAATGTGCGTAATTGCTCAGAACTCGTTCCCTCAATGCGAGAAGCTTCAATTCTCCTGCCTATAACAGAAGCAACGCGTGGATTCCGTTGTAGAAAGCTAGACACCCATTTCTTGCCAAGTGGCTCCGTCTCGCCGTTCATATGCAGAATGCGGGCGGCCATTTCTCGCGCTCGTGCATGAGACGGAGGATATCCACGTGAGTCTTCCTCGAGGATCCAATCGGCAAGGAATTCCTCTTGCCCTTGCGTCAGTCTCTGCTGTTGTTCATGGCCAACGCGTGTGTTTGTAGAGCCTTTGAGTCTCGAGGCGAGGGTCGTCCGTGGGATATTATACGCCTTTGCGGCAGCTGATTGGGTAGAATAAACACCAGATTCAAAATCCTTGATAGCTGATTGTATGGCAAACTCTCGGGTAGCGTTTTGAGACATGTTGTTGTTGAGTAGGAAGAGTCGTGTTCTAGACAGACGCGTCGAGGTGGGGTGACGAGAACGGGGGGGTGACGAAAACTAGGGTGCCGAGCTTACAGCTTAACACAAAGCGGCAGATCCTCAAAATTTGTCCATTCGGATCTGAACTCCCATATTTTACACAGGAGATGAAAACATACAATACACTTGCCGAGCGAGGCTGCTGCCTGATCCCCCGCTTGTCCGCCTATGTCTTTGAGAGAAATGAAAAGCAAATAATCGGCTTTATATGCGAGGAACTCCAGGGTAGGATTGCTAGGCCTAGTGATTACAGCGAGTGCAAGCGTAGCCTGGAGCAATTGCACACCTACGGTATCGTCCATAGCGATCTCAACAAATTCAACATCATGATTACTGCGGAAGCACCTCGATTTTTTGACCTCGAGAAATCGGTGCTAGATACCGATAACGACATCTCGAAAGACGATTTCTCACACCTACAACAAGAAGAGCTTGAAGGACTTGAAAAAGCTCTTCGTGATGAAGAAGACTGGGGAAGACCCTGGCCAGAGTTGAAACCATCTTGATATGGTTATGGTTATGGACTCTTGTATAGACCATTGTGATTGGTGGGTGCTGAGTACAATAGCACCAATGTAACGAGGGCAATTAATTCAATTCAGTGCTCGAATATAGCTTCAAACAGATCCTGCGTCTCTTAGATGCTGAGCCCTTGATCCGTCCAATTTAAGACCATCCTCACTCTGAAATCTCTCAAAATACAACCGTTCACATAATTTCTCTGCATAGCCGCATGAGTTCAAATATCATTCGGTTAAATGGGGAGCCTAACCTCATGCACTTTGGTTGCATTTACGACATTTGTGTGAACCAGTCTAGGGTCACCATCAGCATGGTCAATAGTTTTCTCGTTATCCCGTTCAACGGCACTAACTGCCGTTTGTTACTCGGTGGTTTGTCCATCTACGAGCGAAGCGAGTAGGTGGCGAAAGCGAGTTGGGTATGCGAAAGCGAGTTGGGTATGCGAAAGCGAGTTTGGGTATGCATCAATATGATGTACATATATATGAATCAACAAGGTAATAGCGTAGTATTGATAGATAACTACCTGAACAATATAAAATTAACAAAGCTATTTTCACTAACGTGGTTTATCAGCGAGTCGCGCATATCACCGAGTCGCGCACTTTCCCCCACATTCCAACCTACTAACTTCAATACGCTTTTTTTCAACCACCACAAATGGAAATTCAAACTCAAGAAGCAAGTATTATTATTGCTATCGAAGCTATCCGATCATCTAGAAAAATCAGCTGTCGGTCTGCTGCAAAGATCTATAAAGTGCCCGAATCAACACTCCGCGATAGAATGGCTGGCTGAACCCCCCGCGCCGAAGCTCGATCGAATTGTCACAAATTAAACGATATAAAAGAGGATACAATTGTTCAGTATATACTCAGTCTGGATTCCAGAGGATTTGCGCCCCGACTTGCTGGTGTTGAAGATATGGCTAATCTTCATCTTAAATCGTGAGGACAGAACCCCGTAGTGTAATGGTGGGTGCACCAGATGTGAGAATCTAGCCACCCAAGGAAGGGATGATTTTACTAAGACAACACACTGTCTTAGGAAACAGAGCCAAAGGGTTGTAGCTTAGACTATTCCACAATGCAGCAATCAGGTGTGTGATGTAGTGAAGTGGTTCAGACAAGTTGCAACAAATGTTGAGTCTGGGAACTCAGGGGTAAGTCAGAGGTTAACACCTCACTGACTTTTCAGAAACAAGGAGTAACAAGATGAATGCTTGGAAGCTTGTAAAAGACGTGGAAGTATGTGATAGTCGATTTACTGTATTGCCTGCTTGCCCTTTCTTAAGGAAAGGGCAATCCTATTTATGCCAAAGGAGTGTAGTTCTCTCATTTCCATGACTTTCCATGACTAACCAGGCTTGGTAAATGTATTAGAAATCAAGTGCGACCCACAACTAGCTTGCTAATCATGTAGTGAACGTAAGAGAATCCCATAGAACCATCTCTTGGGTTTCTAGCCTATAGGAAGTGAAAAGGAGGTCCAAGGTCAGAGTACCTATAGATAAATTATGTCATAACTTAAGCAATCTTGTGGGTAACTAAGGAGCGATGACGTGTAATGAATCATAGAGGGTTGTAGAAGCTTCTAGAGCTATCGTTTATGTTCCTAGGCCTCTAGTTGGTAGAGATATGCCATGTGGTAGTATTGGCCCACCCCCTTAAGGAGGAGATTTTCTTAATAACTTGTTCAATGAGTGTCCAAATGATATGCTGTGATGTATGTAGCATAAACAGATGTAGTAGAAGAGTTTGCAGCAATCGTTGAGTAGTATTGCTTCTGTTGTTGGTGTGATAAGCCAAGATATGTATGGTGACTTGTAGGTTTGAGGAGGAGATTTCTAAGTTTGCTCTTGAGTTTGATAGCAAACTGAGTGCAACGAATGTCAGTATGACACGTAGGAAAGCTCTGGGCCCATCGATTCGTACAACGGCAACCACAGTTAAAGACGCGTTTTAATCGCGTTTATGACTTTCAAAGGGCCTTGTGCAAAGATCCCGAGCTTATTGGCGCGTGGTTTCGACTTGTTGGGAATATGAGGGAGAAATATGGCGTTCTAGATTGTGATTTCTACAACTTCGATGAGACGGGGTTTATGATGAGAGTTATTTGTCCAGCAATGGTTGTTACACGTACCGATCGACGTGGCAGAGGCAAGGCAGTTCAGCCTGGCAATCGGGAATGGGCAACAGCGATTGCTTGTATTAGTAGTGAGGGTTGGAATGTGCCTCCATTTTTAGTAGTGCAAGGGAAGAATCACCTCACGAATTGGTACACTGAGGCCGACCTCCCAAACGACTGGGTGATTAAGCCAACAATTAATGGATGGACAAATAATGAGACGGGTCTAGAATGGATCAAACACTTCGATAAACACACTGCTACTCGTGCGAAGGGTCCATATCGAATGCTTGTGTTAGATGGGCATGAGAATCACGAATCGGCCGAATTTCAGGAGTATTGTAAGGCTCACAACATTATTACTCTTTGTTTGCCTCCTCACTCGTCCCATCTTACCCAGCCACTTGACGTTGGGTGTTTTAGTGTGTTGAAAAGGGCATATGGGCGACAAATCGAGACCTTTATTAAGGCTTATATTAACCATATTACTAAGGTCGAGTTCTTCCTTGCCTTCCAAGCAGTGTTTATAGAGTCAATAACGACCCAAAATGCTCAGGCTGGATTCCATGGAGCTGGCCTAGTGCCTTTCAACCCTCAAGCTGTTATTTCAAAGCTCGATGTGAAGTTACGGACTCCATCTCCTGCTTTACCCCTCCCTGCCGACGCCGACCCTTGGGTCTCCCAGACACCTCACAACCCTACCGAGGCCCTCTCACAGACAACTCTTGTGAAGCAAAGGATTGCCCGTCACCAGGGAAGCTCGCAAACACCTCTTTTTGAGACAGTCTTTGCGTTAGCAAAGGGCACTGAGCGATTAGCTCACCAGAATACCCTTTTAACAGGGGAGATCCATACACTTCGAGCAGTAAATGAAGCGCTTAGCAAGCATCGCAGGGCTAAAAAGAACCGTATCCGTGAAGGAGGTGCACTTACAGTAGAGGATGCATACGATATTTTGTCTCAGCAGGAGGTAGATGAGCAGGTTCGACGCGACTTACGTGCAGAGAGGGGCAATCAGGTTGAGGGACAACTGTCTGGACAGTGCTGTGGCACTTGCGGAAAGGCTGGCCATAACGCGCGAACTTGTAAAATAGAAGAAGATGTATCTAGCTCTTTAGATTTTAATTTGTAAAAAATTTACTATATTTATATTTGAAGTTCCGTGCCAAGGAAAAGTGCGCGACTCGCTGATATGCGCGACTCGCTGATAAACCACGTTATCTAAACTTTGTACCGACTCATTTTCATCTTCGTCGTCGCCACTCTTGTATGCCTTATACTGTAAGACCACTACAAGCGACTTCAAACCATTTGCTTTACGGTCTGCAACACGCTTATGCTCTGCTTTGCGGTCTTCAATTGCAGACCGCTTAAGCCATATTTAGTAGCTGTTTTGCTACCTGAGCTGACTCTCGTAACTTTTTCGCATCCGCCTTTGCCCTTGCCTTTGCTTCCTTCTCTTCTCTTTTTGCACGTGCTTCATGAGCATATAGTTGACCACCACTCAATTGGCCATTTGTGTGGCCTTCCACGTGGTCTTTTCTCAGTTGACTTCAACTCTGCCTCCCGGACAATTTTCAACACTTCCTCGGTACTGAATACAAATTCACCTTGCAACTTAATTCTCTTGCCCGTAGTTCTTTTCTTTCGTGTCTCAAGTATCTCTTTGTACTCTTTCACCTCCTTCCGAAGGATGCTGAGTTCAGCATTCTGACTTTCAACCAGCCTAGTTATTCTCTTGGCATAGTGTCGAGTTGGTGAAGCAGGAGAGTCACAAGTTGCCATACTTGAATTAAATACTAAATTTGCATGCCTTAGTTCAGTTCCATCTGGAGGAGAACTTCGGAGTATTGAGAGATCCAGAGTAGTGATATTGGTTGAGTTTTGAGGAGTGCGAGGTGGTTCGGTTGGTGGAAGTGGAAGGTTAGCCAGAACTCTTTCTGGGAGAAAGGGTATTAAACCCGCTGCCCTCCACCCACTTCTAATGTTTTGAGGTATAAGACCCTTCTCTCGAATACACCGGAAGATTTCAACCCAGTGGGAGTGCTGGATTCGCTTTATTCCTGCTCGAGTATACCAATCTACTTCCTGAGCATGAAATCGCTTAAGAGGTCCATACACCCCAACATCAAGTGGTTGGAGTATATGAGAGCAATGAGGCGGTAGAATAAGAAGGTCGATGTCATTCGCAATGCACAGTGCAAATCACCAGTAATGTGACTAGAATGGCCATCCATAATCAACATTTGCAGGTGATTTCCAGACTTTTTGTGTGACTCAGGCTCAAATACCTTCCGCAACCACTCAAATCCATGACTGTTTGAAGTCCAGCCACTATTACTTGTTGAGAAGCGCCAGTTTGTAGCAATGCAGTTATCCACTCCTGCTTCCCAGCTGTGACATTCCAATTGGATTTCAAGGTAGAATCAACAATTATTCGCGTGGATTGAGTCTCTCTAACTGCAAAACCTGTCTCATCCATATTATAGATGTTGCATGGCTTGTACTTTCGCTCTTCAATTCGTGCTTTAAACGCGTCAAACCAAGCTGAAATCTTTATAGGAGTGGCTTCTTTATGTCGTGCAGACTCTAGTTGTCTTGAGTAGACCCCTTTAAAGTTTGGATGTCGTTTTAAGAATCTATAGATCCATTCATGGGCTATGGGGGTAGGATTGGTCCGAAGAGTGGTTTGAGAAGACGTGATTTGGACGCGTCGTACGCGAATTTCTTCAGCCATTTCCTTGATCAACATAGGAGTTGCAGGAAAACCCGTGGCAGTGAGACGTGTAATCCATCGTGCTAGTGTATTTTCTTCTGCATTTGAGAGAGCTTGTTCAATTTCGTGAGCTACAGCACGCGTTTTCTTCCCAGACATCTTCAACAAGAGTTGACTTAGGAACTTCGAAGTGGTCTGCAGCAAGTCTAATTGATTTGAATTCCTTCAATTGGAGCGCAATGACAGCCTTTTGGATGTTGTCTTCAATGGTTGTGGGATGTTCATGGTGGAAGGTATGAAGGTTCTGAGTTGGTAGTCGGGCATTTTTGTCCGACTACCCCGTATGTCCGACTACCCCATACGTTACGTTATTGCCCGTATTAATTGATACAGAGCTCACTAGTATCATATCAAGCTTCACCGTACCGTATTGATACGGCCCGTATCATAATGGCCTGAATACTTAAGTATTATACTAATGGGAACACTGGTTACGAATTCTCCACGTCCCATCTGGCATTCTCCGAACATTCCACTGCTGCCCTATTGCTGTATCATCTGCCTCTACCATAAGCGGATTTATTAGATTTAACGGGTCTAGGGAGAGCCGCATATTCTTCCCAAGCCATGGACCCGCAAACCAGCAGTTGTCAGTATTAGGGATCCTTTTGATTTGCCAGTATTGCCTGATGTCGTTGCCAGTAATAGTCATGTTAAGTTTGCGTGAGAGAATGTCGTTCTCTTTCATGTTAGTAACGGAATACCCAGGACCAAGAAAATTGTTCGAGAGGCGGTAAAATGTATTTTCTGCAAATGCTGCCGTGGCACCCGCATTAGCGGAAGTAGTAGTCGAAGAAGTAGCAGTAGAAGAAATAGTAGCTGAAGAAGTAGTAGTCGAAGAAGTAGTAGTCGAACTTGTCGTAGTTAGACAGATTTGAAGGCACGCAAATGTGTTTAAATTAGCACATCCAGCTGTTATATATTAGCTTTAAGCTATCTCATTTTTTCTCAAACCTTTACCTGGTGAATCTTGGGGCCCATACGCGTGCAAAAAGCGTCCACAATTGTCCAATTCAAATGTTTGCCAAAAACTAAGCTGTTCTCTCTCTTTAAGTGGGCGACTTGGTCTGAAGCTGGAAAAGGGCGCGTTGGCACTCGCTAGTATAATCCACCACTTATACCGCCTCGATATATCTCCAACCTCAAACATATGTCCTGTACCTAAGGGATGGTTAAACAACATATAATTGTGTGCTTTAGATTTGTTCTGCTTACAGTTTGGTCCTGTCCAGGCCGTGAAATCGAGTGGAGAGCTAGTATCCATTGAAGCATTACTTGGTGTTCCACCCACTCGCTTCGCTCGTAGGCGGCGACAGCAAGTTGTGCGTGCGACAGCAAGATGTGCGTACACCGTTATTTTGATATATAGAGAAAATAATAGTATTCTTCATAACATAGAATCTACAATGCCTCAAAATAACGATCCTACTATGAATGCTCGCCTTAATGAGGCCCAACAGTTCTTCTTAAAACAACCAAGTACATATACAATTGCTTGGGTTGCAAATAAATTCAATGTCAACCGTGAGACACTCCGACGTCGTATTACGAGTACTACATCTCCTCAATTACCCCACGGAGGTAGCAATCGAGTCTTATCTCAATCGCAAGAGACTGCGGTCTGTCAATTCATATACGACCAACTTGAGCGCGGGGTCCCTGCCAACCGATCTATGATACTACGGGCAGTTGCAGACTTACGACCTAATCGTACGATACCATCACAACGGTGGCTACAACGCTTTCTAAAAGCACACCCCAAATTTCATACAATTCACACGAAGACGTTAAATACACATCGGAAGCAAGCACAAAAGAAAGAGGTGTTTGAGGAATTCTTTCTCACATATAACGCCCTTATTACAAAACATAACATTAAGCCATATAATTTATGGAATGTTGATGAGACAGGCTATATGATTGGGTGTTATAAGTCTATGGCTGTTATTGTACCAATCGGTGTAAAGCAGTGGACTGTTGATAATCCTGAGAATCGGCTCTCTGTTACTGTAATTGAGGCAGTAAATGCAAGTGGTGCTGCACTTGCAGAAGCTATCATTATCCCTGGCAAACTTCATATGGATTCATGGTACAATGATGACCTTGAGCCAAATGCTCTCATTATTGTAAATGAGAGCGGGTATTCAAACGACGACATTGCAATCCAATACCTTATGCATTTTATCCAACTATCTGCAGAGCATATGGCACCAGATGATACTCGCCTCTTATTACTTGACGGCCATGACTCTCATAAAACAGAGCGCTTTCTTACATTAGCAGAAGAGCATAACATTGTTATTTGCTGCCTTCCTGCTCATACAACACATCTATTACAACCTCTTGATGTAGCGGTTTTTAAGCAGTGCAAACACTCTCATCAAAAGGCACTTGATCAAGCAGTACGTAGCTACGACTATGAGTATAAGCTACGCACGTTCCTTTCAGACCTCCCACAAATCCAACGGCAATCTCTAACTGTCCGTACAATTCAATCTGGTTGGAGAAATGCAGGACTATATCCATATAATCCTCCACTTGTAATTGACAAGATACAAGAGACTCGGAATCAAACACCTGATTATGAGCCATTTGCTTCATATAATATTATCTCAACACCGAAAACAACTATGCAAAGTGTGCAAGCGGTTGAACATTGGCAGAAGAGAGCAGAGGAAGCTTTCTCATCGCCTTCAAGAGAAGGGTTTCAACCATTTGCACATGGAACTACAGTTGTTCTACACTGGGCAGAGCTCTATAAGACCGAGTGTTACGGCTATAGTAACATGATGTCATGGTTACAGGGCCAGGGCCTAGTAACGTGACGTGTGAGTCACAGTGGGAAGCAGGGTAGGCTGCCATGTGACGGGGCTAATGGATAGTTGCAGAAACTAGTGGATATTGGATAGTTGAGCTATCCACGAACTATCCTGAATATCTAGCTATCCGCCAACTATCCAGATTACCCATGAGGCACGACGCCACTATATAAGTAGATAGTATTTCCTTAGATAGGAGCTTCGTGCTCAACTCAATATAGTATTCTTTACAATACTGTAACGTGTTACTTGGAAAGCCTTTGTGTCTAATCCCCTGCCTCCTCTGTCAAGCCAACCTTACGCAAGAAACCTCTGTGTCTTCTATCGTTTAGAAGTCAGCGTTACACCGAGCTAGATATTATGACTCTACGTGCAGTAGAGCAGAAGGCAGCAAAGGCAAGGGCACGGAAATCACTACAGAAAGGAGGGCAGTTATATGCATCAGATGCACGGAAAATGCGGGAAGAGAAGGAAGCAAAGTTGCAAGCAAAAGCAGACGCAAGAGCAGCAAGGGAATCGGACCAAGTAGTAAAGCAGCTACAAGTGCAAGCACGTAAAATCGAAATTGAAGAGCGTAAGGTTGAGAGGAAGCGGGTAGCAGAGCGGAAGCGGGTAGCAGAGCGGAAGAAGGAAGGGTTGAAATTGTTACGATATCAAGTGCGCCTTGCAGCTCGAGTGGGGGTTCAGGGGTGTGGGGAGCTTTCCGGGGTTGGAGCGAAGTTTTCAGTTGTGGAGTGAATTCTCAGAACTGGTCTCGCTAAAGAGAATTCACTCCACAATAGCTGTATATAGATCGAGCCACTGCTCGAGTGCTCCTCTTCTCTTTCCTTTCTTCTCTAGATTGAGTTTAATTCATAATACCCAACTGGCGCCCTATGCCTTGGTGAACCGTGACAGAAATCAAAAGTGATCATTTTACGTATAGTAAGGATCAAAGTGATAGTAGTAGCAATAGTGGCAGTAGCGATAGTGATAGTAGTTCTATTGATTTTATGTTTTAATTATATAGTTATATAGTTGCTATATAAGGCGTCTTTTTCTTCGTTTTATGTGTCGCACATCTTGCTGTCGCACGCACAACTTGCTGTCGCCACCTACGATCGAAGCGAGTGGGTGGAACACCGAGTAGTGGCAGTTAGATTAGTGGCATTTAACCAAGAATTAGTAGTGCTTGAGTTGACAGCAGAGCTTATAGCAATGCCAGCAGAGACAATAACAATGTATAGTGCATTCAACTGCATGATGTAAACGAAACCGAGACCTACGGTATTATCTGGTGACTGTGACTGATGGCAAGAAGAGTATACGATGCAGACAGATAATCGTGACAATTGCGCAACCGAGGGCAACCAACATGCCGATGGCCACCAACATTCCGATGGCCCATCAGCATGATGATGGCTATCAGGTCTTTGTTGGTTATACTAGCTTCATAGTTTTGGGTCGGCGTCCCTGGTATTGAAACGGATGTCCCTAGGTACAAGTTTAACATTAAGTAATTATATGAACTAGAATTTTCTTCAAGATGAGCACTTAACCATATTATGTTCATTATGTCAAAATTAATATTCCATGGAAGGCATAACAGTGTCTGGGATGCAATATTTCGAAATGACTCTTGGACGTCAATTGTTCTTTGCCACGGCCTCAATCCTATACTTCTTGGCCAGGACTTGCACTCTATTTACGACATGGACGATGCAGGAGAGAGCCAGTGTGTGTATATACTACTTATAACAGGAGACAAAAGTGGCGACATTCGCTCTCATAGTCTGGTTTTCATGGACTCTCTAAGACCTCACACATACAACAAGCAGAGCGGTGGTATCTACGACGCAGAGGGTGCTAGCAACACTATGGCCCTCGGCTCCACGCAGCCATTGAATTTCGTCGGCAGTGCCGTCCACGGCGGTGGATCATGCCAGATCTCTGTCACCTACGACGAGAAGCCAGCAAAGGACAGCGTCTGGAAGGTCATTCACTTGATTGAGGGAGGCTGCCCGGCTCAAGGCGTCGAAGGTAACCTCGGCGGCGGTCCCGACACACCTGTCCCAGATGATTACAGCTTCAGCATCCCCGACAGCCTTCCAACTGGCAAAGCCGTTCTTGCTTGGACTTGGTTCAACAAGGTCGGCAACTGCGAGATGTACATGAACTGTGCGCCAATCGACATCACAGGGGGCAACTCAAAGTCAAAGCGCGACACAGCCGCCTTCGACGCCCTCCCAGATATGTTCACAGCAAACATTGACAACGGCGGCTGCGCGACCAAGGAGGGTGTAGACCTTATATTCCCTAGCCCCGGTGACTCCATCGACAAGCTCGGGTCAGGTAGTGTTGGAGGTCCGGTAGGAAACTGCCAGGCTGATGGAGGATCCGGTGGTGGCAGGGGTTCATCCGAAGCCCCTTCGTCGACACAGGACCCCTCCTCCGCCTCCTCCGTCTCCACCGTTCTCCCAAGCGGCGATTTTGTCACAGCCTCAGCCGGAAGTAACAAGCAAGCAAGCGAAACTGCCGCCCCTGTTGAGACTGCCGCCCCAGTTGCCTCTGCTGCGGATGTGGACGTTCCAGCAAATAACAGCTCCGACACCACCGCTGGTAGCTCTGAGACCGCTGCTGGCTCATCTTGCCCAGACCAAGACGGCACATGGAACTGTATCAGTGGAACCACTTTTCAACGCTGCGCTTCTGGCGAGTGGTCTGTTGTTCAGTCCGTCGCCGAAGGAACCACATGCGAAGCTGGTATCTCTCAAAACATCAAGTTTGTCAACGTCGCCAAGCCAAGACGCGCAGTCCGCTTCTTGAACGAGCATATCCGCCGTCACCAGGCTTACTATTCGTAAAGAACACATTAGATCGCAGGTCCATGTAATTGTATATTTTTACGGTTTAGGGACATAGGGTCAGGTGTCATGGATTCACAATTTCTTGTATATAGTTTTGTGTTGTCAGAACATAAATGCTTCAAATTATGAGAAAGTAACATCTTGAGCCCTTCCTTATGCGTGATTATCCTATTACCAACACCAAAATTTTCGAACCCTCTTGGTGCTAGTGCTATGATAGCGACAATCTGGGCACCAGTCTCGTTTTAGGGAAGGTTTTGAACATTGTTTCCCATCATTGAACTCTGCATCTATACATTTAATGACTGGCCCGATGTGCGAACATACTTTGCATATAACGAACCAACACATATCTGAGGTTCTTGTATGAAGTGGATGGCGTTTGGATAAATTAATAGTGATGTTGAAGTTTTTATTTCTCAGGCACAGTATACAACAGCCTAGGATGGTGCTATGATGATGTTAGTAGTCTATAGCGGAAAGGATTTATATGCAGAAGTCTACTTACCCTTGTAAGTTACCCTAGCAAGTAGAAGTTATCACCCGGGTGGTTTATGAATCAGTAGCTAGAATGTAATCGACTGCCCCCCCTCACCACCATGTTCTTTCTTATCCATGAGATTGTGTACTGCACAATAAACCATCTTTTCTTGCTGCACAAGTTTTTTGCTCAGTTCTTTCTCTTGGTGCAACCAATCCCCTTTAAGGTATTCATTAACCACAGCTGTAAGGCGGTGATCCTTGTTTCGCAAGTCACAAAGTATGTCCTTCTCCTTTGTGACCTGTTCAACACGTCGATAAATGTCCATGTAGGCCGATAGTGCAAGAGATGGTGTTTCTTGTATGTCCCTGCTCGCCCAGTCACTCTGGGATATAAATCCTCTTTCAGCATCAGTGATGAGCGATCGAAGCAGCTTCCTAGACTGCGTTGATAGGCGAGGGTAGTGAGATCCATTCTGTCCGTTAAACTCGTACAAAGTCTCAAATAAGACTTCTCTCCTAGAGTCTAGCCTTACATAACTCTGAGGCTTCGGAAGTTCGATGGACTCCGTCACTGCACAAGGTAACGCACCCGGATAGTCGCCCGCAAATCGTAGTTGAGGGCGGTCGTCGCTAAGAACCCAGTGGGGAGCACGGATTGGCACGTAAACTCGACTATCAAGGCTCCTGTCGATGTGGGATGTGATGGTGACAACATTAACTTTTCCATACAAGAATTCCCCCAAGACGATTACAAGGTGCATCTGATACATCCGATCAGGGTTATTTTCTAGTCTGGCATGCAGACTCAATTCATGTGGAGGCTTAAAATGAAATATTTTTCCAGAAATATCCTTGGGAGCTTCCGTCATTTTCAATATCTTGGAGGAAGCTTCTCGATAATGATGGTATAGCCTAGTTGCACAAGTCTATCCAAGAGGTCAGGTTAGACGAAGCAGATGTGCTTGTTTTATTTATAAATGAAGATTTAATGGGATATGTGAGAAGGCCAGAACGACTATGAAGGCATGCAATATTAAGACTTTAGCAAGAATTTATGACGTTGACTATTATTATATATGGTGACGAAATAGTGAGGTTGATGTTCTGAGAAATTGTTTTTCGTTGCCGCTGAGGTAATCCGTTCATTCTTCCTTTTCAAAATCAGATCCACTATATTATTCTTCAGCAATGCGAGGCAGGCGGTGCGGCTGAATAGTCATAGGTACCCTCCACCAAAGGCAATTTTCTCTCATCTGCGCGGTTGTTTCTTCAAGTATGTCCCCCATACCTCTATGTCCATCAGTGCCGAAGTATGGCTTAGAACCAAGCTTTTCGAGTTCATCAGGTATCTTTCTGGCCAGGCGCAATGTGAGTGACTCAATAGTTACATCTGAAGTTTCCACCCCAGCGCCAGTAGCGTCTTCTATACGAAGTGGTCGAAGTGCATAATGATGGTCCTGTTGGTAGAGATATGCCGAGCGCAAGCTCTCTTCTGGGCATGAGAATAACCTTCTCCAGTCCACGAAGTTTGTGCTAACGTTGCTAATAGCGTCATGGATGTTTAAAACAACTCTCAAGTTTGTGAACAGTACCTGCTTGCAAGGAAAGTCGCTTCCGTCCCCGAGAAGGGGGTCGTTGGTGAGGGAGGACGCTCCGAAAGGTTTCGGAGTGGTCATCTTTATGTGGGCGCTCGCGTACGAGGCCATGCCAAGAGTGGCGACGATGGAAGAGGTGAAATGCATGTTAATGGTTTTGTTGGTAAACGTGCCAGACGAGATAAAGAACGAATAATGTTAGCAGTCAGTATTCACTGTCGACAATAGGAACAATAAAGTTACAGAGGGAAAGAGCCATGGCATCGCTTCCAAGATAGGCCACCAAAAAGATGATGGCTAGCAATAAGACGACGGCCATCAATAAGATGATAGCTACAAGGAAAATGATGGCACCTAACATGTATTTCCTAATGACTTAAAATAGATATCCTGGGCAAGATAACAATCCACCCCGCTATATAAAAGAATTGCATTCTGGGATTCTCGCATCGCACCATTGCAACATATCACTCTAGTCATGGAAGCCAAGCTTATGAAACGAAAAAATGAGAGGCCTAGGCTAAGGAAAAGAACGCTTTTTCGCAGAGGCCATGAGTTGTCAAAGCTATGTAATGTTGATGTAGCTGTCGTTGTATTTCAGCGCGGTCAGTACTATATTTATAAATCTATCGAGAGAGATGATTGGCCCCCATCTATGGCGGATATGGTAAGTGAAGCTAGAATGTATCGTTATGCATAGCTGAATCAGTCGAACTATAGCAGGACACCCACCGCTTCAATATAATGTCACCACACAACTTTGAACAGCGCGCGACGGGAGAGGTGAAACTGGTGTCAGATCCAAAGACGAAGTGATTCAGAATATGATCAACATTTAAATACACTAGTACTGCCATAGTTACCTGCGTTAGCTTGAGTCGCCTTCTTGCAAGAACATGGTGCGATAGAATAAAAAATAATGCCGATCTCAAAGGTCAAGAACTAGACTTAATCTGCGGAGCAATAGCTTCTAGTTGAGCATAACTAATGAAAGGAATCAGAATGGTTGGCGACAAGCTTTTTAAAAACGTATTCTATTCTTTATCAGCTTGGGTAGCTTCTCACAGGTTAGGTAGGTATGTTACCATTTTTATATCACCCAAAGAACAATGGGAGGTGATCTCCAAGAAGTTTATGAGCTCTGCCGACCAAAGGAATGGAAGGTTTGGTTCGAGTTTGCCGCCTTCTTGTATGGGCTCTTGGATAACGCCCTTCTGTATCATCTCAAGTACGAGCAGCCCAAGCCCGCGGGCAGGAGTGAATCCGGTTTCTTGGCAGGACTCAATATAAGCTGTATGTATAAGCTTGGGAGGTATACAGAAAGTACTATACCACCTATTTTGACATTGCCATCAGAGTGAAGTAGGACTTTGGTACTATCCAAACTTTTATGAGAGAACCCGTGCCCTGATAGATATAACATGCCCTCAAAGACCTGTATAATTAGCACAGCATATACAGGGACCATTAGTACTATCCCTGGCTGCAAACTTCAGAGACATGAGCTTGCTCAAAATCATACGGAATAGCGATAGTCTGCCTTAGAGAGGCTTGTGCATATTCGGAAACTAGCATCATTTTCCCGTCGTATTTGTAACACTCTATAAAAACAACTAGGTTTGAGTGTCGAAACCTGATTATTTGATCAAGTTCAAGTAGCTCTCTAGTCTCTTTTACCGTCACCATCGTCGTTGGTATTGACTTGGTGCAGGCCACTTGCACCAGACTTCCCCGTCTCATCTTTCGCAAACATGTATACTTGAGCCATGGATCCTCGTGCCGGATCATGGAAATCCCCACCTGATCTGTAGAAATAGATCGACGAGGAGTCGCATTGCCGATGTTTATTGCGAGAGGTATCCGTGAAGGGGTTGGTTTTGGACTCTGCCTCTCTGAAGCCGGCTCTTCCAGTTTCGCTGCCGTCAAGAGAGTAAAGTCATGATTAAGGCTTCCAGGAAAACGAGTTCCTCTATTGCCAAGCTTTTCTCCGTCTTGCAGATTATTGGGTGTTTGTGGTTGTCGGAGCCTTTCAGGTCCCAGCCCCGGGAAACGAGTTAACCTTCGCGATTCTAAGGATTCAGTTGACATTATGATCGCGTTTACAAATGCCACTGTCTTCAAAACATCTCTGTATATATTTGTACGTAAATAAAGTTTTTAATTATGGCCCTCACGATTGAGGGGGCCACCAGGAGCTGGCGCCCCTGCCTAAGGCGGGAAGGACAAACGTGACGAGTGTAATACCCACAACACGCAAAGGTGACAAGATCATACAACACCCGCAAGTGATAATAAAAATACAAATCTCCACGTTTATTATGGCGTCTAACGATTCGGTAATGAATGGCCCTGGGTTGGAGCTTCTAGCATCGTTAGAGCAGCAGTTTGTTGAGAGCAAGACACTTCACCTGAAGGGAAAGGCACGAGTGCGCCTGTCGCAGCTGTCGTTTCCAAACCCAATTCGCCCTATCGACCCTAATCTTGTTAAGGTTCTCAAGCGCACTTTTAAGAGTGAAGGATGCCTACAGCAAGATAGTACCTTTAGCCTCCCAGCTATAATAGACGATAATTCCCTCACGCTGGCTCTAGAAGGGCTAGGTGTTGGTGCAGACCGTTTTAAAGCCGACTCAATACTTTCTCCAGCAAAATTCGAGCTCCCACACAATATACAACTGGCATGCCTCCACGGTCAGCATAGGGTTGCCGCAGCAGAAAAGCTCCTCGGGTCTGGGAATAAGTGGTGGCTTGTAGATATATACGGACAGGGCATGTGTGATAATCATAACACTGAGTCATTACTGACAGCCATGCGCAGGACTCGACGACAAAGCACAACAGTTGCTCAGAGAAGGTCGCACTTATTCGACTAATTATACCGATGGAGAGATATTCTGTCAAATTATCCTCTGCCGATTCCAGAATAAACGAGAAGAAGCAGCTCGATGGCGTGCCCGAATTACTGCCAACAAAGAAGGAGACCTTGGCAGATTGCTTAAGCGTTGGACCATCATCAACGCACTTGAGTCTATTATACAGTTTAGAGGGTACTGGAATGCCTTCCATCTTGGGTCTTTGGATATACTGCTGTCAATCAAATGCGACGAGGTCTGCTCACTGCCTGTCCATCCATCCCATAGCTAACTTTTATTGTTAGGAAATAGCCTGTTATATCAAGCAGATAAAGGATACAATAACTCACATAATAGGGGATAATTCGCTCATACATGGCGTTGATCGTGCCTCTTTAGATAGCATTCAGCTGCGAGCTCCCGCTATATCTAAAATGGACTCCCAATACATCGAGGCGGAAATGTTGTCAGATAGATTGTTTCCAGCAATCAAGGACCCAGCCACCCGATCTGGAATTTTACAACGGTTACTTGGAATTGAACAGCCAATACTGAGTATATATACGTTATTCAAAGACCTCAGGTACCTTGACCCAGCTGCCAGAGCAATGCGGGCTCTCTTGCCGAAACGTAGTAAAGAGAGTCTCCGCGTAAGCTTTTTCTCACTCTTCCGACCGGATGGTAATAGAGAGCCTCTTGACATCCAAGATAGTGAAATATCATATACGACGGTGTCTGGAGATCACAACTATCTGTTTGGCCTTGCATATCGTGAACTCTTCCTAGGGGCCATACGCTACTTTACCAACACCTCAAATGTTTCGTCTAAAAAGGATATGAACCCAATTGAGCAGAACGTGGATGGTACAAAGCGGTATCTAGGGTTTAGGCTATTAGAATTTGGCCAGCGCATAGGATTCTCTATTCAGACGGATCAAGATGCATTGATAGATCCTAGTGAGAGGCTTCTTGCAGATATGTTACGCAGCCTACCAAGGGAGATCTTTAACGTTAACGAACCTATACCAGATGCACTCTCGGCTCTCTTCAAAGGATACCTTTCAAATTCAACTCTAGCTGCTAGTGCTGTATCGAGGCCTTCTATCACTACGCTCAAGATAGGCGAACCTCTATCTCACAGATGTGGACGTTACTGCGGTGGATCGCCAGATGATGAAGACCGTCTCCATCTCTTCATTCGTAAGATGCACGCACCTTTGAGTAAATTCCCAAGAGGTGGACATGACATTAGTTCGTTTTATGTTAAAACATCAAAATACCAGGCTTTTTTTGGGGAAGCTGTTATTCGAGAAATCTTAAAGCCAGTAGTGCCGGGCGGCACAGGGGAAGGGATTTCCGAAACATCTATTCCTAGTGCTGCCGATGACACAGTAATGACGGATGGGAGAATTTTCACGAACCTTTTGCCGCAAGGCGGAATACAACAGAGCCGTGAAGTGAATACCGACTTTACATCACAGCCCAATCCCACTGGATTCACTCACGGCAACACTCACGGCAACACTGACGGCGAAACACCGAAGAGCTCTGGATTAAATGTTGAGTTTGTAACTGAGAGCGACCTCGTCCACTCAATGTCGATATTCACTCGTTCTAGAGTGGAGGCAAGAGCTAAGACATACGCAAAAGCCGGGCTCTCTCTTATGGATGAGCGGGGCAGACCTTGTGGGTAAGTTATGACATAATTTGTCTATAGGGGTACTCTGACCTTGGACCTCCTTTTACTTCCTATAGGCTAGAAACCTAAGAGATGGTTCTATGGGATTCTCTTACGTTGACTACAGTTACCAAGCCTGGTTAGTCATGGAAAGCCTTGGAAAATGAGAGAACTACACTCCTTTGGCATAAATAGGATTGCCCTTTCCTTAAGAAAGGGCAAGCAGACAATACAGTAAATCAACTATCACATACTTCTACGTCTTTTCAAAGCTTCCAAACATTGATTTTGTTACTCCTTGTTTCTGAAAAGTCAGTGAGGTGCTAACCTCTGACTTATCCCTGAGTTCTCAGACTCAACATTTGTTACAACTTGTCTAAACCACTTCACTACATCATACACTTCATTGCTGCATTGTGGAATAGTCTAAGCTACGACCCTTTGGCTCTGTTTCCTAAGATAGTCTGTTGTCTTAGTAAAATCATCCCTTCCTTGGGTGGCTAGATTCTCACATCTGGTGCACCCACCATTACAACACAACATTATTACTCTTTGTTTACCTCCTCACTCTTCTCATCTAACTAAGCCACTTGATGTTAGATGTTTTGGTGTGTTAAAGCAGGCATACAGTTGCTAGATTAAGACCTTTATTAAGGCTCATATTAATCATATTACTAAGGTTGAGTTCTTTATAGCCTTTAAAGCAGCGTACATACAATCAATGACAAGTATCACTGGATCGGGATGGAAGAGGATTGCTGGCGATATGTACGAAATTGCATGACATGCCGGCTTGCACACACCAATGTCACCAAGCAGCAAGGCTTCCTACACCCACTGCCCATACTCGAATATCCTATGCAGCACCTCACCATGGACTTCAAGGAGTTCCCAAGGGACAAGCATGAATACGATAGCATCTTAGTGTTTATGGACCGACTCAGAAAGAGTTCAGTGACCATATCTTGCTACAAAACCACAAATGCCTGGCAAATGGCACAATTGTTCATCGAATGGATATACCGATTCGGACACACTTCCGGAGTCGATTGTAAGCGACCGCGGACCCCAATTCGTATCATCCTTTTGGCAGGAGTTCTGTCGAATTATTGGCATTAAGGCTAAGCTGTCGACTGCCTATCATAAGCAGACCGACAGACAGACGGAAATCATGAACTGATACATCGATCAGAGACTGAGGTGTAATGGTGGGTGCACCAGATGTGAGAATCTAGCCACCCAAGGAAGGGATGATTTTACTAAGACAACACACTGTCTTAGGAAACAGAGCCAAAGGGTTGTAGCTTAGACTATTCCACAACGCAGCAATCAGGTGTGTGATGTAGTGAAGTGGTTCAGACAAGTTGCAACAAATGTTGAGTCTGGGAACTCAGGGGTAAGTCAGAGGTTAACACCTCACTGACTTTTCAGAAACAAGGAGTAACAAAATCAATGTTTGGAAGCTTTGAAAAGACGTAGAAGTATGTGATAGTTGATTTACTGTATTGTCTGCTTGCCCTTTCTTAAGGAAAGGGCAATCCTATTTATGCCAAAGGAGTGTAGTTCTCTCATTTTCCATGACTTTCCATGACTAACCAGGCTTGGTAAATGTATTAGAAATCAAGTGCGACCCACAACTAGCTTGCTAATCATGTAGCGAATGTAAGAGAATCCCATAGAACCATCTCTTGGGTTCCTAGCCTATAGGAAGTGAAAAGGAGGTCCAAGGTCAGAGTACCTATAGATGAATTATGTCATAACTTAACCAATCTTGTGGGTAACTAAGGAGCGATGACGTGTAATGAATCATAGAGGGTTGTAGAAGCTTTTGGAGCTATCGTTCATGTTCCTAGGCCTCTAGTTGGATGAGATATGCCATGTGGTAGTATTGGCCCACCCCCTTAAGGAGGAGATTTTCTTAATAACTTGTTCAATGAGTGTCCAAATGATATGCTGTGATGTATGTAGCATAAACAGATGTAGTAGAAGAGTTTGCAGCAATCGTTGAGTAGTATTGCTTCTGTTGTTGGTGTGATAAGCCAAGATATGTATGGTGACTTGTAGGTTTGAGGAGGAGATTTCTAAGTTTGCTCTTGAGTTTGATAGCAAACTGAGTGCAACGAATGTCAGTATGACATTTGGGAAGGGTGGCTCCCGCAAGGGTTACGGTGGTGAGTGCGCCCTGGCTCGGAGGGTATTTTAGTTTAGAGTCGCAGACAGCAACGACTCTGTTTCTTCCGCTTAGTCTTTCCCTCCGTGATCGTAGTTTTGTTCCTTTCCCGTCTCCCCTGCCATAACCCCTCCGAGTAGTTCTTGAGGTGGACCTGGTAAATCTGGGTATTCCGTATGAAACTCTCTGAGTTTCTGGGGAGAGTTCATGAAGTTTGACGCTGGGTACCACTCCGGGTCCGGATCATATCTGACCCAACTAACCCTGTATTGTAGTTGCTTCCGGTGGAGCCTTACGGTGAGGATCTTTTCCACTTCCCATTCCTCTACGCCGTCTATCGCTTCGCTGCTAGGCTCAGGCGGATCCTGACCAGGTAGGGGGTTGTTCGGATCCTTCATGAGTACATCTGGTGAGAACACATCGTGTATTTGCGAACCGGTAGGTAGTTCCAATCGAAATGCGTGCCCAATCCATTCCGACACCGTATATGGTCTGACCCATTGTTGGCCCAGCTTGCTGCTAGGACGGGAGTTTTTCAAATTTTTGGTCGATAGGTACACTCTATCTCCTACGTCCCAGTCGATGGCCCTTCGGCGTCGATTCGCATGCTTAGACATTTCCTCTTGTGCCTTTGCCATGTTTTCCTTTGCGTGGACCCATGCGGTATGCATTCGGTCTGCCACCGCGTTGGCTTCCTCTCGGTTTAGGGTCTCCCCGGGGTTGGTGCTTTTTGGAGTGTTCCAATCCCAACTCGTACGTGGATCGGTTCCGTACTTGAGTCGGTAGGGGGTCATGCCAATGGATGTGTGGGGGAGTGTCATTTGCACGCGGTCCATTATGGGGATGAGTTCGCTCCAGTTATCCTGATAATGGGATACGAAGGGCCTCAGTCTCTGATCGATGTATCGGTTCATGATTTCCGTCTGCCCGTCGGTCTGCTTATGATAGGCAGTCGACAGCTTAACCTTAACGCTGATAATTCGACAGAACTCTTGCCAAAAGGATGATACGAATTGGGGTCCGCGGTCGCTTACAATCGACTCCGGAGTGTGTCCGAATCGGTATATCCATTCGATGAACAATTGCGCCATCTGCCGGGCAGTTGTGGTTTTGTAGCAAGGTATTGTCACCGAACTCTTTCTGAGTTGGTCCATAAACACTAAGATGCTATCGTATCCATGCTTGTCCCTTGGGAACTCCTTGAAGTCCATGGTGAGGTGTTGCATAGGGTATTCGGGTACGGGTAGTGGGTGTAGAAATCCTTGTTGCTTAGTGACATTGGTGTGAGAAAGCCGGCATGTCACGCAGTTTCGTACATACCGCAAACAGTCCGCTTCCATCCTGACCCAATGATACTTTGGGGCGAGCAATTGGTAGGTTTTCCTGCCACTTGGATGTGCTGATGACACTTGGTCGTGTGCTTCCCGGATCAGTTTCGTACATAGGTCGGTGTGGCGATTCACACATAGGCGGCCTTTGTACAGGAGGAGCTGGTCGTTCATCGCGAATCCGTCCGGTAGGGGTTGTTTCGCGCGAGTCTCGGTGAACAACTTCCAATTGTCCGCACATAGCGCCTCTATTAAATTGAAGGGCACCTGGGGCTTGGGGGTGTCCATCGAATTAATGGATGCTATGTAGCTCTCAGCGAGTTCGGTGCTAATTCGGGGGTGTAGGCGGCTTGGACCTGACAATACCCTCGCCCTACTATTAAGTTTGACTTTCTGCTGCGTTACCAAGTCCTGGTCTCTTTGGCTCAGAATATCAGCCTTCTGGTTATTTTTGCCCGCGGTGTACGTAATGCAGAAGTTGAAGTCAGAGAGTAGCTCCATCCATCGAACCTGCTTCGCGGTGAGAACCTTGGTAGACATGAAATATTCGAGCGAACGGTGGTCAGTGTACACGTCGACTCAGTGGCGCACCGAAGCCAACTCGGGCCTCCATTTTCTGAAGGCCTTTACTATTGCGAATAGTTCCTTGTCGTGGATCTCCCAATTGATCTCATGTCCGGATAGGACATGACTGTAAAAGCTTACGGGGTACCATCGCTTGTCAGGGTGTTCTTGAGACAGGACACCAGCTACCACTCCATCAGAGGAGTTGGTCTCCAGCTTCGTAGGCAATTCGGGGTTGAAGTGGTGAAGTGCCTGTACCGCTAAAAGTTGTCGTCGCAATTCCTCGAACGCATCCTCACATTCGTCTGTCCACCAGAACGGCTCCGAGGGACTAGTGATGGTGGTGAGGGGCTTTGCTATTTTGCCAAAATTACGAATGAATTGTCTATAGAAGCCACAGAATCCCAGGTAGGACTTCACACCCGTAACAGTGGTCGGTCGGATCTAGTTACGAAGGGGTTCGATTTTGTCAGGGTCCGCTTCGACACTGGAGGTAGTGAGAACATAACCCAAGTATTTTGTCCTGGTGACGTTGAACTCACATTTGTTCAAATCGGCTTGGAGTTCAGCTTCTCGGAGACGCTGTAGGACCTTATGCACATGCTCTATGTGTTCCGTAGGGTCCTCTGAATAGATTAGGATGTCGTCTAAGTATGCGGTACAGAAGTCGTCTAAGTATTGCATCAGGACGTCATTCATATACTGCTGATAGGTTGTGGGACCGTTCCTCAGTCCAAATGGCAGCACTTTGCACTTATAGGATCCATAGCGAGTCTGAAAGGTCGTGTACTCTTCCGAGTCAGGGTGCATCCGTATACGATGGAAGGCTTGTCTGATATCTAGCTTCGTGAAGATTTTTGCTTTCGACACCCGTCCTAGTAGTTCGTCGATACGCGGGATGGGGTAGGGATCGTTCCGGGTGAGACCATTTAACTTCCGGTAATCGATGCAAAA